GCGATGTTTTAAGTATTATGTCAAATTTTATTTGTATATTTGGTTTTCCGAAATTATACGAGGAAGACTTCTTATATTTGTTTACATAACACAAAGATAGGAATAAGGAATTTGGGAAAATACAAAAGATACAGAGGTAGACTGTACATACGATGGATGTCCAACCTAGCGAACATAGACAGCTGTTTTAGAAAATCCGGGTTACATTTTCTGAAAAAAAATCTATTAATTATAGCATAACTTGTAAGGTTTATTTTTGTTAAGTTGGAGTAATAATGGCGTCAGTGATTGACACGGTTGTGCAACGTGCAAGTGGGTGTCTGCTCATCCAGTGAAGACATCCCGAGTAACATCAAACCCTCATGTAATTTTGTTTTGTTGTTTTTTTTTTTTAAAAAAAACCCCAAAAAACACATTCTTCAGAAAATTTATCAATAACGGGAAAGTAAGACTTCGGCACCTTACAAGTCTTACAAGCTGAGAACAATAAAGCCCCAGAAACAGAACCTTGTGGTACAACATTATTCGATTAAAATAATCCGGTTTCAAATTATACCTATCTTATACATTTTTTATTTAATCACTCAACATAATTTGGTTTGTTTTGCCTATCTGCGTTATTAAACTAGAAATTATCCTATGCGAGAATTATATGTGACAGCCTATCATTGCGTTCTTTACAAGTCACTTCCCCGTTCACTTTCGGGCGAAATTTGAAGCATTGAAAGCTAGTGGATAATTATGGGGCCAGATTCACGCGAACCATCAATGTATTTAATGATGTCCATACACCAGGCCCCAAGTTCACAAAGCATTCTAAGACTTAAGTTAAGAATTTACTCAACTTTCAATCATTGTTTATGAGAAATATCTTTGATCTAGAAACACAAAACTTTGCACATAGTTTCTTATTGATTTAATTGATACATTATAACAACATAATTTTTATAAAGGGCTATATTTTAGTTAAAATTAGGCGAACAATTTTGAGAAAATTCTTAACTTAAAGTAGCTAAGTCTCTAACTCAATATCATCCAAAATCTTCAACATTGAAAACACGAAATATTTGTCAAATTAAATCAACATTCATGTTGTGATCTTACCGGAAAAAGATGGGCTTTTGATATCCAATATTTAAGACAAAATAAACATTTTACCATGGGTACACGAATCGTTAACCATAATGCGCTTCAGCCCCAGTTGTATCAAGAGACTCGAGGGACGAGGCTAGACACATTGCACCAAATCAAACGGCGTATGTAGACTGGAATAACCAGACGCTAGAAATTTGCACTCGCTTGAGACTGCTGGCTTATTTCGCCGAACATAACTGATTTGAAATTGGAGTAAAAACGGAAACCATTGAATGTAAATCAGTTTATATACATTCATATTACAGTATTATATGCGTTGCGACCCACTTTTGTCAATTTCTAGGTCCCAAATGTTAGCGATTTAGAACCTTTAAAGTAGTTAAGTCTCTAACTCAAGATCATCCAAAGTCTTCGACATTGAAAACACGAATTGTTTGTCAATTCATATAAACATTGATGTTGCTATGTTACCGGGAAAAGATGGGCTTCTGATATCCAATATTTAAGACAAAAGAAACATTTTACCATTGGTACACGAATCGTGTACCATAATGCGTTTCAGTGACATCTGTAACAAAGGACTCGAAGAACGAGGCTAGACGTATTCCACAAGTCATGTCAAACGGTAACGTCATATTCGTATCTGGAGAGCATGCACAATAAATATTATCGCTGCAGACTTGAATAACCAGACGCTAGAGCTTGCTATTCGATCGAGACTTTTGGCATATATAGCTGAACTTAAATGGTATGAATTTAGAGTAAAAACGGAAACGATTGAATGTAAATCAGTTTATATACGTTCATATTACATTATTACATGCATTGCAACCCATTTGTGTCAATGTGTAGGTCCCAAATATTAGCGATTTAGCTCCTTTAAAGTAGCTAAGTCTCTAACTCAGTATCATCCAAAACCTTCGACATTGAAAACATGAATTATTTGTCAATTTTAATCAACACTGGTGTTGTGATCTTACCGAGAAAAGGTGGGCTTCTGATATCCAATATTTAAGACAAAATAAACATTTTACGATTGGTAGACGAATCGTGTACCATGATGCGTTTCAGCGTAATTTGTATCAAGCGACCCGAAGAACGAGGTTAGACATATTGCACAAGTCATGTCAAACGGTGGCCCCATTATTCTTATCTGGAGAGCATGCGCAATAAATACTATCGGTATAGACTGGAATAACCAGTCGCTAGAGATTACCATTGAGACTTCTGGCGTATTTTGCCGAACATAACTGCTTTGAAATTAGAGTAAAACGGAAAAGATTGAATGTAAATCAGTTTATTTACATTCATATTACATTATTATATACGTTGCTACCCATTTGTGTCAATTTGTAGGTCCCAAATATTAGCGATTTAGCTCCTTTAAGTCTGGGAATGCTTTGAGAACTCGGGGCCAGATTCTTATAATAAATATATCGATAAGAGGCAGGCGTAAGGAATCGTATAGCGCTTTTAATGTTTCACGGAATTTTGATAAAAGTAAATTCCGATTTAAGCAACATGAAAATTTTTGTTGTTTTAATGTTTATTGAGTTATCCCTCCGTTATTTATGATGATATTTAAAGGAGCTAAACCTCTAAATCTGTATTTTCCATATTATCGAAATCGAAAACACGAATTACAATTCAATATTGGTCCATTTCAACCAATATTGATATTCTTATTTTACCGTGAAAATATTTGATCCTAACATCTAATATTTAGGACACGGTGAACATTTTATAATCAGTACACGAGTCGGGTGTCATTTGTAATGAACAAAGACAATTATACGGGAGTGATTAGTAATGGTTGATTCACAAACGACAAAATAATTATAAAAAAATAAAACATGTAGAATGGACTAACCAGGCGTAAACAACTGCCATTCAATGGACTATTCATGTATTTCACCGAACATAATTGATTAGAGATTACAAGAATTTTTAAGATTTCTAATCAATTATGTTCGGTGAAATACCCGAACATTCCAAGTTGATCGACATTCGTTTACGCCTGCTTAGTCCATTCTACTAGTTTTTAAAATTATTATTTTGTCGTTTGTGAATCAGTCATTGCTAATTACTTCCGCATTGTCTTATAGGATATGTTTTTCTTTGTTCATTACAAATGGCACCCGAAACCATAGAATACACGACTCGTGTACTGATTATAAAATTTTCATTGCGTCTTCAATATTGGATATTAGTATCTAAAATTTTTACAGCAAGATAACAACATCAGTTTTGATTGAAATTGACCAATGTCGAGTTCTAATTCGTGTTTTTAATTTTGAATATTATATTGAGTTATGGGTTTAGCCCCTTTAAAAAATAATCATCCAACTGATTTAACCATCATTTAGACGTGATTCCTTCCTAATAACTATCACCCTGGATCTAGTTTCAACACGACAGTGGGGAAATGGCAATCTTTTAATTCATGCGGGACATGTATATAAACTATATATAGTCATAATATAACCCCAAATTATTACTAAATTAAGTTGTTTACAGTGAGCGAGTTATTAACTCGGTCAAAAAACACGAACAGGTAAACAGGCGTAATGAGAAGTGGCAAGGGGGTATATAGGTAAAAGATCTATTCAATTTGTCAAAAGGCATGCTATATTATTCTTGATTTGTCAGAAGTTGTAGCCAATCGTAGTGTTGATATACAATATAGTATACAGGTAGTACGTGTGTGTTACTACAAGTAGAGATCAGTCGATACTGTAATAACATAAGTGAAGTTACTAGTGTGACGAATAATATGTTTATTAATCGGAACAAGATGGTATGACGGAACATGTGATACCACTTCTGGGCCAGTGGGGCGTTCTTCCGATAGTGCATATATCTCAGATAATATTGTGTTTTATTCTTTGAACTTGTACGATTTTGTATCAATCATTCAACACTGAAAATTTTCAATATCAGTGTTTTCTGTCGCTTTAGTCAAATTTTAAGCACGGTTGGCTATTGGTGCCATTCGTTAATTTATAGCCCTTTCTAGTAATTTACCTCATATGAGAACGATTCACGCTGCAATACGTGGGGGGGGGGGGCTAAATGGTTAGCGTGCGCGCGCTGTATCATAAAGTCTGTCATTGAGTCGACTGGCATGGTTTCGAATCCCGGTTGTACGTGGCAAGGAGTTGGGTCGCCTGTCCAACCTCGTGGGTTTTCTCCGGGTCCTCATGTTTCCTCCCACTGCTAAAGACCCCTACGCACAAGCGAATTATTGAAAGAAAATTAAACCATATGTTAGTCCCAAAATGACCTAGTTTGTGTCGACTGGACGTTAAACCCCATTTCTCTCTCTCTCTACGCTGCAATACAATAAACGAGTGTTTCGCAATGAAAACTATATGGTAAATCAAAAGAAAAACATGAACAATCTTTTCTCCGCGGTTTCCACCGTTTATGAATTTATTCTAGTATAGACAGAACACACAGGCACTTGAAGGGATTAAAATAAAACTTCTTACTACTGCTTGACTAAGTTTTATTTTAATCCCTTCAAGTGCCTGTGACAGAACAGGGCGAATTCTTTCAATTATTATTATTATTTTTTAATAATCCTATCCGAGTTTTTAAAAACTTCACGAAGAATGGGATGGCCTGTACGAAGAAGATAGCATAATTATTATTACTTCACTTATTTAAAACACATTCTAAACATACAATTGATTGATTTAAGTAATGTTTGGACCAAAATATTTTTAACATATTTAGTATGTTTCATTCTGTATTAACCTTTAAACAGCAACACGATATTGATTTAAATGTGTTTAATCAAAGTAAATGAACTTAAGACGAATTCTCATGAACATTTTTCTCGACGCCTTCCAAATAATTAGAGTTACTTCCCCTGTGACGATCTTCAGTTCGCAAGAGGAGAAACAGCCATGTTTGTCAACAAGTGCTTGATCTTTTCTCCAATTGTTTAATCATTTTGTTTTTGTGAATTTTAACACTTTTTTCATCATAATAATGTATCTGAGATGGTCAAAACACTCATGTGTTGTCCATTTTAATCTAAACCAGCAATAGATTTGAGAAAATTGACACTTTCACCGAAGATATGGTCAGATAGGTGTCACGGAATTACAAATTTGCACTTTTTTTTTTATCCATAGTCAATAGTCAGAACTTCCGTCATATAAATTTTTTCGCTTTACGCAATTAAGCATTCTTGATGGATACACCATTTCATGTTTACTGACTGCCAAAACATAGTAATTCCAAATTTAAGGAAGTTGATGTAAATAGCTATTAGATGGAAAAATGGTGTGTCATATTTGGTTTGACCTAGTATTAATTGTAGTGATGTCGGAGGTGTTAAACACTAAAGGTAATATATTAACTGAGATGTCATCATTTACAATTATTGGTCTGTGTAATAATTTAAGAAATAGAAACCAGAGACATGATAGTTTGACTTAATGCACAGTAGGTCTACATGTATGTAAATCTCATTAGAAAGCAAAGGAAATTAGGCTGAGCTGTGTTATAGCCCCTTCTTAGATTCTGAGAAAAATTAGCCATTAAAAACCTTAAGACGTAGAAAAGATATCCTGCTGAAAAATGTTTAAACACTTCAGAGCTAATGTCAATCAATGAGCAAAGATAAGAACTTCATGTTTGTTTTTTTTTGTTTTTGTTTTTTTTACCTATATCCACAATCAACTGCCTGCATGGCCATGGGAACTAAGGCAGAAAATGTTGTTTGAAATTTATAATTTGAATATTTTTGTTTGCCAAGTATTCATCAAGTATTTTTCAAAACAGTTCTTCATTCTGTTTGGTTTATATTCTTAATCAACACATAAAAAGATAATGGTTTGCAGTGATTGGCTAAAACCAGAGGTGTGAATACTGCACTGGCATAGAATTGTTTTTATTTGCTTTGTGTTAAATTTCTGCCGTTTTTCATGCAGTTGTGTCATGATGTGCTGAGGTGGACATGGGTCAGCAAAACTGCCATTCACTTCAAAACAGGTGCAGGCAGTTTTCGTAACCTGGCTGTTTCATACTTAGTTCATTATATAGTACCTGGTATCTTACCTCAAATTGATTCGTACCTTTTCCTATATGTTGTTGAAATAAATTGAAATAAGTTGAAAGAAATTGAATTGAGGTGGACATGGGTCAGCAAAACTGCCATTCACTTCAAAACAGGTGCAGGCAGTTTTCGTAACCTGGCTGTTTCATACTTAGTTCATTATATAGTACCTGGTATCTTACCTCAAATTGATTCGTACCTTTTCCTATATGTTGTTGAAAGAAATTGAAATAAGTTGAAAGAAATTGAAATAAGTTGAAAGAAATTGAAATAAGTTGAAAGAAATTGAAATAAGTTGAAAGAAATTAAAATAAATTTTGAAATAAGTTGAAATAAGTTTTGAAATAAGTTTTGAAATAAGTTGAAAGAAATTGAAATAAGTTGAAAGAAATTGAAATAAATTTTGAAAGAAATTGAAAGAAATTTTGAAAGAAATTGAAAGAAATTTTGAAAGAAATTTTGAAAGAAATTTTGAAATAAGTTTTGAAATAAGTTTTGAAATAAGTTGAAAGAAATTGAAATAAGTTGAAAGAAATTGAAATAAGTTGAAAGAAATTGAAATAAGTTATAAGTTGAAAGAAATTGAAATAAGTTGAAAGAAATGGAAATAAGTTGAAAGAATGAAATAAAGGTGAATAATAATTAAACATTTAGATATATCCAACTGCTACGCGAAATATATAGAAATGGCTGCCGAACCAGAATTAGAACACACACATGATTTGTACCTCAAATTGTTGAAATAAAATGAAATAAACCATTTTTTTTTTTAAATAAATCGAAATAATAAACGATTAAAAAAAAATCAAACACTGCTACCTGCTTTTTGTTGTTTTTAATCTGGTTTTGATTATTGAACCCATTCTGATGAGTGAGTTGTGATCATTGATGATAATTGATCGGCGATTGTTAAAGCAGTTTAAAAAACGATTGAAAAATATTTAATCTGGTGTTGATTATTGAATTTGAACCCATTCTGCTGAGTGAGTTGTGATTATTGACGATAATTGATAGGTGATTGTTAAAGCGGTTAAAAAAAACATTGAAAAATATTTAATCTGGTGTTGATTATTGAACTCATTCTGCCAGTCCCAATCCCGGGTGCAAAAGGAGAAGGGTTAAGCTTAAGTGCATGCAAAAGTTCTCTTGATCTCTTGGAATTAACCAAGGTACGAAACGGCTCATGTGAGGTACAGATGAACTAAGTACGAAACAGCCAGGTTACGAATCAGCTCGCATTCGTTGAAACTATGTGTATTGTTCCTATTTCTAACATTGTCATTGAGGTCATTTTATTAGGTGGGCATTGACCATTACTGAATATTTTTCTAATCAGTTAAATTCTATTTCAACTTATTGAAATTTTCCAGAGCCATGGCAGAATATCAATAAAGTATCTGGATTAAATTTGGCATCCAATCTAATTTGAACACCGACAATGTAACTGTTGTCAAACGAAGGCAAATTGTATACTCTTCAAAAAAAGTAGGGGATATTCATAAACAATACAAAACTGCGGAAATGCACTGCTGTTTTTATTAGAGGAACCAGTGTGTGTTAATAACAGGCCAATTGCCTACACATGAACATAAACAGTTCATATGGGCGGCTTATCTGGCGGCCCCATTTCACTCGCAAAGATATATACTGTCAAAAGTGAAAATGGACGTTTTTGATTTTTGTCAAAATAATGAGTAATTGCTCCACCAATCCTCAGACATTCAGCTATTCGTCGTGGCATGCTCCTAATCAACCGTCCAATTACGATTTGGGGCAATCTGACCCACTACTCTTGCAGTGTTGTCCGTTGATGTCGATGAACACGTCTCCTGATCAAATTAAACGTAACACACTAAAGCAAAGATACACTAAACAGTAAATCTTATGCAAGAACCGATACGAAATCAAACATGGATAGGATAAACCGGCAAGCGTCAGTTTTCAGCAACCCTTCCTTGAAGTGTCAAATTTGACAAGAACCCCTCCCACATGTATGGCTCTATTGCGTGTCGCACATGCAGCTCAGTGGTTCTGTTGGGGCGATAAGGTCTTCATCTGTGAACCTACTCTCAAAGCATGTAAAGTGTCCATGACTATTTATCATATCACAACCTGCATAGGTATTTGCATTTCAATATCCCCTACTTTTTTTTGAAGAGTATATTAGTAAACATTTTTTCTAGTGATTCCCAAAGATCTCAGTTATACTCCCTTATTTGCTACTTCGAATAATATCATTTTTTATTTCAACTACAGGCATTAGACAAAACTATTGCAAATATATAGGTTAATGACAAAATTTCTGTGTAAATGATGTTGACCATACACTGATTCATAAAATATCATGTTCATAGAGCATGATAGGATAGTATAATTTTAATCCCTAAATGACCTAAATTTTTATGTCTAAGTGATAAATATAAATGATCTATTTTTGAAAGTGTTACTTTGTAACAATTATGGGACAAGTGTATGTTAAAATCTGCAATGACTGAAATTCTCCTTTAAGTTTAGCTTGTATTATTGTACAAGTAAGTACCCAAGCTTCATAAGGATAAAATCAAGTGTCTTATTCAATGACATTTAAAGGATTTGGAGCAAACCTGGGAATCAAACATGCAACTTTATGGTTAGAGACCTTGCTGTGCTGATTGACTGTTTTTAATAAATATTGATATCTGATTCTGATTTTTTTGTTTTATTTCAGCAACAAATGAGAATCAGATTTGTCATTTCTATAAATATAATGCAGACTGTTTATATAAATTAGATGGTGTATCTATGGTGAATATCAAGGCTTCTGTAAATGAATGTAATGATCCTATTGATGTCACATTCTCTGTTTTGGTAAGGATCTTCATTTATTGAATTTCTACCAGATTACATCATTAAAGTTTGCATATATTTTTATACAAATGTAAATTAGTCATCCTGGTAGCCACCCTAATAAGATTAAGAGGTAACATGTCTTATTGAATATTGTTGAACGACAGGAATTAAACATGTCTCCTAATTTAAACATCCCTGTATTAAAGTTAATGAAGCAAGTAGTTTGTTTTTGAATCGATGAATTCTATCGGTTTAGAAAGAGGCCCATCAAAATAGTCTACCCTATCAGGTGGCACTGATTTGTTTATATCATCTACAGAGGATGCTGAATGATGCCGAATATATTACATGCACCATATCTTTGTAAATACTAAATTCATTTTATATATTCACCTTTTCACAATATTGTAGTTTGCAAAGGATTTAAAATCTCTCAGATGATGATCAACAGCTTTATCATTTGCAAAATTGTTGTGCAAAATGTACAGAAAATTACTAAAGATCAAATTTAAATTTGTTTTTACCATTTCACAATGCAGTGTATTTTAACCCATAAGATTTTCAAGTGTTTTTATATCATTACTGTATATTTGTAATATATTTGTAGAGTGATACACCACCAGTAGATTGGACTCATACATTTTCTGATGCTACTGATACTCAGCTTATAGCAGGTTTTGATAAAGAGACACAGTTGGAAGTTCTCTTATCGTTTGATAATGATCAAAATATCCAAGTTACTGTGAGTACACATCAGGGCTGTGTGAAGCTTGCATGGGGCCCCTGACTGAAAATGTCACTGGGTCACATGTAGGGTTGTGTTGATATATCGATACAACAATATGTATCGATACATTCCGGAGATATTTGTGTCGATACGAAATATAGCTGTATCGCCATATCATTGAGAAAATATGCACTTCAGTTAAGAAAGACCAGGAAACTTATTAATATGCTCGTAGGTTCTAAATAACTATTGAATTATTAATTTATTTGCTTCACCATCTCAATCTTTGTTGCAAACAGTTTGTACTGTGCGTGGATCTTCCTTGGTAACTTGATGTAAACAAACTGGTCTTAAACTTAAGCTGGATAAGTGCTTCTACTTCTGTTACCTGTTCAGTAATCACTTACTGTACTTCGTAGTTTTACTTAATTAATCCAAGAAAACTATTAAATTGTCATAACGCAAATTAAAACATTATTTCTATAATAACGAAACAGAAATAATACCAGTTTCACAGTTTGTTTTCTTCACCATGTGATTTGATATTCAGATATTTTTGATATCTGGTTAACTATAGCTACATGACCTCGATATGCGTTTAGTCCCAAGTGCTATACTGTTATCATCTGCCACGATGTCCGGCAAAAATAAATCAAAGGTTTTAATCAAAATTATAATAACACACTGTCTGTGTAAGGCAGAGTTTTAGTTATCAAAATGTAGTTTAAGACTATTTTGGGCATAATTCGTGATATCGCGATACACATTGTGTATCGGATTGCTGTATATGTTTCGTCAATATGTATCGTATCGAAAATGAACTGTATCGACTCGACCCTAGGCCCTTGCAACAACAGTGAAAAGGAGGCATTATCTGGTCATTGTATGTCACACTTGCACAAATGCAATTTGTATGTCCGTATGATAGATTTATTTTGCACAAACATGATACAACATGATAAATAAAAACCTAAATTATTTTTTTATAACTAATTTGGGGTGCCCTTTAATAGTGTAAAGTATATTTTGATTTTCTAATATTTTCTATGTGTATCTAATAAAATATATTTGTATTTCAGGCTCATTTTATGGTTGAAAATCAGCAAAAAGTCTCAAATTTTATTGATGAAAAGGTGCATTTGACAGCCCTAGAAGACTGTACAGGGAGTAAGCTTTTCTTTTGTTAATTCCTCTGTTAATATTTATTTGTCAGGTCCACACATTACAATTAGAGTATGTGAGAGTATCAATAAAATGAGATATTATCTGGTTGGAATTTGACAAGATAGCTTTTTATATAACAGTGTAAGGGAAATAATCGACTAACTCAAGTGGCAGTTTGTTGGACCTATGTTAAACTTGGACTTCTTTCGTAACTGAAATATTTATAAAACATTTCTGGTATTGATAATTTGAACTGGCTTGATCAACTTTAATTTGATAAAAATATATATATAAAATAAAATTAAATGTTGTTTTTTTCATGTTGCTTTGTTTTATATTTCAGTTAACAAGGCTGGTCAGATAGCTGTTGGTTGTTTAATAGCTCTATTAATTATAGCTGGTATTCTCTTAGTTATATTATTATACTATCGGCACAGGCGTAGAGTACAAGAACGGCAGAATCAAGTTTTAGTGGAAAATATAGAATCACCTTGTGATCCAGACTGTAGCACTTGTCAACCAGCCACTGTACGATTCAATGCTCAATCAGCAAATCAATCCTCCACCAATCAGAATTTATCATCAGGTCTTGTTACTTTAGTTTTATCCAATGGGCATGCAGAAGGCAGCAGTAATAGTCTGCCAGTTTAAATGAGATTAAATCAAAAACATAGAACTTGGAATTTATGTGTCTGTCTGTTTTTTTCAGTCACAGTTGTTGGTTTTTTTTATTAGAAAGTTTATGATTTTTTTAATTAAATGCTGTAATTAATCACTAAATATATTTGTTGATTCAATGTTTTATTATTATATTTCTAGTTTAAATTCATGGGCTTGTTAGAGATATTCATGTGAAATTTTAAAGATCTGATGTCAAATTGTAAAAAATTAATGCTGAATTGCATTTACCACCTGGGCAGGTACAACAGACAAATTCAAAGTTGTGGGCTTTTGAATATTTAAATGAAAGTACTCATGGTATATTTAACTTTGTAACATGGATGGGAAATCTTCCTTAGTTCTTTTCGTTGAATAAGCAGATTGATTTCCTTTTAGTAGATTGGGTGGAGCTTAACCGTGCAATAACTAGACATGTTCAATGTTATTGCACACTTTTGCTGGTTTACACTAGTTTTAGTAGAAATCATATAGAGAAGTGGGGTGGGTTTTCTGTGCAATAACAACAAGCATGTTGAGCAGGTGTCAATGTTACAAGTAATTTAGAGCAAGCCTCTCATTCATTAACAGGTTTAACCCCTCGGCCTACGGCCTCTGGTTAAACCTGTTAAACTCATGAAAGCCGTGCTATAAATATAACATAATGATGTGGGGCTATTGTAGTACCTCTCTAGACTTACAGTGATATTCAATTTGCATTTAATTAACTTCTTTTGGGCCACAACTTACAATCAAATTTTAGAGCTTACCTGTACAGTAATCTTAACATAAATGTCTTTTTTCTGCATGATACTAAAGGTGCATTATGTAAGATTTAGATAAAGGGATGACTATTCTCGCTATAATAGTTTAAAAATAAATAATCGAAAATGAATATACTGAAGATTTCAGTCAAATTACTTTATTCTGAATGAAGTTATGTATGTTTGAAGTTTTGAAAAAAAAAATAGATTAGTCTCGATTGTCATTGCTACGATAGTAAAGTCATGATTTTCCAATGGTCTAATCCAATTAATGTCAAACCATACGATGGTATAGAGAGTTGATTAAGGGCTTGTCACCGAATAAATGTTTAAATAATAATTTATATAACATTTGAAGCCAGAAAAAAGACATGCAATAGGCAGATTTAGGTCTAACATAATTCATCTTTAATATTAAATTGAATTAACTTCTTTTGGCCCACAACTTATAAAAAAATGTTTTAGAGCTTACGTGTAGAGTAATTTTAACATAATTGTATTTTTTCTGCAAGGTATTAAAACACAAATGATTTTAATGGGATATATCTATATGATGGAACAAATGTGAACATTTTAAAAACAAATCAAAGAAGGTATATTATGTGAGTTTTAAAAGTAGAGACTTCCAATCTATACGTAATACAGCTGTTATCTCATATACTAGTGATATACTTCACTAACACAAATAAAAAATTAAGCCTATTATTTATATGTGTATGTAATTATGAGTCATCTGATAAACGTGACAAGCTCGCTATTGCAAGATTACCGGTATGGTTATTCAAATACTACTGATGATGTCGGTTTGGAAACTTATTAATGATACTAGCAAAATGTACAGATTTGTTTTGCAGCATCTACAATCTGAATGGCTGTTGAAATAAAATATCTATCTATTTGATGCTTGATACATACATATAATTATAACTAACAGGCTATGAAAAACTGTCTAAATGACATGTGAAAGTTTAAAGAAATGAAATGAAATGGGGTTTAAGGTCCTACTCTTCTGCCTCTAACCTGGGCTAATGAAGACGGATGTGAAAGTTTAAATGGAGCAGATATATATTGTGGTGTTAGCTGCTGAAATGTTGAACTGTTAATGAGTTCTTATATTGTTAATTATTGAATTTTTATATAGTATAAGGTACAGTCATATTTTACATGCCCTATGTTTATGGTAGACCAATTTCCTGCAAACTATTGAATACAAAAGACAGTTTCTTTATACATTTAGTTAAAAAAAAAATTTAAACATCGAAAAACACATAAGTCAAAATAAAAGTTTAATTGGGTTGATTAATGATGGGGCAGACATTGTACAATTAATTTTTTTTTTGTTTGACAGATCAAGTCTGATTATTTTTTAGTTTCATATTATCACACCAATCAGCAGTGAGTACAGTCACTGATAAGGGATGACATCAGTGCAGGTTAAAGAGCACGCAATATTAACTTTTTTCCGTCTGCAAATTAAATTCTAGAATATTTTTGGGAAGTAATAGAAAAATAAATAAAGGTGTTTCAAGTATATCTTGATAAAGAATATTTCCTATTTAGTGTAAATGAGTAAAAGGCACCATTCTGATGAACCAGTTCAAGTTATGTAAACATTCCACAAGCTATTGAGCCAATGATCGACACTATGTTATGTGATGTCATTTGTATGTTAGTTGTACACATATAGTAAAATTTCATCGGTCTATTATGTGAGAACATGAGGTATATAGAATATGGCTGTACTGTATTTGTTAAAAACTATTGTACAGGGTAAATATAATATTCTCATTATCATTATAACAGATATCATCATATATATATTAACCCTGTTTATGCACGAACTAGATGCAAGAAAATTTGTCGACAATACTTATGCCACTCTATAGAGAACTTTTCAGTTTATCCTGTGAACATGCACCATACCTTGTTCATATAAAAAAAATCAGCTGTGAACATGCTCCATACCTTGTTCATGTAATCAACTATGAACATGCTCCATACCTTGTTCATATAATCATCTGTGAACATGCTCCATACCTTGTTTATATAATCAGCTGTGAACATACTCCATACTTTGTTCATATAATCAGCTGTGAACATGCTCATATCTTGTTGTTTACATAATCAGCTGTGAACATGCTCCATAACTTGTTCATATAATCAACTGTCAAAGATTGGATTTTGTCTTCTTTTTTTTAGATCAAATTATGTCTTTTAGACGTTTTAGATCAAATTATGTCTTTTAGACGTTTTAGATTAAATTATGTCTTTTAGACGTTTTATTCATATTACCTATGTGTCATTAAATTACATTGAATTAATATGTCAACAACAGCCAAAAGCTCAATTATCATAGCATCATAAAGTTAATTGGACATCCAAGTAACGAAAATAGCTGTTTAATTTCATGCTTGCCATATATTCATATGTAATTATACATGTATGTAGATTTGTAATTATTAATGTGAGTTCAATTGGATGGTCAGTTGTTTTTCTGAACCAACATCAATCCTGTGAATGTATTTTTTTTATGCCCATTTTACAGTGGTATGGTCACAGCAATTGTACACTGTTTAAGAATAGCCCAACATGTTTATAAAGTTTTGCAGGTATGGCACGTGCCCTTGGTGTTACTTGAAGGGCTGCCACTGAGATGTACTGGCAGTAAGACAATTTCTCCTTCGTAAGCTAGGGAAGTAGTCTAGAAACTGAAAAAACTTACTTTGACCACATCATAGATAGACCAATTTGCATTTTGTGAAAGCAAGGAAGGTGAAATTGTAACCTTTATTTTTGTGCCATGATTTTTTAGTTGAAAGCTTTACAAAATTGACTTGTATTTATGAGCTTATTTAATGGTAAAGTTATCTAAAAAAAACCCACCAAAATGGATGTCAGATGTTAAGACAGGAGAGCAATTCCCGTGCTTGCCATAGGAGATATTTTCCGCAGATATGCCACTGGTCAAATTAGTAGAATATTCATTCCATTATGGCATTGTACTGTTGTCATTCCATCATAGGACTATATATTATGCAAGATGTCTTATACTATATTTATATATGTCTCTTATTATGATTATTGGTGCAAATTCTATATTATGTTATATTTTTAAAGAAAATATTCCATTATTTATATTACATAAAAATAAAAGGCATTGTGCTCAAATGATACTAAGACAATGGGGAATTAGGATTTTGTTTTATCTTTATAATAGAGCATATAATTATTACTCACAAAATTATTGCTAATTTTGAACTTTTTAATATTACATCAAATTATTGCTGGGTGGCAGTGTCTATACTCCATAAGTTTGCCTATAAATATATCTTGAACGTAATCAAACAAGATAATAAATAAAACATTTGCTCAATACTATTTCTTTTTACACAATGGCATCAGACAATTTTATGACTGGGATGGCAAAATAACCCAAGTGATAATGTTTTAAATTACATATTTTACTTTGAGAATTTGTAGAAGAAAAAGTGAAATTTTTAAAATGTTATTCATGAAAGTTTACACCTTTGATTTAGGCCAAAATAAAGTATTAAATTGTGCTGACAGATGTTATTTCGATTTCATTTTCACTGCAAAATATTAAGCAGAAGTCGGCTTGTTTACTAATTTTAACTGAATTATTGGGTTACCGTGTTGACAGGGGAACACAAAATTGATTATATCTCAATTCTGGCTTTGTCTTTGGATGTACAAAATTATTAAAATGGATTGTAATTCAAAAGTCAGAATATTAAGAAAGTTTATTCACAATGGCAACCAGTAGTAATGATTTTATGAGATTAAATTTCTTGTTAATAAGCCCCCCAAAATCTTTTGTGAATTAGACATGCCATATTATTGTTGTATATAGTTTATAATATATAAAATGAATTAGCCATATGAACAACTTTTAATTATTTTATAGACTGAAATTTATATAAAAGGGGAAAATTTACCTAGAACAAAGAAATAAAATGTGATTGCCAAATTAATTTTAACTTTTATAACAGCTCTTATCTACGTTTTTTTTACAACCTGCCATTTTGTCAATAATAGTTTTGTTTGATATTTTATAACAAATATATTAAGAAAGGTGTGGGGAAGCAGTATGGCCTTTTAAAGGGAAATAACCTTGTTGTTCCCAGAAAGTAGAACTACTATTAGTATGATTAATGTATGTGCAGTGTAAAATCATATAAGAAAAAAGAAAGATGGCTAACACTCACACTCTTCTAATTTGGTGCCATATATGCAAAATAACATTTTTCTCAAAGTTTCAATATACATTCCAAATTAATAATTATGAAAGTTGATTAAAAATATGGAAAGGTTGTAAAGAGAGTAATAACTGTGAAATAAAAGGTGCCTTTTGTTTTGTTTTTTAAGTGCTTCCAGTATTAATAATGATAATAAATTTATGTTTGATATAAATATATATATTATATTCTTATACACATGTGTATGATTGTATGACAGTGTATGATAGAGTATTATTAGTGTGGTATGATGGTGAATGATTGAATTTACAATATATGTGTAATTATTTTTTATCATATAAACTATCTATATTATGTAGAAAATATTATATTTTATGATTTTAGAGTGGGTATATTAGTTACCTAAAAGAAATCATGAATTTAAAGTGGAAGTGCCTACATTTATTTTTTTTAAAGATCACTATAAATAATGTGCCTTTGGTTGCAGCTAAGATAAAGGCAATACCTCATTCTAGTTAAATTTATCAGACTAGTTTATATGAAATGGATATAACCGCTATACCACCCAGTATCCTAGCAAAATATTATGCTTTGCCACAATTTACCACAGTGGTCAGCTGTTTGTTTATTTTTAAATAGACTGTAACTGGGTCACTGGGTGTATGATATTTAAATCAGGGAGACATAGATTCATCAGTAAATGATATTACTTGAATTCAGTGTAATTAAACAGTTTCTTTTTTAGTCAGTTTGAAATCTGTCACATTCTATTTTATGCAAATAACAAAATGTCTGTGAAACTAAGCCTTCTTACACCAAAGAGAGTTCTGTCCTAGATGATATTTGTGCCATTTGAGTAAATATAGATATTTTAGCTTTTAGCATAAAGAATTACACCATATGATTGGTCATTAATAGAGCTCAGTTTATATATGCCCTCAATTTTCTGGATGTATGTTGTCTTTGCCTCTATCTATCTGTCTTCCAGAGTTAGTGTCCTTTACCATTAGAATCTTGCGAACACTCTTACAATATCAGTTATCATATGATCAGCTTGAAATTTATATGCATCATACAGATTATTGAGACTATTGGATATGGAATTTCTACAGTGTTTATTAATTACAGCTATAAATCTTTCTTCCTTTGTAGAATCTTGTGAATGCTCTAGTAACAAAATTTATCATCCAGTCTGTTTGAAAACTATATGCATATGGACTACTGGAGTTATTGCACTTGATTTAAGTCATAGATTTTTATTTTCAATTGACCGATGATATTTTACCATAAGAATCACAATGCAACAACCTTATTTATGGATTGCTTGGATGACTAAGCTGCTGTGGGTGTATGTTCATTGTCTGACAACCTGTCTTTAAATATTTAAATGAATTAAAGGTCCTATAAACTATAATATCATCTCAGATAAATGTACATGGAAGAAAAGCAAATTGTAAGAGATTATTTATTTGGCACTTCTTCTTTAAAAGAATTGTTTATATATGTGTGATTTATCCACCTTTGTACATATCCCTAGTTCATTATGAGCAAAATCTTAATTAAACCAAATTACTGTGGTAGGCCAAATTCGCCAACTGACCAACTGCCTACTTTAGTGTGCTAGTTAGGAATTACCACAAATTCTTATAATTTTATTGTTATAAGCCATTTTAGACTGCTTTAAATATCATATAACATAGCTAAATTACAATCATTAAAGGGTGTTGTTTGTTATTAAGTAATATTCAGGTAGCTAATTAGAAATGCTTATGAAATAGAATGAAATGGACATAAATAATTACCAATGGATATATGGGTTGAGTTTGTAATTTATGATGATTTAAAGTAAAATTATGTCCAATATATATATATATATATATATTCATATACACTGCATGTAGATAAGTATATATATAATCAGTGAGAAGTTTCTGAAATTTAATTTAATCTGTTTTACTTGTATACTTTGCTGATCATTTTTTTAAAAAAATTGTTTCAGCTTCTCTGTAAGGCTATCAGATGTTTGGTCGGAACATTTTATTGGGATTTACAGGATTAAATTGTCTTTTATATTAACAATTTCTCTAGTATTTTCTGAAGGAATCTGCTTGGATGGTACACACAACACATCTTGTTTTTGACCATATCAGGAAGTTTTTATCAAATTTATTTTTTTGTTTTTTGCCCTGTAGCCACCCAAAGTAATATTTGGGTGTGTGCATCTGTAATTCTGTTACCTGTTTATGAGAAGCACAAATATAATTAATCATATCAAAATAATGAAAGAATTTGTATATAAATTATTATATGTCAACTATATTCTATATTTAACTTTGACATGAACAGATCATTTTAAACAATAATAAAACAGTTTTTGTAAAGATTGTGATTTAATGTTATATACAGGGTCCTAGACAGCAGCTAAAGTTGGTGTATCTTATAGCAAGGGAGCGAAGCCCAAAAATTTTGTTTTTTGGGACATGCTAAAGATGATTAAAATCAGATCCATTGCAAATTATTGGGGAACACAAACAAATATGTCAGTTGGATGGCCGAATGGTTAGCATGTGCCGCTGTATCATAAGGTCTGTCATTGAGTCAACTGCTGTAGGGTCTCCTCGGCCTGTCCAACCTCGTGGGCTTTCTCCGGGCCCTCCGGTTTCCTCCCACTGCTAAAGACCACTACGCGCAAGCAAATTATTGAAATACAAATGAACCATGTATTAGTCCCAAAATGACGTAGATTGTGTCGAGTGGACGTTAAACCCCATTTCTCTCTCTCTCTCTCTCTCTCTCTCTCTCTCTCTCTCTCATATATATAGTGTGATTTTATTACTAAACGAAATAATGACATGACAAGTTGTTCACTGTTAATAGTGGGAACAATGCACGCTTTAATACACTGCCTCATAGCAATTGATGATCATATTTTTAAAATACAATAACTGTATCCCCCAAAGCTCAGTACAGTTCCCCTCACAAGTCTGCCCCGTGGTTTCACATACCCTCAGTCTATTTCCCCTCTATCAATTATGGACTTGAATAAGTAGTGGTATTTGCGGGGATATACGTATTGGTTTATATCTGACCAAAGTCGAAGGTTTATAGATTTCTACGTTTTTTTCTTTTTTGACACCCATTAATCATGATGTGATATATAGGAACCTAAACCAAATCATATATCAACCGTATTTCAGCACAAAAGGGCGGGAAATACACCTCAATGCCGTCTGCCACAATTGCTGCGATGTATGAATGATAATGAAAGGTTCGCGTGATTGGATGTAATTACCAGGAAACCTAACTTTAATTGGTTTGTTTCTGTCAAGGATTTAGATGAAAAAGAGTGTTAAGATTATTATTGAATAATTTTCACAATAGAAAACCCGGAATAGACTTATTTATAAGCACTTACATGTATCTATTGAATTCAGTCGAACCAGTACGTAGATTGAAAAAAACACATCTTAACCAACATAAAAACGGAACCAAGATTGGGTTCATTTAGTAGGAGAGATTAGTAGAAATTAGTCAATACCATGTTGCTATTAAATAGGTGGTGTGCTTTGAAATGAAAGTCACCAATATTTATATTCATTTTATCAGATCTGAATAACTGTTTTTTTTCGGGGTTGTTAATAAAGGTTATTCAAATTGGCTTTGGTGCCATTTTCTCACGACAGTAAACATGCACTAATTAAAGATATATTATTCGAGATTAAATAAAGAGCTGGCTGTTCTCACTATAGTAGTTTATAATAGTTAAAATCTAGATAATGTAAAGGGAATTTGCTGAAAATTTCAGTCAAATTGATCCACTCTGAACCGAGAATTTAGCCATTGAATTTTTGCCTAGCCTCGATCATCATTACAAAAGTCAGTACGATAAAAAAAAAAATAGTCTCGAATATCCATTTTATGATTTAATCATGAATGAAAATTGAGCAGCAAATCGGATCCTAATCCAGTAAATATCGCAGGCTAGCGATGACATGGAGAGTTGATCATGGTCTGGACAAGTTAATTAATGTCTAATTAACAAGACCTGCAATAGGCAGATTTAGCTCTTGCATAATGTATGTTTAAAGGATAGATCAATTGGGTTGAAACACAATTTTGCTACCAAGTACAATCACTGAATGAATCATAGACGGTCTATGATTCATTCAGTGATTGTACTTGTTGGTGGAGAATGAGATACGAACTGCAACTGTAGTATTATTATTGTCTTCGTACCAGATCATCTTGTGAACCTACCAATTGAAACTACCAGAAATGGACAAAACTGGCTGATGGCTGATCGACTATTGGTCACTCGACATATTGCTAGTGTTGTGGGCATCTATCATGAGAGGGTTGAGCACATTATCGCCAACGAGTTAAAAATGACAAAAGTTTCTGCAAGATGGGTGCCAAATCTCTTGACTGCGGATCAGCCACGTACCGTGACAATTTGTGCCGTTTTGAAGCAGGTCCTGATAATTTTTTTGCCAGATTTGTAACCATGGATGAGACATGTTTCCAAAAATGAAAAAGGAACTAGCCGGTGGTCATTTTCCTAGTAATAATGACGTCATGTCACCTGTGAACGACCTTTTTTGTGTGACTGAAGAAAATTTCTTCCTGACCGGCATCCAAGCCTTACAACATCGTTGGCAAAAATGTGTACACCGACTATATAGAAAAATAAATGGAAACCATCGACTTTGTACAGGTCTTTCAGACACCCCTCTTACCGTTAGCCGGGACGTGTTCTAGCGGTGGCTCAGCGAGTAAGACGTTGGCTCGCGGACCTGGATGTCCCATGTTCGATCTCCGTGTTCTCTGAGAAAGTTCTTTGATCTTTGGGATTTTCCGGTCCCATTGTCAGCGGAGCAAAACACAGGACCTGGCAGGGGACAACGTATATAGTCGTTCTTATGGGACGAAAACCCGATGTCCCATGTACCGTGAACGTAAAAGAACCCTTGGCAGTTAGAATTCGGCAGTTTTCATTAGGCCACTAGTAGTAGCAGAACAATGGACGTTAACCATTATTTCATTTCAACCAAATATTGGCAAGGTAATGATCCTTTTGATCGCCCAGTAATACTATATAATAATTATAGTAATAATACATTTATCAACGAAAACTTGTTAGGTATATGAACTTCATATTTGCAAGCAGACCAAGAGGGTGCCCAAGATGATGAATTTTATATAAAAAAAAGTTTTATTTTCAATCGGCTATGTCGTACACCGCGATTTTGTTCTTATCAGTATGCACGATTAAAGATATCCTTCATAATCCTTTCCGGATAGCTATTTACGGCCACGATATCTTGATATTTGGACAGACGTATAATATGACGTCTTGAAAACCCGGATATTATTTCCGTAAACAAATCTGTTTGTACTGCTTAGAAAGTAATTCGCATTCTGATCATACTTCAATAAAATCGACCTGACTGTGTATATACACTCTAAACATAGTGTTCCAAAAATGAACACATAAAATGGCCTTTCAGAACACACAAATGTAACAGATAATGAACACGTCATATGTGTTTTCTAAAGGCTTGCAGAACACCTGTGATCTGTCAGAGAACATAGTGTTCTGTATTGTAAACGGTATGTGTTCTAGTAGAAAACATTACTGTTCTACTCTCAGAACGCCTTGCGTGTGTTCTAAAGACCCCCACTGAGAACACTTTGGACACATTGGACGGATGTAACAGATTTAGAACACCACAATAGTGTTCTGGTGGATATTGTGAACACGACCTGTTCTGAAATCAAAGAAACGGTCTTCTTGGCTAAATTTAAATAAAAACAATTAGAAATATAGATAAATGTATTTAATAATACATATACATGTTACTCTTGATAATTTGGGTATTTGTTATATATACTTCTCAGTGATTTTATAAATGTTTTATATTTTTTACTGGTTTCCTTTTTGTACGGCTCCTCCATTACAAAGGTTTGCATTATCCCCAGTACCATCGAAAAGGGTATTGGATACTCTAAATCAAACATATAATATGTTGCCAATAATTTTAATACCGCAGTCATTACACCTCCCGCTTTTGCTATTGACGAAAACACGGAATCAAAAGCAATAAATATTCCTTGAAGTTCACTTTCAGTTGAAAAAATGTGTATACGTGGTGCTTCCAGTTCCTTTGTATTTAATACTGCGGCTATATCACTCTCCAATACATCCTGAAATAATACACAAATAATACAACTTTAAATTCATAAAGGACACATAGGTACTTCACATTTCCTATTTTAAAGTGAGAATTATATTTTCATATATTGTAAACTCGATTAATAAGCCTATTACAATATTAAGATTTAACCTCAAACATCAAAATATAAATTCTCGTAACCATCGGTTTCATATATCCTTAGTATAGAAAACCGATGGGTATGAGAATGGAAATATATTACAAAAATAGTCCATATTCGTAGACAAATAGCTGTACACCGTCCATTGATTTCTGTGACGGGGGGGGGGGGGGTAACATTTTTCCCGACAAATTACTTCTTCCCGACAATTTTGATAACTTTTCTTAGTTTATGTGTATACTAACACAATGCATTCTGAGTTAGAACACTTAGTGTTCTTTGACACTTCGCCGCGTCACGTGACTTCCTGTCATGTCTACCGCTCATCAAATTTTCTCAACCCCAGCGCCTACCAAAAAAATGTTAACCCTTGCCGTGAGCATATATTTTTGAAAAAATAATTATTCCATTTCTTATCTCTAGCATATACACGATAACCGTTACGCTATACGTTACATATTGGGGTAAAGTTACCTGATAATTTTACCTAAACACAAAATAATATACTCAAACGGCACAATGTCTGAAGGCAAACTTGAAACAAAGCGCGGGATTCAATGCGCATGCTCTAAAGGGTAGGTAACTCTAAATACATAAAAACCAGAACACATTGTGTTCTCCCAAAGAACACCAGATGAACACTAGTGTGCTATTTTAATCCGACAAGAAAACAGTTTATTTTTTGATAACTGTTTTCATTGATAAATAAAAAACCCCAAATTGTTTATATAAAAATAACATTGTGTAAAGTTAACTACAGCAACTAACAGTAAATATACTTTCATTTAATGTGAAGGCTACACATATTTTATGAGTGTAGTCGATGAGAAAATGAGACGCGGTGTAGTGTGTGTTGTATGTTACTTTTCTAATTTGTGATATTCAAAACGTAACATTAAACAATTTGATATTATATAGCATATCCATCATGATCAGAACACATCGCTAGAACACTAGTGATCTCGTTGAGAACCACTGAGATCTCACATAGAATACGGTGTGTTCTTTTTAGACCTATGTGTTCAATATTAGAACATACATGACGCGTCATGTGTTCAGCTATGTTTAGAGTGTATCATTCAGTTGTTCACCAAATTGACCATAAACAGCAACCAAAAACAAGGTCCTTCCAGTTATGTTATTTCGTGTAGACCGTGCTTTACATATATAAAACAATAAAAAAAGTGAAATATTATCACCTATTTGCATATTCTTGCCGAGATATAATCGGTCCTTCCCAGTGGCATGAGAAGGATTTCCAAACGGATTACATATTCGAGGGTCATGCTCTCCTCAAATATTTACCATAGGTCGTTACAGTCAGCAGATTTCTACGGTCTATAATTCATATACACTGACAACGTTCATAGTATTACGGTATAGACGCAATCCATAGGCCATTCACGCTGTTCGAAAACAACAGCCCAGCCCCTTTCTTGTAAGTATTGTATAAGGCATATTAACAATTTACGATAAATAAAAAAAATACCAGTGATTAAATCTTTAAATTACAGCGATCTATTCAATTGGGTATCTACACCCTTAATCCGTTCTCTGACGATCTCTATATGACAGAGATAAATAATGTTTAGCGGCTCCTTTATTATACTATTGTTATGATAATCCACCATTAACTATAAATACCAGCTAATATTATGTATGACATATCCTCGTATATACATACAGAGGTTGTGTATATTACTTATATACTTATCTGTTATTGGCGTAGTGTGGTTGTCAACCGACAAGTCTATTGATGGTTTATCGATGACGGCGATTCGCTATTCATATTGGTCACCGTTATTCGAGTATAGTTTAATCCATTAATGAGAAACTTGTTTCATGGAGTAGGTCTTGTTAATGATAGTATGTGTAGGTTCTTGAATATTAAACACTTTATATAAAGTGTCGTGTTTTTTTTAAAGGTGTAGTTTTGAAAATCAATGCGTGTTATGAAACAATAATGCTATACTATAGTTTACTTAAGTTAAAAACTGCAAAGTGTGGATGTATATGTTTGTTCATTTAATTAACATTATCAACAAACTAGTCAACTAAACATAAATCAAAATGAATCCCCGACAGAAAGAAGTGTTTCAGACCCATCGGAACTTTATAATTAAGAACATCATATGGACAGAAGATTTTGCTGGTTTGTTAAAAACTCAAGGTCTAGTGACTGACTCTATCCTGAATGATATTAGGGTAAGTATTCCTAACGGGTGGATGAATGGAATGAATGACAGAATGTAAGAAAGGGTTTAACAACCACCCAACAAAAATTTGGACATTCCTGTATATGCATGCGCCAAGATCTCTTGCTCTTTAAAAGACGGTGGTAAAATTACCCCCCCCCCCCCTTCAGTTTTTCTGGCCAATACAATCTTTACTTTGAGCGATGTTGGTGCCAGCGGCAATACTCGTGGCTAGTTTACATAGACGTGTTGCGAATTCCTAAATCCATAGAAAATATATTGAAGGCAATTGAAGAAAAGACATTTAACTCTCTTAGAACAATGTATTTTATTTACACTTTTTAGAATATCCGATCCCACTTTTCAGTTAAGGAGATTGCATGGTGACACAAGTTTGTGGTACTTCTGTATTGCGATTCTTTCAACTGGCGTCTCCATGCTAAATCTATGTCTGAATTGTGACACTTGACATTTTGGTCCTCGACATATTGTCTTCGTATTAATCTGGATTAATGGATTAACAAGATTAACATATGCTCATATTTTAGCAAGGATCAATGTCAACACTGGTAAGCTACATAGCATTATGTATATACTACTAGTATGCATACCAGAACGCCGGTGTTGTCGAGCGGTCAGGACGCTGGTCTCTTGACTCCAAAGTCATGGGTTAGAATGCCTAAGTGGACCGAGAAAAACATCAAAGATTTTTCAAGTTCGACCTTCAATAGTCAAGGGTGGCGCTAGCGGGCCTAACAAGGACAGCCTGTCAAGTAAATCGAATGATACAAAAACTGAGATCCTTTCGTGTACACAAAAGAACCCAATACAGTTGGAAATCGAATAACAAGTTGAAACGCCACTGTCCTGGGGAAATTCTCCTGTCTCAAACTTACCGAAATATTGTTTTGACGGGACGTTAAACCCCATTCCATTCCCACTGTAAAGACTGACAGAGCTGGATTAATACCTAAATGTTCTAAGCACTCGCAAGATCATGGCGTTCCCGTATAAATGTAATTAAAAAAAACAACAAACATTATAAACAGTAAAATAAATTGTTATCTTTCGAACCTACATGCTTGCTCAATTTAAAATAGCGTTTTCCTAGATATCTTATCGCACAATCCTTGATAATGTCTCACACATGCGGATTAATGAAATAAAATAATTTTAATTGAAATAACATATTATACTTGGTTAAAATGTTGTCTTGAATGCTCATGAGATGATATTTTTAATGTGTATCCAGTTTTTGTTTATTTTCGCACTTTCTTCTAGAAAATATCGACTAACAGTAAATAAAATGAAAGTAAATCTCTTGAAATCAATAAGCGTGTCAACGTATTGATCTAAGGTCTTCGTCCTATATTGTTGTTTATTGTCGTATTTATTGTTTAGAATAACTTGTGTTTTCGTCTTGTAGTAAACGGATGTCTCTAGCACGAACCTGTTTCATATTCGACTAAATCTGAGAGGAGAGTGAATCAATAATAACCCTGCCCAATTAAATGTCTGTAATAGTACACATTGTCATAGCAATGGTAACGAGCACTATCAGTTAAAGATACACAATCATGGCTTCGAAAATTATATAAATTATTCTTTAGGCGTTTATTCACATGGCAGTCCCATAAGCAACTCTCCAAAATGACCGAGACACTGAATGGATTAGACCATCCGCGCCATATAATCGGTTATCGATAAAATAGACGTACTTGACAATCGGCTATTTCTTGTCAAAACTTCAAACACCGCCATGAATGAATTAATTCGAAGTGCTAAATCGATTTTAGTTTTCCTTTTTTTTTTAAATCGGATATCTCAACATTGATTTTACTTAAGGGTCTATATATAATTTTAAATGTAGGCAAAAAGCAGCATATCGAAATAACAATATGAATCGAAACTTCTGTTACGTAAATGAAAGCAGTCGTATCATTTTACAACCTGATTGACAGAACAAAATCGGCGGGTTCGTATTGTCTGTACGACATTAGTACTGTTTGTTCTATACGGTGTTGGTCAGTGCAGCTGTGGTGTTTATTAAATAACCGAGAAAAATAATAACTGCTCGAAACATTATATGATGATTGCATGATATGACACTATTGAAATGATGTTTACGTTTAGCTAACACACGTGTGTATAGGTATTTGTTAAGAATGGTGTTATTGACCAAATCAGAACTATAATACAGTCTCACATACGTCAGGTCGTCACTGATGAATGACACGTCGTTATTGTTAACATTGGTTGCTTTATAATGCTGGCAATGGCTCCTAGTAATTCTGATTTTAAAAGTCGTCTGATATGTAAGCCAATGTTAATAAAGACGCACGAAGTCGCTATCTTTGCTAGCGCGGTTAATGACGTCCGTTTTTAGTTTTCGGATCGCCATATCAGCCACAATTTGTAGAGAATGCAGCATACCGTAGCATTTCTATATAGAGGTATTGTATTTTGTCCGGCGCATCATACCATAATTCATTCATAAGGTTCATTCTATTGAAGAATCTAGGAAAAAAAGTCACAGGTAAAAAAGTCACAGTAAAAAAACACAGTAAAAAAAACACAGGTAAAAAAGTCACAACTTATATATATTGTATTGTAGGGTGAGTATATCTTTGATCTTTTAAGTTATTTGTCTTTGACAGTCCAGGCTGTCGTCGCCCAGGATGCCATCGGAAATCCACCTGGAAGGTCAAGAAGAAGTTTGTAAAGATGCAGACAAATGTGCTATAATGTCTTAAAATGTCAGATGTGCTGATATGCCATATGTGCTAATACGTCAAATGTGCTATGATATCAAAATGTGCTGATTTCTAAAGACTAAAACAGTCTGGTTACATCTGTGTAATGAACATATGTGTAATGAAAGGTTAAATATGTGTTATTGTTTATATTGTTATTGAATTTGAGATGTAATAAAAAAAAAACTGTGACTTTTTTTCCTGTGTTTTTTTTACCTAGGCAAATTTGTGACTTTTTTACTGTGACTTTTTTTCCGCGTACCCTATTGAAACTCCAAAGCATACAATATTCAAATTATTCGAGGAGACGAATATTATTAGTTCAATGATCTAGTTCCATCGAGCCCCTGTGTACAAATTAGATATAAAACTAACAATTGCCATCGGTCTGAACCGTTAAATCTTGTCCGATGGTTACCTCTGAAGTTTAACCCGACGATTCAAAATTACCGATATACTATTTTGATCGAATGTAATATTACGGAATTTCTTTTTTGTTTTGCATAAATTTATATGTTTCAGAAACATGAAAATAGAGATGAAAGAATTAAAGTTCTACTGGATAGATTAACAATGAAGGCTGGTCAAGCTTATCATAAATTTTGTAATGTTTTACAAGTGACGGGTCACTACTTTTTGGCCGATTTTTTACGTGACGAAGGTAAGCTTCTTTTCTGTGTAACCAGCCATAATGTCTCTCCTTATACTCTTACATACTCTATCTACTTCACATTTGGAGTCAATAAGTCCGTTATTCGTGCCAAATGCATATCTTTGGTATTAAGTAATGGCCACTCTTGGGATGGCGTATAATTTTTGTGGGTATTGTGTCTATATATTATTTTTTATTTCGAGGTTATTGCATACAAACAGCTATTTTGCAGATATAGAATACTATTAAATGCCTGTTGATATTTGAGGGCAGTTACACCAATTTCCATCACCCCCCCCCCCCCCCCCCCCCCGAGTGTTCGGTTAAATTGTTTGGTATTTTTTTATTAAATACTGGCCTAATGAATATAATGAATACAAATAGGTCTGTTTTAGAGGTATTAGGTTAACTCCAAAAATATTCCTTCGATGGGTGCTCCCGTGTGTCCTCCATTAATATCAAAATTGCACCCAGCACACCCACCCCACTTAGCAGAAATCCTATCACTGCTTTCACCCACAATTGTCTCGGCCCAGTAATCCAGAGTTTAACTGGGTGTTTGTAGAAATATAAACTGGACAATGGCGTTACCAACAAGATCATGTTTTCTCAACAGTATATAGATAGCCATGCGAAGTGTGGAAATACGCCTACACAGCAGCTCAACAGACGCATATCTGTAAGGAAAACTTGGAAGTTGACCAAATTTAATAAGAGTGACAGAGTCTATGATTCTTCTTCTATAAATCTAATCTCTATGTATTCACAAGCTTTTTCCGGACACAATATGTCCGTAATAGAAAATCATAAATTGCTGAAAATAGACAGGGTTCATCCTTACCGGTTCAAATACTCCAATAATCTTAATCTTCTCGCAAAGTTTTCAGAAAGGGGGTGCGGCTGGACGAAAAGTCACAGAACACTGGATAACGATCCAAAGTCTATAAACCCAATTTGAAAAGTATCTGCTAAACCTGGAGCCTCTATCGCGTTAACAAGGTTTTCGGGGCAGAAATTCACAGAACGCTGAACAGCGATAGTGTTAGTAACACCAAATATTTTGAAATCTGTAGTCTAAGGTTTTCGGAACGGGGGGGAGGGGGGGTGGATACCTCAGGAACGAAAAGTAGCGAGTGCTGAAAATCGATAGGGTTAGTCATCTCCTGGTCGCAATAGGTCACCAAATTCGGAATAAATGAGTTAAAATATGTTTTCGGAAAATGGTTTTCGGAAAATGGTTCAAGCCAAATTTGAAAATAAATCTGTTAAAACTGTATTCTACTATCACTTTAACGAGACATTGTTGGCCGAGGGAAGGGCTTTAATGTGGGCGTATAAAAATACATAACTATAGGTTTCATATGTTAATATCCTGAATTAAAAAGCTGAACTTGTTGTTACAAGTCGGGTAATATAATATATGTTTAAAGTAGCTAAGTCCATAAGTCAATATCATCAAAAATCTTCGACATTGAAAACACGAATTCTTTTGCAATTTAAACCAGCATTGGTGTTGTGATCTTACCTGGAAAAGATTGGCTTCTGATATCCAATATTTAAGACAAAATAAACATTTTACTATTGGTACACGAATCGTGTACCATAATGCGTTTCAGCGCCATTTGTAACAAGGTGCTCAAAGAATGAGGCTAGACATATTCCACAAGTCATGTCAAACGGTGATATCATATTCTTATTTGGAGAGCATGCGCAATAAATAATATCGGTGTTGACTGGAATAACCAGACGCTAGAAACTGACTTGCGGTTGAGACTTCTGGCGTATTTCGCCGAACACAACTGGTGACAATTCACAGTAAAACGGACACGATTGAATGTAAAACAGATTATATAAATTCATATTACATTATTATATGTGTTGCGACCCATTTGTGCCAATTTCTAGGTCCAAAATATTAGCGATTTAGCTCCTTTAACATTATGATAAAATTCATAAACATGTATAGGACCTATCGATTTGTAATCAGATTCCTATGTTATTATAGAACCTGGGTGGGACAACGCCACTGATTAAATGACATAGATATGATTGTTAGTATACTGGGACACAATGAAAAAGCACCACTAATTTGACTGGAAGTTTTGACGAGACATAATGCAGCTTATATATGTAATTTTTTGCATGATTGTAGACTGAACATTTTACCAACAAGGAAATCATAACACACAACGAAGGCCTTACTAACTTGACAGTGAAACGTAAAACCATGCAGCGTCTCCTCATGGAGAAAACCGCTGAATGTCGACGGTATCACATCGGTGGTGGCGGAAGTTAAATAAAGTTATTTCACACATACACATCTTTGTGGGATCGTGCTCTTCACTCGTTACAATGCTGGTTCCAGTGGCTCTAATACTCACGCTCACTTGAATAATTGACATAATGGCGCGTTTTCGGTTTTCGTATCATTGCGTCTTCCACAAAAGTGTAAGGGTTGTATAGGCCCTAGCTTTTTTAAGAGCCAAATTTTATACTTCATATCTGTATCATAAAATCGTGATTGTAACATTCAACTTTATTTTATTCAATTCAGAATTAATGCAAAATTAAAGTGTATTCTCCAAACTAGATTTACATTAAAATGGAGCGATTTCATTGTGTTTCGGCAATAGTGAATGAATAAATGAATGAATGAATGTTGTTGTTGTTCTTAGTGTTTAACGTCGGCGTCCACCGAAGGTGATATCTCAGACAAGCCTTTTTTTATTTTTTTTTATTTATTTATTTTTTTGTATTATCTTAGCGCACGCGCAGGGTATTTCCTGTGGGAGGAAACCGGCGTACCCGGAGTAAACCCGCGAGGTTGAAAAGGCACCCCTATCTCCAAGCCACATACGCCCACACCAGGGATCGAAACCACAACCGCAAGCCAAAGGTGACCGGCCAGGTAGAGCTCGAAGCGCGACACTCTAGACCACTAGGCCATCCCCCCCCCCCCCAAAAAAAAAAGAATGAATATAACGTCCTATTTTATATACCACCTGGGCAAATGAATACCCGGGATACGCCATACGCCATGATATTTCTATGGCATCTAGGTAATCTGGTATAATATTTGTTAATATATAATAAGGAAATTTTATACTTAAATTCAACAACAAAATACTCGTTGATATATGGATAATAACTCGCCATGACACTTGTGTACTTAAACCGTTAATCATATGATGATATATATATATATAGGTAACAACATAAGTATTATTATATATCTGTTATACATACACATGTCAGTTGTCATAAACAAATTCATATGATACAGTAATTAAATGGAGATTTGCTTGTCACCAGGAGCATGTAATACAGGATCAAAAGATTAAAGAAATACTTTGTTTAGTAACCATGTAGATAAAAATGTATAATTTGATATTATCGGGAAATATTACATATACCACCTATATTTATTTGCAAAACAACCTCATTAAACTCCATTTATCAATAAGTATCAATGTAGTGACTCATCTGTGAAATAATTTCAGGAATCAATTCTTGCGTTCATTGACAAACATATTACGTATAAGAAGCATAATATTATATAAATGAAATTAAATGGGGTTTAATATTTAATTAAATATTTCGTTTAAACGAATTAATATTTCTTTTAGTTAAGTAGACTACTATCAATGTGATGACTTCTACTTATAACACATAACTCATTTGTCTGGTAGTCTGGACGATCGAGTCAATTATTCATTATTTTAATTGTATTAATTTATAGTGTTATTTTAGATTCTTATATCAACTAAATGTATACAGTAGGCCTACTCAACATATACATTTCACGGTTGCCAATCATTCAATGTGACCCCAGACTAACCCATAAGTGTTAGCCTGACAAGATTGTAACGTGAAATAATGAATTTTAGTTTGATAAAATGTCAATGGCCTAATCCCTATATGTGAAGAGTGCGTTTATAAAATGAGAAATAACACTGTACTTGTACTGATTAAGGCGAATATTTCTTCACCGACGGGACTGATGATGATTGTCGCCATGCCTTGTGCTACGGCCTACCCTTAATTCGATTTCCATCTGTCGGGGATCTTTAACGTGCTGTCAGTGGTGTACGCGGTGCCCCGGTTTATCGTTCTATCCGAACAACTAGGCTCATTTTCTTTGCCAGACTCCTTCCTAATCGACTGCCAAGTGGAAACCATGCAGACTTGAAATTCCCAATCACATGACTTATCAAACAGGTCTTCATTGTAATTTGCTAAGCTCTTGCCAGGGGTGACGCTTGCTTGACTGAGTAGGAAATTGTGTCTACTCGTTCATAGAGGATAGGAATTGGCAGTTTACGCAAAAGATCCCTTGGCAGGTAGACTTTGAAGAGGAGTAAGCGGAAACATCGCAAATAAATAACATCGCAAATAAATAAATATATACATGTATATAAATAAGAAACCCCTTACCAAATCAAAGATTTATACTTAAAATAAAAAGTTGTATTGTTTCCAAATTCTTCAAACAGAAATGTGAATCAACTCGATAAATCAACTCTAGGTTGCTAGAGAATAGTTTCAGTATGAATACTCCAAATTTCGAAAATAATTTACCGGTATATTTCAAGGGGTACATTGCATTGCTTAGCACATGACTCTGTAAATCGCACCTGGTTCTGTAGAAGTGCTTTTGATAATCTATCAAAATTTTGACGATGAAATCAGAAATAATCATATACACTGAACATTTTTGCCCCCCCCCCCTTTTCCCCATTGAAGCTAAAATCATGATTGGTAGGCCAAGGTCGGTGTAGTGAGCCCTTCTCTCTAAAAATTGCACAGAATGGTGGTTTACCTTAAAACATGACCTGCTGTAATGACTTCCTCGCCGACCCACACAACAAGAACACCCAAAAACTGCTGGCGATTGAAATAATTATTGTTCTGGTATTCAATAAACAAGGCCCTCATAAAAAAAAAAAAAATTCTAACGAAAATTTATTTTTGTGTAACTTGGTTCTACATTACAGAAAACAGCGATCCACCTAATGTTAAAGACATGTTGAAGAAACTCCCATTTCTAGCGAAAACTCTGAAAGACAGCGAGAGGAAAATGGTGGAATCTTACGTCATAGAAAAAGTAAGTAGATGAATAGAGTTTATTACTTAATGTTCGACACAGAACTGATGAAGACTAGCTCTGAATTTTATATGCTTCTAAATAATAAAAATATACGTTATGCGACGAACATCTGCTGCCGATTTCCCTAATACCACAGACTTTCTGGAATCAACTAAGCAATTACTCCAGGGCTCTTTCGATTCCCACAATACTGAATACAATATGTTCCTACTACTTCAAAAGAGATCATGCGATGACCTTTTGGGTAAAAACTGGAAAGAGCATTTTCGTTGATTTGCACATTATCTGATTTCTAATTTATGTATATAAAAAAAACCGCTAACAGTTAATTTCCAGAATCTGCCCACCACTTCCATTACCTACATTGCATTCGCAGTGAACAAAGACTATAGTTAAATATGTTAAATACAAATGGTGGACATAGTCCGAATTCGTTCACGAATGCAACAAGTAACTGTTTTGTTCTCCTGTTCTTTTTAAGATGCAAACAGAAACATTAAAATTTGTTTGGAAAAAAGACGCTAAGGATAAAGACAAAGCACTGGATGCCAAGTTAAAACAATTAGAAACGGAGGTACTGATGAAGGAAAAGGGTAAGATGGCAAATGAGCAGATTTCAGATCTCAAAGGGACACTAATGACAGCAACTGAAGAATGTGCCGTCCTTAAAGCGCAGATAAACGCTTTAAAAGCAGAGATATCTGCTCTGCGCACTCAGCACCAAGAAGATTTAAGTAAGCAGGTTAAATTCAGTATGGCTAATGAAAATTCTCTCAAAAGGGTCACTGAGAAGTTAGAAGAATCTGAAAAAGCTTTAAACAAAATCAGGATTCTGGTCAGGGATACTGCATCAACTCGGGATCAAAAATCGGAAAAGACAACCACAATGCCTGAAAATAACGTATCTTATCTCATGGACGATTTAAACTTTCTCTTATCGGAGTTCAAATCTTTATGCATCACAGAAAGAAAGTACGAAGATTTAGTACAAGAACGTGACTGGGTATTGGAGCAGATGGGCTTTACAGTAACCGAGGACGGCTCACCAAACCTAACCAAAGCTTATAAAGAATTCGCTAATCAGCATGAGCGCAATATTGAAGATTTGAGAAAAGAGATTGATAAATATGACGAGATGCTCCGAGTGCAGACGGACAAAATGTCTTTCATTGAAAACGTCAAGGATGAAAACGAACGGAAAACGGCGAACAGTACCGCCATTTGGCAAGCCGCTATTATGTCGGTGATGAGACGTCAGCTTCAAGACACCAAGGCCAGCAATAGAAAGAAGGATTCAAATATTTTATTTCTGGAAGAAGAAATCAGGAAGTTAAAAGATAAATTATCGCGATACGAAAATTTACTAGAAGAACAAAAAGAAAACAATCGCAGAAATCTTATGAATTTATCTGTCGGCGAAGATCTAGAAAACTTACGCCGACCCATCCCCAAAGATCCCCAAGAAAAACTTTACGTGAAATCTTTGGACAGTGTGAATGGTGGGGATGCATCCGGTGAAAGTATAATTAGTGTTAAATCGGAAACTCCTCGGCCAAAGGTGAACGCTCTTCCACCATTGAAATATGCTGTTCAGAAAATGAACCCCGGCGCCACTGTTCCGCGAATCCTAAAAGTCAGACCTCAAGCCTCTATACCACGAAGATATGAATCCCGAGCGTTTGGTGGAGTTCCCGAAGGTCTCTTTACCTCCCAACTAACTCTAGAAAATAGACGAAATAATAACAGCGTCAACGGGTTAAGTGAACTTAAAAATGTGAATAGGCAACGGGGTTCGGTTAATGAATTCCGATGAATGGCAGGAAATCAGTAGAAGACGGAATTATAAATGTAAACTATACAGATATTAAGGAAATATCATGGCTATAGCCATGATCTCACTGCTACTCTTTTCTGAACCTCGGATTTGTTTCGAGCATACTTTAAACAATACAACAGTCTTATATTTTTCAGATTATCAATAAAATGGCGGGAACTCTATTATCGCGAAGAATATTTGACTATTGATTTTGCTGGTGGACATTAGTTATGGTTGCGTTATATCAGCAGAAAAATTACTTCTCCGTGACAATTTTATGAGTGCTTTATTTTTTCTTCTATGCGAAAGTTATGGGCCCAAACTGGGTCGACCTATTTAATTTTCACGCTTTTGAAAATGTTAACCATTATACCCCCGCCCCACCCCACTATTCCTGCATTTGTTTCTGGTTTGGTGTCGTGGAAATGTGACATAATTGTATCTGACTGCCATGGATGTCGCGAAATTCTTATGTGACAATTGTTACTTGTTGGATATCGTTGAATTCGTGTGTACCAATTGTTACTGATTGGATGTATTCTTATGCGACACTTGTTATTGCTTGTCGAGGAACTTTTGCGTGGCAGTTGTTACTCGTTGTAATTCTTATGGCACAGATATTCAAAGAAACTGCATTTGATATTTAATAAGCTTTAATTGTGTTTATAACTTACATAGATAAATTACAATACTGGTATGTCTTTACATAATTTATTTATATTTGATAGGGATGGGGATATTACAGGGACTCTCCCACTGAAATTAGATGATGTTCTTTCCCGTGTTAAAATTAGTATCAGTCTAATGCTTAATCGATGTAGACCACATATTCAGTATTTATATTAGTTGGTGCTATTAGCAAACAAAGTGTGATAACAAGCTGGGTGAAGTACAAACACAGTGGGTAAAGCCAAAATACACCAATGGTTGACAATAGACAAAAGATTTAAACGAGGTTGGATTCATTTAAAGCATGTACAGAAGCAATGTATGCTTACTCTCTCCAGTACATGAACAATGGCATGAAAAATTAAAAGACCATAATGGGTGAAATAATAAAATAGCATAAGCATATATGTGTAGATATTTAAACTATCGTGATGCTAAACGTATTATAACGGGCTGACCAGGTACCATTAGTAATCGAAATGTTGGTTCTAAGGGTTCTTCAGACATAGCCTCTAGCCTATATGATTTCACCAACTGCAACAACAAAAACATTTATAAAATAAACATTATTTCAACAGGGATTTACCATATCAGCTACAGTTTTGAGTTATTGTAGTAGTTTATTTGAAAACTAATCGGACAGGTCCACTGACAAGGCAGAATCATTTTCACAAGGATAATCACATTCGCCATATGTTTCTGGATCCTAGTTTTGTCTTCTAAGCCTCCATTAATAGCTTTATTTCGATTCTTGTAATGTACGGAGATCGTCCCATATTATAAAACAATGTTACGGTACTTACATGGAAGATAAAACAAGACATGACAATCTCAGCTACACGTCGACCTAGAATAAAAGTAGTTTCCTTAAAATAGGCATCATCACATTGAACAGGAAAATAAATGTACTTAAAGTTATTTAATACCATATTTAACTGAATTTCGTTTCCGTGTAATAAGAGTGCCCCACAAATTGAATAGCACGTAAATTTGCAACGAAATGTATATGTCTCTTTACAGTCTCTTTTAAAAATGCTCATTTGCTTATATGATAACGACTCTTTAAATGTTTGAAGATACTGTCTGAGTTCAGGTATGAAGACATAAAGCGAGTAAATTATACTGTGAGGCATATTTATTACCTATACACATTCGTCTACCTAGACCAAATGGAACATTATTAGTGAATGTTTCCAGGTCACTGTTGTCTTCCAACCATCTATCTGGGTTAAATACATCAGGCTGAGGAAATAAAGTACTATCTCTTCCAATCACATACATAGATCCTGCCACATGACTCTAAAATACACAAATATATTTATTATACGTCATGTAAAGTAGCTAAGTCTCTAACTCAATATCATCCAAAATCTTCAACATTGAAAACACGATTTATTTGTCAAATTAAATCAACATTCATGTTGTGATCTTACCGGAAAAAGATGGGCTTTTGATATCCAATATTTAAGACAAAATAAAATTTTTACCATTGGTACACGAATAGTGTACTATAAAGCGCTTCAGTCCCAGTTGTATCAAGAGACTCGAGGGACAAGGCTAGACACATTGCACCAAATCAAACGGCGTATGTAGACTGGAATAACCAGACGCTAGAAATTTGCACTCACTTGAGACTGCTGGCTTATTTCGCCGAACATAACTGATTTGAAATTGGAGTAAAAATGGAAACCATTGAATGTAAATCAGTTTATATACATTCATACTACAGTATTATATGTGTTGCGACCTACTTTTGTCAATTTCTAGGTCCAAAATGTTAGCGATTTAGCTCCTGTAAATAACGATGGAGCTTAAATACACAACAAAGTTTGCAATTGAATGATATGTTTGGATTCATTATTTCACATATCCTTTGTCATGCCAGAACTAGTGAATATCCAGTTTGAAAGGGTTCCGCTACCATAATACATCTCCATATATAATTTTTGGAACGATCTCTAGTGTTAAAACAATAATAATTACTTTCTGGAAAATACTGTTGTGAAATATCTAAGATGACAGTAATGTGTAATCGCGTATTCTTGAAACTGGAACTGGAAATTGTGTATAATTTCCAATCATTGAAGGCGGTCGTAAATGCTAGATTTGAATATATACCTTTGTGTCTATATGATATCCTTGAATTGTAGATGACTCTTGCAGTATTCTACTAACAAAGAATCCTACGGGATGAAGCCTGTTAATGAGAAAGAATAACAAGAATATTAATATATCAATAGAATAATCAGAAAAGAAGCATTGTGTAAGTAAATATTATTAACCACTTTTTTTATTACGTCATTGCCTGAAAAAATCTTTCCGTGGTCTACGGAAGATTTCGGTAATCATAATCGGTAGTATCGGATCTAAAAGCCTTGAATAGGGGGGGGGGGGCAAATGTAGGGCGCCATCCAAAATCCCACCCCACAATGAATGCCAACAAATACTGGCTATAACAATGGACGCCCTGGTAAAATCAACATAGATCATATTGCCCAGTGGCGTAGCCAGGATTTTCGTGAGGGGCGGCTGGGATGCCTGCGAGCGACGTAGGAGCAAGCAGTCTGAATGTTTTGAAAATTTGAGCCAATTTTCTGGTCATTGCTGGGAGCAAATTCTTGTGAATGACAGGATTAGAAATGGGACAGAACCTAGAGATCTGCCTGTTTTGTGATAGTATAAGACCACAGTGTAGTGGACGAATGATGGCATAATGGAATCGAGCGCCCATGACGCGAGAAAATTTCAGATATAATATGTAATATACTGAGCACTGATGTTTAGGGACCGCAGGTCTGGATATACGAAATCGAATCTGCTCTAGTTGAACAATATTTGACATTTATAACCAATAAAACTGTACCTCTGGGATTCTTTTAGGACAGCTTTAAGGTATGGTAAATCTTGAAGACCACTAAATGATGGTGTTCCATGTTTTTCTAGAAAATCTTTGATTTCAAGGAATAATGTGTGTTGAGTTTCAGATGACCGGGAGAGCTCATATACACACCATAATATAGAACTAGAAGTCTATAAATTAAAATGATATGGTTTTCATGTTATAGGATTTATTGAATAACATCTGTTTCATTTTGTGTCTTGAATTGTATCCTTTGCTCTAGGGTATCATGGTAATTGTGACATGGATAGTTTATGAGTAAATTTCTTTTTTCACGGTATTTGATTTAGCTAGTAGAGTTTTAATACTTACCGTATCTATACTGGCTAATACTAAATCGGTAATATTGATATGAGCTTCAGGTAGTGTTAATTCTGGTGATTTCAGCAAATGTGACAGAACACATGATATCTCTTCTACGTCTGTTGAGTCTCGGGATAAATAATTCTCAATATATCTTTTTGCTAAAAAAAAAACACAACCGCACACATTGTATTGCCTAGTGAAGTCGTAATCAAAAAAATATTAAATACTCCTCTCATAAATGGGTAGAGACTGGAGTTATTATTCTACAACATGGAATTTATAAATTGAAAAGTGTAACCTACTTGTTCGTAGCAAATGATCCCATCTACCACTATGGCGTCTCCAGGCTTTTACAAACGGCCACAGAAAAGTAGGAGTTGATAGTAGAATTCTTGCATCTTTAAAATTCTCTCTAAATAGAATTCAGAAAATAGCATTGCATTACATAATAACACAACTTTATGGATTTACGTGAATGTTATATCTCTACTTGTAAATGAAGTTTAAGAATATTATAAAAACGCCACATTTATTAGTAGGTATTCCATATACATTTAAAAATAAACGTGAAGATTGGGCACAAACTTCAGCACCAATATTGCTTAACTGCGTAGCCGTTCTATTTGATATAAACATATTTTCTAAACTAGTTGTCGAATTGATGTTATAAATGAGCTAAAATCTAGTACACGGTATAACGTAGCTATTGTTTTCCTGACTTTAAAATTATGTGGTAATTCTAATCTTGCTTAATGCCAACTAAATCCGGTACTAAATAAAATATGGTTATAATTAAGTTAATACCTCAGTAAAATCAGCTTTTGTTACAGAGTGCGATCATAATTTTGATACTAATGGGGTTGCTAATTTTGTACTCACCTAGCGGTTGTTATAATAGATGTGAAATCGTGTACTGTTTGTTCTTCTTGTTCATCGCCTTCATATCCCATCATAACTCTAGCCATAGCTAATAAATCAACAACATTTTAAAGAAACAATAACATCCACATTGTGGATGTCAACTGGTAGAAATTGCCGATGGTAATTCTTGTCCAAGGGAGTAATAAATATAAATATGTACTTTCATCCCAGTATACTATAGTTTTATTTTTAGAACTCCTGGTACAAAATGTATAGTTATCCAGTTATTAAAATGATTCTATGAATCTATAACCTACCTAATAAAACGTAATGTCCTACAACTCTTTCCATTTCAATTGTTCTGTTTTCACTAGCGGACTCAGATAGATCTTCAGCAACCTTCTTTGCAACCTGATGAAATTGGTTTTGATAAGAAGAAATGTGAAATATCTCAATCGTCTTTGTATTTCATCTATCAAATTTAAATTCCTCCAAGTTTTAAAAATAATATTTGTACTGTATCTAGTCTTGACATTGTTAAAATTCAAAATGAAAACAGGCGGACAAACAAGGTTCTTACTCAGGGCTGTAAAAGACAATCCCTGGCCAGCTTGTAAAAGAAACATGAAGCATAAAGAGCTCATGTCCGAAGAGCAGCCCGGGGGACGAAGGAGACGATACGTTCACATTAAATAAGGCCGTAAAATTGAAGTAAAACTATAATACCATATCAACTCCTTCAAAATAACACTTTAAAGAAGAACTACTGAGTAATGCTTTACCGATATGTTTTCTTTGTCTAAGCCAATCTTCTCCAGTACTGAAAATATTGAACATTCAATTACCTTTATTGGGTATATGACAAATACATGTTTCTATATTATCTGTTGTCGGTTATGTTACGGATATCAATCCTAAACCTCTTCTGCAGCCGATGAATAAAAATGTTAATATGATAAAGTCTAATATTTACGAAATGCATAGTGCTCTGAAAAATTGTAATGAATCAAGATGTACTTCGTAGACATCTTATAACCGTTGATTCTCATGGTATTGTACAGCGCAGTGGACGCTTACTGCTGGCCCACGGATCCATCTATTCACTTGGGTTGATATTTGTTGTGTATTTCTAACAATGTATATGTAGTGTGTCTTGTCCGCAGGTTTGTCGGTTTTGGTTTGCGTGTGCTTACTATTAGGGTAGATTGGTCAAACTATTCCAAACTACCAAAAATATATAATTGTTACAGGAAACATTATCTTGTGAGATATGCCACCAATGGAATCCGATTGACTACGTACAATATTTTACTTATAGACACCAAGGCGTTTTTAAAACGATGTTTGATGCTTTGTGTGTATAGTGATAATTTGGGTTTATAATTTGGTCATTTCAAATAGCATACTATCAGATAACTTTCTTTAGAGGTTCGGGATCACGTGGCTAAGTGGGTAAGACGCTGACTCGCTAGCCTGGAGGTCGGGTGTTCGATCCCTGCATTGGCCGAGAAAGTTCATCCCGATTTTCCGGCGTGGTTTCCCCTTGTCAGTGATGCAGGACGGAGGGCCTGACAAGGGCAGCTGTCTAGTCGTTCGAATGGGACGAAAAACCGAGGTCCCGTGTACACATTGTGCAAAATTTCCCTCATAGCACACTGTATGGCGTATGCCCGTCTTCATTAGCCAAGGTTAGGAGCAGAACAGTAGGACGTTAAACCCCATTTCATTTCATTTCACTTCTTTAGAGGTTCGAACAGATGACCAAATAACAGACACATAGAACAAATAATTAATGACATCACTCACCTGACTAATAGTCCGAGAGGTAAATCACGACTTGTTCGATATCGACGAAGATGTTTAAAATCCAAATGAACCGGATAAAATCCCTCAGCTTTTTTCAATTTTATCAAATCTTTCAATGTAAACAGAAATACCATTTTATTCTTTAATACTCCAAATTGATAAATTGGTCCAAACTGCCAAAACCTCGACATTAATACTCTATGAGCGGCTGGACCAAATACTTTCAAGAACTCAGAAATACCTCCTAAAATTGGTAAACCCTTTGGCTTGGGAATGCCATCTTGGGTTCCGTTATTGAAATAACAGGTATATATACCAACAAACATCAATACTAACAACAGAATGACCACCAGTGCTAACATTTTAGTTACTTTCTTCAATAATATTCAATTGGTCGTGCGCACAAATTGGTGTACAACACAAAAACTGGAATGTAATTTCAGATTTTGTTCAAATTCTTCGACGCTAAATCTACCTGTTCAGATTATAACTGTCGCTTTCCAGATTTCTTCATTTACACTTCCATGTCAATCCAAAATTATTTCTCTATGAAAATATAAATATACGGCAAGAAAATTGAATTTCACAATGTTTTAAATGTAGTCGCCCTGGTCAACGAAACCTGTGTGAAGAGTATTACAATAAAATATGTTACCGCATTGTTTGGTCATCAAACATTCTATTTGGAGAGTGAATATTGCTTTAACCTTTCACTCCGATTACACCTGGGAGTAACAATGAAGGGAGTACACGTTCTGAAGGCGCATTCTTGTTCTCCCTGGAATGCAATAATTTTGTTTTTCAGCCAAATCGCTAAAAAATTTTAATGGCGAATAACTACATGAAAGAAGTGTGGTAATCATCCACTGATACGTTCAGATCGACCAAAAGAAGTAGGATTTAGCTTGGTGGTGGGGGGGGGGGGGGGGTAAATCAATGGGGAGTGCTGAATTAAGGGAAAGGGTGTAGCGTATAACCCTCCTCAAGATCAATTTGAAAAATAGATTCGATTTGGTGCATTCTGAGGTATATGCTGCGCGAGTAACATAAGAATCTCTCGGTCACCATATGGAACTTTTTATCTTGTGCTCAGTTCATTTGTCTCACTGCGACTAAATCTACATTTTATTACTTTTCTTGCGAAACAAAAGGAATCGATCATTAATTGTGAACAAATTATTTTTTAGGTGTGCTAGAGGTCGACGTCATTTGAAGAAGCTTCTATTCCCTTTATTATATTACCTGCATTACACCGCTATACAAACCTTATCATATTTAGTTAACATAATCTGTTATATAACATAGAATAGGGGCAGTGTTGTCATACATTTACCCGGCCCTGCTGATTTTAGTAAAATGTCAGCATACATGAATATAATGAATATTGACCTACATATTTTTATATTTCAAAATATTCATGGAAAATCAAAGAAGGGGTTAAACAACAAGACCAGTTTGATAATTCAAGATCATATCATGTTTTGGCGGGTAGTAATAAGAAAGTGAAAATATGGGGTTTAACGTCGGACTGGGCTAATGAAGAGGAGCATACGCCATAAAGTGTGCTATATGAGAGACATTTTTCCTATATCGAATTCCAACTGTCAAGAGATCTTTTACGTGCATGCCTATACGAACGACTAGACAGCTGTCCTTGCCAGGGCCTCCATCCTGCACCACTGATAAAGGAAAACCATGCTGGACTTTATCGGACTACACCGGGAACAAACCCACGACCTCCAGGCTAACGAGCCAGCTTCTTACTCACTTAGCAACCGTGGCTCCCCAGGCATTAATAAGAGTAATACACGAGTTTTATTTTTGTGATGGGTGGATGCTTTTTATGATGTGGCCACTGAAAGGTGTGTATGGAGTAAGAACTGTGCCAACTATCAAATATGGACATGTTGCAATATAATGGTAGCACATATCATACCTGATAGTGACAACTAATGAACGACTGCCTGATCCTCCAGCCAAAGCAATGTTCATTAACTTTCACCAAAATTCTTTTTAGAAAAAAAAATAAATAAATAAAAAGAGAAAGAAAATATCAATTTATTTCCAAATATTAAATATCATAGTATAACAAACTTACAGACATTTTCTTGTGTACATGGATATAAAAATAAATAACAAGTTTTATCACAGAAATACAATAAAATCATCAACAAATACATAATCATACGCAATAAAACACAAAAAATAAAGGAAAATGTCTTTATCACAGAAATACAATGTAATCATACACGGAAAATAAGGGGACATGTCCTTATCACAGAAATACAATATAATGATACACACAAAACACAACAAATATGGGAAAATATCCATACCTGGTTGAGCCATGAGCCATGAAATTGTTATCAGCCACCCTAATTGCCGGATTTATTGAAAGAAATATTCAGGAAGAAAACTAAATAAACAGTATTTACTAATCTGGGGTTAGTGGCTTTCAGACTAATGGGAACTGAATCATTGTAAGGGGAGGGGGTGGTATTGGGACAATCGTCTAAATGTTGTATCAGAAACAATATCAATTACAAACAGCACAACATAAATTAAAGCATACAAGCACAATATTACAACAAAAAATAAATTCTATTAAGAGATGGTAATAGGTTTTACATCTCCCTTACACACATAACAATTAATGCTTATCCTTTTACATAGATGGTATGTAAATTTACCACACATACCTGACCCATATCACAATTCCAAGTATACCAGCATAATTATTTCTGCACTACATTATTGTTTAAAAGGCAAATGACTTTTATTCCCAAATTATTTTTGCTTTTAATCAAATATGAATCCAATTAATAACAAGCCAACAGTGAGGCTGATGTCCCCCGCCGAAATAGGAAAATAATTAGAGGACACATATAAATTTATCACAAATTATCTTTTACAAAGTATTGAACAATCAAACAGTATATCTTTACTTATAGTCTAAGCATACAATGTTTTTGATGGAATAATTATAGCATATTAAGGGGAAAACATGCTCTATGCCTACAGATCTAGAGTTTGGTTGTATCAACGGGTCTATTTTCCATCTTGCTGCAAGTTGTGCAAAGTTCACTGTTTTCTTTCTGTCATTAAATGTCAATTCATTATTGCATACTACATATTTAATTAATTTATAATAGTTTCTTTTTCAATTTGTTTTTTCCATTTATTTGTTTATTTACCTTGCCTATATTCATTGTATTGGATTGTATTGGAATTGCTCAATTGATGCTTTTATCAATACCTGGTTATAATATTATGACATGTAATGTGGCAAGTTGAGTCGGGACATGTAGGCTATAATGTAACCTAAATGTATACATAAGTGGATTTCGTTTCATTTTTTTCGAAAATATTGTACAGATAAAAGAGGAGGAATTACAGGGGTAATACATTGGAAAGCTTCTTCAAGAACTAAAGCATAAACTATATTGTTTTCCAAAGTCTCGACCAATCAAATTGCGTATCGCTCTGCTTACCCTGAGCAGAAAATGCTCATTATCAAACTTAGTCAAGGTATTACTGTAATGAAACTATACACCAAGTTTCATCAATCTCACTTAATTAGAACTAAAGTTATCGTGTCCCAAAGCATCAACCAATCAAATTGCTTATCTCTGCTTACCCTAAGCGGAAAATGCTCATCTTCGAACTCCATCAAGGCATTGACCTAATCAACACATACACCAAGTTTGAACATTCTAGCTCAATTAGGAAGAGAGTTATCGTGCCCCAAAGTATCAACCAATCAAATTGCTTATCTCTGCTTACCCTAAGCGGAAAATGCTCATCTTCGAACTCCATCAAGGCATTGACCTAATAAACACATACACCAAGTTTGAACATTCTAGCTCAATTAAAAGTTATCGTGTCTCAAAGCATCAACCAATCAAATTGCTTATCTCTGCTTACCCTAAGCGGAAAATGCTCATCTTCGAACTCCATCAAGGCATTGACCTAATCAACACATACACCAAGTTTGAACATTCTAGCCCAATTAGGAAGAGAGTTATCGTGTCCCAAAGCATCAACCAATCAAATTGCTTATCTCTGCTTACCCTAAGCGGAAAATGCTCATCTTCGAACTCCATCAAGGCATTGACCTAATAAACACATACACCAAGTTTGAACATTCTAGCTCAATTAGGAAGAGAGTTATTGTGTCCCAAAAAGTGTGACGGACAGACAGACGGACAGACAGACGTACAGACAGACGGACAGACAGACAGACAGACAGACAGACAGACGGACGAACCCATTTTAATAGTCCCCTGCTTTCTTCGAAAGGCGGGGGACAATTAGATCTGATGGTACTTTTAATTCCATTTGAAGTCAATTAATAATCAGATTCAATATATATTTAAAGTCATTTAATTATTAGATATGATGGTACTTTTAATTCTATTTGAAGTCACTTAATAAATAGATATTATGGTACTTTTAATTCAATTTGAATTCAATTAATAATTAGATCTAATGGTACTTTTAATTAGATTCAAATTCAATAAATAATTAAATCTGATGGTACTTTTAATTAGATTTGAATTGAATTAGTAATTAGTCTGATGGTACTTTTAATTAGATTTGAATTCTATTAATAATTAGTCTGAGGGTACTTTTAATTAGATTTGAATTCAATTAATAATTAGTCTGATGGTACTTTTAATTAGATTTGACATAAGGAAGGTACAATTTCATAACATCATTCTTATGTCGTCCACCAATATTTTCGAGTCGTTGATTAAATACGAAATGTGCGTAGTCACGGCGTTGATCTACTTCTTTATTTACCAGTGTTGGTTCTTCTTGAATCATTTTAACATTCTTCATACCACCAGAACCATGGACAACTTTTATTCTACTTGGTGAAGTTTTGGGACGACCAACCTTGTCTAATATATCATTTGCCTGGTATAAAATAAACAAATTTATGGTTATAAGAAGATTATAATATATTAAGCAACTTATTTTAACTTCTTTGTTAGGCATTTAGCAATTGAATATATTTACACAAGGCACATTTTATGGAGACACAGCCACAAAATCTATTAATATGCAACATTTCGACAAGAACACTAATAAATTCACTAATTGTATCCATAAAAGTGTGCCTTGTGTTAACTTTTGAAAAAACAATTCACCAATTGAAGTGCATCCCTGGGATTATAAGCTACTACTGTTTTATGTATTGTGTTAACAGAAATATAAGGGATTGTAAATTGCCTGATGGATGGAAGCTAGCAGCTAAGAGTAGAAAGGGAATTACTTCTACTTCATGTATACAAGTATATCTGTTTTCCAAACCTTCATTGATTTTGCAGAGGAGAAATATCTGAACATATTTTACAGTAATGAATTCAGGACAGATACACACAAAATGGGGTTTTACATCCCACTGTTCTTCACCAACTGTGTTAATAAGAGAGATGAGGTTTAACCCCCACTCGACACAAACTAGGTCATTTCGGGACTAACATATGGTTCAATTTTATTTCAATAATTCGCTTGCGCGTAGGGGTCTTTAGCAGTGGGAGAAAACCAGAGGACCCAAAGAAAACCCAGAAGGTTGGACAGGCGACCCTACTCCTTGCCACGTACAACCAGGGAATCGAAACCACGCCAGTTCACTCAATGACAGACCTTATGATGCAGTGCACACATGCTAACCATTCGACCATCCAACCCCACTCTGTGTTAATGAAGACAGAATCCCCATTGCAGCATCGCAACCCAGACTTCTTTTTGAAATAGACTTGAAGTAAAGCTTTACTCAATAATATTCATGTAAAGTATGTGCTTGGGTTTTTAATTGGGGCTCCAATTTGATGTTATATTAATTGTTGCTTTAGGTCAGCATCTAATATTTAATGAATATATTAATTCTTACCCATTCATCCTATGTGTAAGCAGAAATAAAAACAAATAGAGTATAAAAAATGATAATAAATCATTCTTAACTTTCAAAACATGATTTATATCGGATAATTACAATTCAGATTTAAGATGAAATGAAATGAAATGAAATGAAATGGGGTTTAACATCCTACTGTTCTGCTCCTATGCGGGGCCAATGAAGACGAGCATACACCATACAGTGTGCTATGAGGGAAATTTTGCCCAGGCAGCGGCACTATCGCCTACTCTTTTATCGAATTCCAACTGCCAAGGGATCTTTTACGTGCATTCAAATGTATACATGGGACCTCGGTTTTTTGTCTCTTCCCAAGAACTAGACAGCTGTCCTTGTCAGGCCCTCCGTCCTGCATCACTGACAAAGGGGAACCACGCCGGAAAATCTGGATGAACTTTCTCGGCCAATGCAGGGATCGAACACCCGACCTCCAGGCTAGCGAGCCAGTGTCTTACCCACTTAGCCACGTGATCCCCAGATTTAAGATGCCTCAGGGCATTAATAGAAGCAGAAAATGTTCTGTTGAATCAAGAAATGATAATTGAGATCATTAGCTATGAAATAAGCCATATATATGTACCTGTGCTATTACTGATGTATGATGCCAGCTTTTAGCATGTTTTGTATACTCTTCATATTCTTCTTGTAATTCAGATTTACTGTAAATAGAAACATTTGACATTTCTAGTCGTATTTTATATAATACATATGTCATGCAACTTTACTGCAAAAGAAGGGCTAGTATTTTGGGGTTTTTTTTAAATAGATGTATTCAAAGGCATAGGGATAGGGTGATGTATTTTTCTGTATGTATATAAAATTTATGTATATTTCACAATATCCACTTTATAAGCAAACTCTTCTTCTATATCCATGTTGTTGAAATTGAAATAAAATCATACCTCAAGTTTTGTCAATACTCTACTTATGCTTACAATTTATTTTCTTGCACAGTGATATCCTGTATTTATGTCTTATTTCAATTTATCCTACAATTATTTTGCTAAAGTTGGTGCAAATCCTGTTCCCATAACAGCACCACTAATAACTGTGAAGCAGTCACAGGAAAATATTTAAAATATAAAATCGATTGCATATAGTAACTATCCATATGAAACAAATCTCTACCTTCTGGCTAATTTCATTTTCTCTTCCATTTCATTAAAGGTTTCTATTTGACTCAACCATGGTGTACTCATTCTTAACTGAAATTGAATTGAAAATGGCAACAGATAGTTTTGTGTTTCTTTGATCTATACCTACGCTTGTAAATGTGGTTGATCTAGAGTTACACAAATACATCCAACATAAATACACCAAGAAAAAAAAAAAAAACACCTACTATTACTGCTAAATTAAAGATGCATTTTGTAAGATTTAGATATAGGGATGTCCATTCTCGCTATAATAGTATGAAAAATGAATATGCTGAAAATTTCAGTCTAATAAATGTTTGAAGTATTGACAAGAAATAGCTTAAATAGTCTCGATTGTCAAGTACCATTACTATGATAACAAACAAAAGTCTTGATTTTCCATTTTAAAGTTTAACGAAAAGATAGCAGACATTGTGTAATCCCTTAATCTCTCAGCTATTCGATGAGCTAGAGAGTTGATATTAATAATTGATATAACATTTGGAGCCAGAAAAAAGACCTGCAACAGGCAGATTTTGCTCTTACATAAATAATAATTATACGATTATAAAATAAATATATTTACCTGGTTTCTTGGTAGTATAAGTGGTGTTAAAGATGGTAAATTCTTACTTTCTGATGAAGAGTAATAGGACTGTCAAATAAAACAATTTTAATAGTTTTATGATTATGTGACCAAAGCATAGAAAAAGAGAATTTAACACAAACAATATTATATGAGCATCAGAGTTGAAATGTTGTTCAGTAATAAACAGTAATTTTATTCCATAGAATTGTGTCCTGTATATTTCAAGTTCATTTAATAAAAGCCATTGAAACAGTTTCGAATTGTATATGTCTTATAAAACAAAGTTTAATATGTATGTACCATAAATCAAGAAATTAATGTATCATGAAATTATTGTGACCCTATGCCATATCGTACTGTTTTTTTTTTAAAAAAAAAATAGCCATGTCCTTTGTCTAATATTTCATGACAAAAACGGAAATCAATTTAGGAATAACTCAGTAACTGCATTGTATAATTTAAAAAAAAAAGAAACAACTAACCTTTTTAGCACTGGCATGTCCCAATAAATTAACATCTAAACGATACAATAAGATTTGACTCTTATAGCAACTAACAGCTAACAGTAGTTGTAACACACCCATTAACAGTTTCTTGTTTAATAGCATCTGGTTAAAGTTGAGCAGAAGTCCAATCTGGTGATAACCTGTTTCAACCAGTAGTTTTTTAATTTGTTTGTTTTGCCATAATGGACGCACTGAAAGATCTGATACCTTCAACTGAATTTCTGCCGCATGTTTTGTTATACTTAACTGAAAGAAAGAAAAATAAATTATTTACAATTTTAGGATTTACAATTTTTTGAAGCAATGATGATAAATCATCAAAAATCTTTCAAGTACTGATTTATATATAATTTCAAGATTTATAAAAATTCAATTGATGATTGCATAAAATATATCTTTTAATTTGATCAAATAGATATTATCTTGAGATAACTACTCACATGATCATCTAATAGATATATTATCTTGAGATAACTGTACTCACCAGATCATCTAATAGAGATATATTATCTTGAGATAACTGTACTCACCAGATAAACTAACAGAGATATATTGTCTTGTGATGGATGCTATAGCCCACCAGACCACTTAACAGAGATATATTATCTTGAGATTGCAGTAGTTTCCAGATCAATGAAGAGAGATATATAATCTTGGGATAGCGTACTCATCAGACTATAGACATATTATCTGGAGATAACAGTACTGACCAGATGGACTAAAAGAGATATATTATCTGGAGATAACAGTACTGACCAGATGGACTAAAAGAGATATATTATCTTCAGATAACAGTACTGACCACATCGACTAAAAGAGATATATGTGACAACTCCCACGAAACCAGACGCTTGTCACACAACTTCATTTTGTACTACGGGCACAAAAACATAAACTGTATGCCTTCTTGTTGCCTTGAATGAGCCAAACTCAATTCCATATGATATGAAAATTTAGAAAGAATTGTATTTTTGGAAAGCTTAGGCTGTGGACTATACAATATGCTACCAGCTCTATTTTTATAAAAACAACCAAGAGCCTGGTTTTGTGGGAGTGGGTCACATACTATCTTAAGAAAGCAGTACTCACCAGATCAACTAATAGAGATATATTATCTTGAGATAATGGTAAAACATCACAAATAACTTGACAACATCTTGGACTACTGGATAAATCTGCAAAAAACACCGAACAGATGTGGACTTAAAAAATCCTATTACGGTTTTCATACTGTTGGTTCACATACCGATGGTGCTTTTGTAGTTAAACATGATTTAGCTACATGTATTTAGCTATAAATTAGTGAAAGTTTATGCACAAGGCTTACTTTTGTAAACACCTAATAACATCTCTTATTTAGTTGAAAAAAAATATAAACAGATTTTCTGTATTTTGTTTTAGTAAAATATGACAAAATTTATCCAGGTCCAGAGACCTGTTTCACGAAATTTTAGCTAAGATAAAATCCAAATTTTAGTAATTTGATTGGATAACATTAGATTGATTTTAGTGCTTAGCCAATCAAAATTTAAGTATCTACTAAAATTGGATTTTATCTTTAGTTAAAATTTCGAGAAACAGGGCCCTGGTTCATTAGTAACTGACAAAAACAGCTGGAAAGTTGCATACACCAACAACTTTTATACATACCAGTTATAGCTCTAAGAGCATCGTATGCTGGTATTAATAAACTATCTAGATTCCAGTGTGGATAGACTATATACGGCTCAGTAATCCCAGAACCTTTAGCTTGAAAATGGAATCCTAGAAACTTGAGTAACTCAAGACCACCATTACTTGTGATGATACCAGTTGTCAGCTGTGATGTCATTCGATTATTTTCTTCTGTATGTAATCTCTTTAAAGCAGCATCCAACTTAAATGATATAATTATCACATGAATTAGAATAAAAAATAATCTTCATCAACCATGAAGTAATTTTGTTTATAGACATAGCACACATCACCCAATATCTAAAAGATATTAACCCGTTAAGCGTGACGTTTTTAAAATGTTAACTACCCCTTATTGTGTAATTAATTTGACGAAGTGACGAAGAACTATATACTACGTTCTAAGAATAGGTTGGGGAATATACCTCCAAGGCGTTATATTACGCCCTACACACAGTGAGTGGCAGTTGTCCAGGACGTAATATAGTACTATAACGTCCTACACATATGGGTGAATTCCCAAGGGACTCACCCAAGTGACGAACTATGTTCTAAGAATAGGTTGGGGAAAATACCTCAAAGGCGTTATATTACGCCTTACACACAGTGAGTGGCAGTTGTCCAGGACGTTATATAACAACCTACACACTTAGCGGGTTAAATCATTTTGTCGTCTTGGTTGACTTATTAAAATATGGACGATCAGGCAGACAATGTTGACGATTAGGTATTTCAAAGATATCTTCAACAGGCAGATAATGCAGACAGTATCTATAACTCTATTTAGACTCCTAGTCTGGTACCAGTGAAAGGCTTCACATGAAGTTAAATCAAATTGAAACAAAGGCCTTAACCCTGGTTTACATATGTTTCAATATTAACACGTTTCTTCTTACATAAATAGACTTTAAAAACAGAACTTTTTTGAGATTCATATTATTCATTGGACACTTCATCGGATTTCCAGCACTGTAGCCTAGTATAAAAAGATTATTCCTATTATCAATATTGATAACTAAATGAAGAAAATGGGACTGGGATGGACTACAACCACACCAAGGGGAGGCAACTGATCACCAGTTTCTAATACATGGTTATAAAATGAATAACATTACTCTAATCATTTTGGTTGAACAACTTACAAGTTCTATTAGATCATAAGCTACAGATACTTGTTCAGGACAATGTGATAATAATTTAACAATTATGTCCTGTAATTTCTTCTTATTTTCTTCAGGACTAGCAACTAAAAATAGAGCAAAATAGAAATAATAAAACATTTCACATTAATATATTTACTGAGGTAAATAAACTTAGAAATTTAAAAATTGAAACATTTTGCTTGACATTAATAGTGATAATTATAAAGATATGGGGTTTATCATCCATTTAAAATAACAGGGTTTAGTATTCCAATCTTTAAATTCCATTAATCTATACGCAAAATGAGATTAATAATTCATTTCAATACTAATAATAGCATAAGTTACAGGAAATTTACGGAACTCCAATCTTTAATTTGCAATGATTTGCCGATTGAAATTAATAATCCATTAATAACTACTAATAATATCACCATAATTGACAGGAAATCTGTGGAATTCCAAATTTTGATTTGCATTTGGGGGGGGGGGGGGGTAGATTTATAAAAAAATCCATAAAGAATACTTACCATGAGTAATCGATGATTTTAAATTCAAATATTCATGTCCACTCTCTTCTTCTACCTCCTTCTCTGTCTTATCAATAACTTGATTTAACATGGCATGCCGTATTGACTTAATATCTATACTTATATCTTTACCAATCAATATAAATGGACAGCATAAACAAATATGATCACATCTGCAAAATTATTAAACAATTTGTAAATAGTTTCAAATAATCATTTAGTCTTTATTATGGGTGCTAAAAGTCAGATTCAACGATTCAGAAAATTTTGACCTGAATATAAAGGTAAATATTGCAAGAAAATTATAATTACAACTGTTTAGTCTATGAAATATGCATCCAATATTTAGAGGTCAACCTGGGAGATTGTGACACACTCAAAAGATTATTTATTGTGTGAGAGAGAAAACCGATTTAATGTTTTCTTGACAAAACTTATCATTTTGGGAATAAGTAGTAAATATTTGTATAACTATTGTGCTAGTACATTAGTTGGCACTCATCATGGATCAGTTTTAGGTTAAAATATGAGAAAACCCAAGAGGCTCGGCCTGCAATACTTCCTTTCATTACTGTGCAATGAGTATTATCTAATTCATGTTCCCAATACTTTAGACCACTAAATAATAATCAAAGCCTCATTAAAACCCTAAAACATCACTGCACTGGAACATTGACTGCTTTTGTGTCCCAATATCGGTACAAGAATATTGCCTCCAGACACAATATATTATACTATAAGTGTCAACATTACAAGAAATGAATTATGTTACCTTTCATCGTCTTTAAGGTTTTCTATAGTTTTTCTAACAGCATCTGTTAATGTACTATTAGACTGTAAGGTCAGGTAGAAATAATGGTAAAATTTCTCCATTAAATAATCTGGTAGCTGCCACTGAGTTACCAATACACACTGTGCACCTAGATAATAATTTATACAATTTGTACTTTATTTGTGGAATATTATTGTGTGCAGTAAAAATCATAATGACCTCTACAATTGTAATTTTTTGTTCTCAGCATACTTGACATAGAATTAAATCTTTCAACATATATAACTAACTAAAATCCAAACAGGCAGTTAGTATGCATATCTTATCCTTTATAAATAATGCCAATTAATAAGACAGAAATTAATTTAATGTGCAGTCATCATAACTATGTCATTTCACATGTAGACATAGCTGACAATCCCCAGCACATCCATTACCATTTTGCCACAGACACCCCTTACATTCCAACTTCACCCCCTCTCCATTCTGCCACATGCTTACCACACCCATTCACCGAACACACCTATCAACATTCCTCCACTCACACCCCACCAAACACAAAAGAAACTTACCAGCAGCAAGGAATAAAGCAGGTAGAATATAACCAGGTTGTATAAACTGTGATCTATTGGGTGTATAACCCACGTTTATAACCACTAGTTGACATTGTAGTTTTATATTTAATATATCTTCTGGTCGCACTAAGTAACTCTCCTCTGTTGGTAGACTCTTATCTAATCTTTGACTTCTTGGATTGGGTGAAAATACTAAATATCCTTTCTCTAAACATCCATAAGTTGCTGAAATTTGACAAAAATATGTAGAAATAACAATATTCACAGTTTAATCATACTGTCATTTACTCAAATATTCAACTTAAATATTAGTAAATCACTAGATGATTAGAAGAAGTTGGAAATAAATACCTTTTGATAATTTCTGAATGTTTAATGAATATTTAAATGGATTAATTATCTTTCTTTAAGTCCTTATGGTAATATATAATGCCTTCAAAAGCTTTTAGGAATTTCTATATGGTTCTTAAATGAAACGATCCAACAAAAATTCCATGGAGAACTTTTGCCTGTATCAGTTCACAAGCTTTGACAGTCAAAATATGACCATATGCCCTGAAGAACAAAACACTTGTGAGTAACGCTTTATTTAAATCTAAAAAGTTACAAATTTGAACTAAAAGCTTTAGAGAAGAGCAATTAAATTTTTTTGTTGTTTTTGAACTATTTTCTCCCCAAGAAGTAGAAAGCAAATTTTTTTTATAGTTGTTCTTGTAGAACAATAATTCAAATTGGTGAGACCCAGACAGAATGCCAACTGCTGAAGGTTTTTATGCAGAAATTCCAATATGGAATGGGATGATGTTTCCACATAGATTTTAAAGCATAAATTCAGCAAAAAATGTGGAAATTCCAATATGGAATGAGATTATGTTTCCATAGAGATTTAAAAACATAAATTCTTTAATTGTTTACCTATATGTATAATAGTTGATCGTTGAATTTCAAATAAAAACTTTTCTTTAGTGGCTTCAGTCAGTAGAATTGGATCTACGTCCAAAATTTTAGCAACACTGTTAAGTTCTCTCTTTGCTGATAACATGTCTCCACTTGGTTTCCACTCTGACTCATCTAACATCAGCCTTAAAATAAATTAAATAGTATTTACAAAAACAAGCAGTGTACATATGAAGAGTTCAAATACAAAACATATATGCCATTCTTTCCAAAAATGAGATATTTGTGCACTCAGATATCTGTGGGCCATATCAGAAATTAGTGACAAACTCACTTGATATAAATCTGATTTTTCTTAAATTTTCAATTTTTCTTTACTTTTTCAAAACAATACCATTATCGCATCTCAGCTAAAAATTTGGAAATACTGATACATTGTAGGTCAGTTTTTTTTGCAAACAAATTTGGAAAAAGTCATAGAAAATTTGGAGGTGCATCGTTGGAAATATAAATGATTCAGTGTATGAAAAACCTGACTAAAAAGGGACCTTATCGTTTTGAAAACATTGACAAGGCTATAGGGAAAGAATCATATCATATAGTCAATAAATACAGTGACAAACACCACACACACACACACATCCTTGACTGTCCAGACGACATATTTTTTGTAATATATTAATTGTTCTGTGCAATCTAGGACGTCTACAGCTTCATAATTAAACCTAGTGATACAAATTATTTCCATGGCATCATAATTAAAGAATTTACCTTGGGGGTAAACTTGGCATTCCAATAACCAAACACCGTTCTGGACTACTCATCTGAACAAACTCGGTAACTGCCTGACTTGACTTAATGATGTCAGTACCTGTTGCTGTCTGAGAAGTAATGGTGGAAAACGTGTGAGTAGACATCATCTTCTCTGGTGAAACTGGGAGACCAATACTTTTTGGTGATGAAATTGCACTTTCAACTTCTTGATTCTTTGATGACAAAGATAAGAAAGTGTTTTCACGACTTATTCCAAAGCTGACGACAGATTTGCCTCTTTCTACTGCAAGAGATCCTTGTGAGGTCAAAAGCCGTGGATTCGAAACAGACTTCAGATTAACAATTACATTCTCAGCTCTCGAAAGATCAGGCGCATCGCTGTATGCAGATCCAGTGCTACGTAATTTTAGTAATTTTGACACACCACCGCATCTTGATTGACTGCGTTCAAATTTCAGTTCATCTTGTGCTCTGAGTGAATCGATTTCATTTCTCAAAACTCTATCAAGCAGCAGCAGGCAAGGGAGATAAGTGATGTTAAACCTATCTGCTAGAGGTTTCAATGTCCAATTCTGTAGAATACCAAACGGGCAATGATGTAATTGTTTATCAGGAATAATAATTAAATTGCTTTGGGGATCTAGACTGGATAATATATCTTCAATTGGAGAAAGTAGAATATCATATAGCTGCCTCTCCAGGGGCCGATTTTTAGCTTCCAGATCCTCTGATATTTTTCTATCATCTGCAGCAGACGGCTGTTTTGGGGATTGTTTGGACAATTTTTGGTTTTTAATACGAATGGCTTTTAACAATGAATCAGGACCAGGAACAGCTCTATTTTCGTAATCTTTCTGTTTGTTTTGATCGGTCATTTCCATGAATAAATCATCGATCATATTTCTAACCTGTAATGGTCAATATATACAGTAATGAGTATAGTTATTCTTAGAAATCCATTGGCTTGATTGTTTACTCGATCCTGCTAGGTCACTGACAGGAATAATTTCACTCTACAGAATTCTGTATAGCAAAAGGATTTACAAGTCAGTTAGGAAACTACATGCATGATGAATACTAAATGCATCCATATCAAAATGTTTTAATATACCTTTCATAATTTTCTTTCATTAGTAAGCATATACAAACTATATATTTTGCCAGGGGCACATTTAACTGTATAATGGTGCTACACCGTACAAATGTCCAGAAAAAGACAAGATACTATTATAGCCAATGACCCAGAATAACAAGTTAAAGGACAATGGGTTTATAAGAATGAGTTACATGACAAATAAAAGGCACAAGTTTTCTAGAACCCTACAGACACTTTGATGGTAAAGTTCCCATTCTTAGCAACATAAAAATCACATGACAAATTTCGTATCAAATTGATGTTACTGCCCTAGAAAATCCAGCATTCCCCCAACTTCACATGCAATATTCTGGCAACAGAAAATTGAAAGGTAAATTTGGCATCTGGAATTGGGAACTCTTCCTCATGAGATCATAAATAGTGGTCAATAAAACCTCTTTAGGCCTGGTCATTTTGGAAGTCAAAAAATTACAAAGATAAAATCTATTTACTTTGCTGAAAGATACAGCAGATGTAAATTTCTTCTTCATCTAAATACTGATAGCACTGTGAAATAAATACCTTTTCTGTCATTGTGATATCTTTTGGTGCTCGTCCAGCATAAAACCTTGTCATACCATCTGCTGGCTGCAGTACCCATAGCAACAGATTGTAGTCAAGTAATGAATAATACAAAATGGTGGCATTTTGCCCAGATACAGTTCGTGCTAACTTCTGATAGGACCACATATCCCAAGAATTTAAAGAACCATACACATTTTGTCCAGGCACTGTTGAGAAATTAGGCATTTCTGTGATGCATCTTTTTCTGCAATTTTCTGCATATTCCAAACATTCTTCTTTATTTCCCATCTTTGCAAGAACATTGACTACACCATCATAACATTCCTGCAACTGTTGTCTATATTCTTCAGGACAAAGCGTGCCTTGTTCGTGATGTTTGTTTATTTTCTTCTCAAGCAAAGGTATCAGTTTCAGGAAATATTTCCGGGACTGTTCAATTTCAGCCATTTGTGTTGAGTTGTGATGCATGCAGGCAATGTTATATTCACTCATTGTCTGAATATCATAAAAATCGAAATCTCTGGCCAAATCACAAGCATGTTCATAAAAATACAAACTATACTGGTGCTTACCCTGAGCACGATAAGCATTTCCTAATTTACAAAAAGCGGTGGCTTTATTTCTGTGATCAGTTCGTATGCATGAGTTAAGCATCAATTCAAAAGTAGTAATAGCCTTATCATAATCATTTTGTAACATATATGTATCTCCCAACATTTCATAAGATATAACCAACATTTTCTTATCTTTACTCTTCTGTGCAATTTTAATATGCTGTTCATGGTATGTTATGGACATCTGCCAATTATGGAGAGCTGCGTAGATGCTTCCCAGGCAACCATAGGCTTGAGCCATCCCTTTTTTATTACCTTGCTTTTTTGATAAGGCCAAATACTTTTTGTAATTTTCCATCGCTTCTAAATATTTTCCTAGAATTTCATTAAGCATTCCTGTATTGTGATACGCCTCTGCATACATTTTACCAGTCAAGCCATACCGCTCTAACAAAACTACATATCTCTTTGCATGGACGATCGCTGAATTCATATTGCCGATAGATTTGTATGCTATGCTGAGATTTAAATGTAAACCACATTGAAGTTGTTCGGTCCAAAAGTCAGGCATTGTGATCTCACCATCATGATCGACAATTAACTCCCTTTCTAACTGATGTAACTTTTCATAGAATATAATGGCCTGATAGGTGTCACCACCGTCAAGATAAAGTGTAGCAATATTAACAAGAGATTTAGTCTGATATAGGGCATCATGTGTTGCTAGGGACAACGAATAACATTCCATATAGTAATTAACAGCCTGTTCTTGTTTTTTGCAAGCTGTCAATGCATTAGCTAGGGTTAGTAAAAGTCTCATGGTAATTCCTTTCTGGTTTGTCTGAAGTTTCTGTGCGACTTCCAGAACTTGAATACATATTTCAAACTTTTTGGACTGAAACAATACTGATCCAATTTCTGTCAGCTTCTTGTATGTATCCATATCTGAAATACAACAGAAAAAATTCTTAGTTAAACATACATTATGCAAGAGCTAAATCTGCCTATTGCAGGTCTTTCTTTAGGCCTGAAATGTTGTATAAACTATTAATTAGACATTAATTAACGTATCCAGACCATAATCAACTCTCGATGTCAATGCTAGTCTGCGATAATTGTTGGATTATGATCCGATTTGCTGCATAACTTTCCTTCTTGATTTAACGATTAAATGGATAATCGAGACTATGATTTTTGTCGTACAGACTTTAGTAATGATGACCGAGGCTATGCGGAACCGTCGATCGCTTATTTCTCGGTTTATAGTGGATCAATTTGACTGAAATTTTCAGCAAATTGCCTTTACATTATCTAGTTTTTAACTATTATAGTGAGAACTGCCAACTCGTTATCGAATCTCCCATAATGTATCTTTAGAAATAAAAAATAAATTATGTGTTAATTTGTTCAGTTCCATTCAATCAAACTGGCGAAAATTTAGTTTCTGTTAACTGTTGAACACAAAATCAGTTAATTAAAAGCCTACTCTTATATCAAATTCCTACTGTCTATATAAGTGCACGTCAAATGTGTACCCGCGACCTCAGTTTTTCATACAATCAAAACAACTTGTCTGGCCCTCCATGCTGAACCACTGACAAGAATTAAGGAACCATCCCGGAAAATCTGGATGAAGTTTCCCGGATCAAACACTGGACCTCCAGGTTAGCACGCCAAAGTCTTATGTATTGAGCAACCGGAGATCCCGATTATGACAGTTATTGGGTAAATACTGCATGAGTATGAAGTAAAAGAGAGAGAGAGAGAAATGGGGTTTAACATCCACTCGACACAAACTAGATCATTTCAGGACTAACATATGGTTCAATTTTATTTCAATAATTCGCTTGCGTGTAGGGGTCTTTAGCAGTGGGAGGACACTGAAAAAAACCCATGAGGTTGGACAGACGATCATACTCCTTGTCACGTACAACTGGTATGAAGTAAAACACTTCATGTTTATACATCAGTTTGATTAGTATGCCAGCCCATCTATTAGACCATCGGAAACAACAATTATCTACAATTACTAATCAAAATATGGCACTGGTCAATGCTCATTTTATTACAACTGGATCAGGAATATGGTAAATACTACCCTAATTTTTTCAGTCTCCGCATCTATGATCTATAAGTATATTTAATCACCTTTAAGATTTTCACAAACACTTTCAGGCACGTTGCACAGGGATGTTGCAACCATCGCAATATTGCTGGATAAATTATCAGCATTGTCCAGATCCAGGTCAAGGCTGGTCAAAAGGTGAGTTAAACCATCACGACTATGACCAAGATAATGTAATGCTAATCCTAAGGCACAGTGAACCTAGAATACAAAATAAAACACATAATTTAGAAAACCATTTTAAAAATAATAGAGGAACCAAGAGATACAGATAAGGGTTTTAGAATATTTAGGATATTATCAGTTATTATTACCCTTTTTGTCTCAAGGCGCTACAGTGGCACCGTGTGGTGCGAGCTCAATAACCAGGAGGTACCTTTGTTGGCTGAGAAAGTTCTTTGGAATTTTTCTGCATGGTTTTTCTGTGAAAATGGTAAAGGATGGAGGGCCTGGGAAGGAAGAGTGTCAGGTCATTCGGGCAGAAAGTTAAGGTATGTGCACATGCTGGCATGCACATAAAACAATCCTTAAAATTTGGAATTCCTTGAAAGAGTAAGTGAAAATGCTGCTGTTAGACAAAATTTTACTTGTTTGGACACTGTATGGCATATGCCAGCCTTCTTTTTATATTTGTCTAATTAAAGTCATACCTGAATAGTCATTTTCCCAATTAATACTGGAGGTCCTGGAGGTAATCAATGAATATGAGTCACCTGCTAGCTCTGAACCAAGTAGACAACAACCGAATATGAACTTAATCGAATACAAGCCAAAAAAGACAGGACAGGATGTAAATTTAATGGCTTTGATCCACCCAAAAGGAATGTAAAAAATCAAATCATATAATCCTTTTTGAGTCTGTTTGGATTCAGGTCAAAATCAAATTCATCCGGTAGGGATCTCATTTTTGGAAACATATTTATATGTTGTGGATATAGCAAATATTGTTATATAAAAATAGTCAAGTGAATCAAATCTAAAATTTACAAATCATCTGATTAGGGCAATAACCGTAGAAGAAAATGATTGTTACCTCTGAGTTTTCTGGTTCTATGGCTAAAGCACTTTCAGCATCTTGTAGAGCTCCAGCATAATTTTTAATCTCCATGTAAGCAAAAGCACGAGCTGCAAGGACTGAGGCATTCTTTGAATCTATCTCTAATGCCTCATTATATAATGATACAGCCTCATCATATTCTTTAGAAGATGTGGCCCGGTTACCTTGTTCATGTAATGAGATCACCTGTTCAAATAAAATTAAAATCTTGCAGTATTCAGGTTTTCAGTTTGAATTCATGTACTATTTTGTTTTGGTACATTGAAATCTTATTCAATCTTATATAGTCCAACACAGGGACAGTTGGATGGTGTCTCTTGTGATATATATTATAATAAGAATGGGTGGAGCTAATTTTTCTTTGCTCACTTACTAGTAGTTATTACGCCTGTGAATTCAACAGCACAAGCATATTAACAAAATGGCATTTCCAAATTATACATTACTGTCTACAAAACAGTTATTTTTGGTTTGGGTAAATATTTGAAAGTATGATGGATTTCCTTACACACTTTCCTAGGGAAATATTACAGATTAACCGTAGGTATTTGTGTCTTAATGATTTATTATATGAATGGAACTCATGAAACTGTATTCTACACGCAGTATATTACAATGCATGGTTATAGAATATCTTTATGTTCTAACTTATACAATGAAAGTAATGATTGTACAACATCACTGTCTACAAAAGATAAAATTCTTCTTTAGTCTATCTTACCTCGTTTATTTCTTCAGCTTCACTAATTACTACACTTCCTTCTGCTAAACTTTGTAAACTATAACTGCCTATAATAGGAGTATTATACAGAGAAAGTCTCTCCATTGTCTCTCTCTTAACTTGTTGTTATGGACTGGGCTTCATTCCTCTATAATCCTATTCATTGTCTATACAATGACTTTCCTAAAACGGAAAAAAAGATTATTTGAACAGATTGTTATAGATATTCACATTTGAGGGTAAGTTACCTTAAACTTAAAGTCTAATTGTGTCATTTTAGCGCAAAATAAAATTATGTTTGATTATAGCACAATGTAAATATTTTAATTGTTGTATTTTGGTGAAATAAAAACAGCAAAATTAATTCATTAGTTGTTTAAAGAAAATAATATGAAATGTGATTTAGGGCTACCCTTTTGATGTGTTGTGCTTGCATAACTATATTATAAGTATTGAGTGTCATTTTCGGAAAATATTATGTGTAAACTTAAATATTAACTATGATACAGCTAAAGATATCCATTTTATAAATAGGCCTAAACCTGTGAGATTGCTTGGATTGTGTACAAACATGCACATGAGTTTATAATATATGCTGAAGAAATGTACATTTCAAGGTTAAACACAATACAGTTTAAAAAAACATTAATAACATATAACATAAGTAAACACAGCTTAATCGGTAAACCAGTCACACAGAAATTATAATGATAACACTCGTCAATCTTTTCTTCGTTGACGAGTTAACATTTTGGATGAATTGACTGCTTTGTGTAGACAAGTTAATCCAGTTGATATTTAGACAATTTAAATAAAACTGCTGCTTACAATAATTTAAAAAAATAAAAGATTGTCCAATTTGTGATTTAAACCTGCCAGTCTTCATCTGGAAATGTTGACCGGTGTCCCAAGCTGTAGTGTGTCTGGATAAAACCAGACTTTTATTTTATAAAAATAAGGTAGGTATAATTTACATTTCGTTATCAAGTACAGCACATGGGTCCTGCACCGTATAGACCTCTAAAGGAACGGAAATCGATTATCAGGTCACCCAATAAAAAAAATTGACCTGAAATCTTAAAAGGGTTACGGTACATGTCCTGATAAGCAGTTTTGACGTTCACGTCCAAACGACTTAATATTTTGAGCTGAAATTTGGAAACAAGGTAAATACACCATTCCTCTATATTTTGGCGCTTAAGTTTCATATGTACATAGACTTTTATTTTTGAGGCTCTGTTCAAATCGTTTAGGCTATGAATATGATGTTGCCTAATGAAAGAGTACAATGATTCATGAGACTGCACATAGACTTTGATTCAAGTTTGAATCGAAATCTGTCAAAAGACCAAAAGTTTTTATTTCATACAGGTTCCTCAAAACTAAATTCATAGTAATAGGTAACTAACTTAGTATCATAAGTAATATACTGTCAATGATAATTATTCGATTAATTAAGCATTTACCATTAAACAAATGCCAATATTATAATTTCCGGACGTTACATTTCCACCATATTGCCGTTTCTATAAACAATTCTGAATAGTAATTTGCACCATATAAAACAGAGCGTTGCTTTTTTTCTCAATATTGTCTATTCTTACTTTGGTCATATGTTTCTTATACACATCTACAGTTGTGTATTATTCGCATAGGCGATTTAATATAAAGGATAAATCGAAACATGTATCATAGCGTTTTTAACATGAAATCGCAATTAAATTATAATTGCAGCCGAGTACGATCAAAACCAACCGGATATCAATCATTTATTATCTCCCCTTATTTGGTTGCCGTGTTTTGTGAAGTTTTCCCGTCTGGTTCAACTTCAAGTCAACTTTACAAGTGTTTACCAATGCATATGAAGTCAAAGGGTTATCTTTAAAGGTAGTCCAACATTTATTGTTTGACCAATTCAATCGGTGCCAATATACATGTACACTGGTATAACTTAAAGAATAATACGGAACAGCCAACATCGTCACTGTACTACACTAGTCACGAAAAAGTCGCTAAGTAAAAAACAAAAACATTAATATTATTATGATTATTGAGATAAATCCGATGTGTTTATTTTTAGACACGATTGTGCATGATTTGCATTTTTCAGAAAATATCAAATTTCTCAATATGTTGGCTACCCAGATTATTTAAAATTTAGGAGTCACGGTTTTTATCCTGTTTTTAAAAAATGTGAACTCGCCACAACACAATTTTAATCTTTTAAAGATGGGTTCCCAGAAAAGTATTTATTGGGTGGTTGTTTTCAATAAAAGTATGGCAATTTTGGTATATATGGAAAGTAGAGATATCCAATCTTACTAGAAAAATACTGGATTCCCCGAAAAACACTCATGGAGCGTATACAGGACAAAAATGTAAGGATTCTCCTAATCAACAGCCCGACGATTAAGAACTTCTGCACAAGTAATGTCAAAGGTCACAAGCGAACATTGAGCGCTTGATGTACAAGTTGATAAACTTTATGAAGAGTTAGACGTACAATACTTTCTGAGATAAAAATGACGGAAAAAGACGCAGGTAGTTGATAATCCGAGAATTTAATTAGGATTCGATATTTGTAATAAATAGTAAGCGATTAAAGACAACATCGTCTTATGTATGCAATGAATTCTCTTCTGACTCCCAAGACGTGACGTAAACATTACCTGCTTTGATCGAATTTTAATAGCAGGGCATTCCTTCGCAATTACAATGTTTGAGAAGGATTTGAAGCATAATTATGACAAATTAATTAGTTTGAATATGTTTTTGGTCCATATATACCATTAAATCACCAAGTTTGTACGCGGGAACCCATCTTTAACCATGTGCGAATATGTTCAACTCAGAACCCGGCAAATTATCGGAAGAAGAAGAAAGTTCCCCAGGATTTTCCGGCGTGGTTTCCCCTTGTCATTTGGGCTGGATACCTGGAAAGGAAAATCATCTAGTCATTCGGAATGAACAAAAGCTGTTGACTTGTTTTGTTGCCTGGCAACCTGTTTTCCTCCTATGTGCTTGAGATTTATGCTTACAAATGCCAAGTGTGATTCAGGAGAGTGGGTACAGCTTGACAGAAATTTGGGGATTTTCAATTTGTAAATATTTTGGATGGGTCTCTTCTGTCATTTCAGAAGAAACTATTGAAAGTGTATTTAGTAAAATAAAGTTAAATATGATTTACATCATTCAATCAAAGCTCAAATGTGGTCCCGGACGTGACCTCATTCACAAACTGGTCAGATCAATATGTAGTGAAGGCCATTGAAAGTACATGTATAAAGAAAAGAAATTTAGATTTGTATTTTATTCAGATTATGATTTGTAGTAGTAGTAATTAATCAAACTGTTTATGGACTAAATGCAAATAAAAACTTTCTGAAATAACTTATTTTTGTATGTGCTGGAAGTGTCTACTGTATATGCATCTTTATCAATATTAATTATTTTTTTAACAGATATGGTCAGATATTTACTACCGACAAATACTAAATAACTTTTTGTTAAGATGGAGCCCATGGAACATGACCAGTGGCGGGAAAGAAGTTTTGAGGCCATGGAAACTAGCTGGAAAAATTCAAGTATGGAGGACATGGAGTTAGATGAAATTGGTCGGCAGTCACCATTTGGTCGACAACAAGCTGCAGTACACTACCCTCTACAACATAATGTTGCAGCCTGTAATTTTAACTTTGCTTCAACTCCCATGACTTCAACTCCTGTGAACTCTATTCCTGTTAATGTACCTAGAGATATATTTCGTGGGGGATCAGTACAATTGCAGCATAAATTATATTCAGTTTCTGATTTCCAAAATACAAATCCTGATCGAAATCAGAATCATGTGAATTTTGTTAATGGTAAATATAAGCCTTCATATATATTCTATAAAAGAAATCATTGTAGACTAAAATACGTTGTTATCATGGTACCCACAGACGGATTCAGATCTCAAGTAAAAATTTGTGTGTCAACATAACATCAAATTTGTACATAATGAAAATAGGTGCACCTCGCTATTTTTCATATTTAATTCGCGTACGGTATTCAAATTTATGTCAGTTATATTCCTACAAAATTACTTGTTTTCGTAATATGATAGAATAAAAGCGTGCCGATCTGTACCTCCTACAATTTTACGTAAGTAAAGTAATATTGTTCCAACTTTATGTGTCTTCATTTATACGGCAGCAAATGAAACCAAAACATCTGAAATAAGAATAGTTTGTGATAGAATGAAAGCGTGCGGATTCGTACCTGCTTCAAATTCACGCCAGTTATATTCCCCCAATATTACTTGTCTTTGTTTATACGACAGCAAATGAAAGCAAAACATCCGAAATAAGATTAGTTTGTGATGTCGAAACATCATATTCTTCTTTATAAAATGGTAGTTTAATAACTCCTAAAATGGCATAGCCAACCTCTGGTATTATCATGTCTGTTATTGACCGACGTGATTTTTTTAACATAATTTCGCACTAGAATCAACCATTTTACTACTTGTGTAGTAAGCAATGCCTTATATGGTAAGCAATGATTTCTGTGCAACAGCGAGACATAGAACAAGCAGTAGACCTGCTGTACAGCACAATTAAAAATTTTAAATTGGTTCAAACTTAAACGGTCATTTACGTGAAACCACCACAACATAATACCCCTCTCATAGATAAGCAGCTTGGCAAGTAGTATCATGTGCACTTTGTGTGTTCCAAAATGTGGTTAGGCTGTACACTTTAATAATGCCTTGAAATCTTCATACAGAAAAAGTAAATATTAGTTTATATTTTTCAGATGAACAACAGGCCTCAGAAATGTGCAAGAATCAAACATCACCAGAAAAATTAAAGTCTCATGCAGATAAAATTAAACAAATTCGATCACTTTGTGAACCATCCCCAAAACGTCAGAAAGTACAGAAACGACATAGACCAAAGCAGAACTTATCCAAAGATACAACCAAAAGATGTTGTTCCTGGTCAAAATTCTTTTTAATCCCAAGTTGTTTAATTGTGTTAAGCTCTGTTATAATGCATTTTTACATTGAATATCAATGTAGAGAATTTCAAACGTTTAAGAAAGACAATCTAAGGACAACATTAAAAGAAAATCTTTTTGGGCAGGATCTAGCCATTGACACTATTCCAGGCTTACTAGACGAATATTTCAAAAGACTCAGTACCAATAATAGTACAAAGCCATTGGTTTTATCCATTCATGGCTGGACAGGGGTTGGTAAAAATTATGTCAGCAAAATTGTTTCGGAATATTTTGCATTCAAAACCCTCACAAAATTTTTAGTGCCTTTGAATTTTCCTCATGAAAAAGATGATAAATTGTATAATAAGCAAATTGTTGAATGGGTTAAAACAAACATTTCTCATTGCTGTGTCAATTTCATCTTATTTGATGAGATGGACAAATCGTCAAGTGGTGTTATATCAGGATTAAAAACTGCTATTATTGACCAATGGGAAACAAGCCATTACAAAACTCCTGTGATTTTCCTGTTGCTTAGCAACTCAATGGGTTCAGAAATAAACAAAGTGGTTTTTATGTCTGATAAACCAAGATATCAGATTGACGTGGATTCAGAGTTGACTTCCGTGTTTGCTGTCAACAATGCATGGTTTTCTGATTTTGTTGCTCAAGAGTTAATCGACAATTTCATTCCATTTTTACCACTGGAAAAACATCACGTTATTGAATGTATTAAACAGGACTCCATTAAGAAAAATCTGGATCTGAGTGCGGATAAACTAGACAAGATATTGAAAGAAATGACTTTTGTCAGTATTCGAGATAGACTGTTCTCTAGTACTGGATGTAAGAGAGTTTCAGACAAGGTCGATCTAGTCATGTATAATTATTAACACTAACAGTATTAATATTATGTAAAAATGATTTGTTTGTTTTCATATGTATATTATTATATTGTTTTTTTATATAATCCAGAATATATATTTATTTACTTTCATCTTTGTTATTTACATGTATTTAGTTAATTCAAAGATTTGACAATAATCAAATCCTTACTTTAATGCTGATAGATAGTTGGATGACTGCACAGTTATGCTCTTTGTCAGTAATATTAATTCAATTAACAGCATAATTTTAACCAGATCTGAAATTTAACTGACACTATTGCACAAAAGGTACAGTCCTTGCAGTGGTTAGATGAAATGAAAACTAAAAATAAACGATACAAAGATTTAATAATATCTAGTTAAATGCAATAAACAGTATAGTACGGTGCACATATTAGTTTATAGTTTGCGGGTTTGGTGGCCGATTAGTTAACGTGTGCGCGTTAAATCATAAGGTTTGTCATTGAGTCAAGTGGCATGGTTTCAATTCGGGATGTCTGTCCAACCTCGTGGGTTATTTCTGGGTCCTCTCTTTCCTCACAACTATGTGTAACCGAATTAAAGTTTGAAGCGTGTTAGTCCCAAAATGACATAGTTTGTGTCAGTTGGGTGTCAAACCCCATTTCTATCTATATATAAGGCTTTGCTGTTTGGAGATTAAAGGGAGATAATTATTCTTTAGATTTGAATAACACTGTAGTGTTACATTACATCATAACTATTTACTCCCAATATTGGACCTCACCCATTGTTGTTTATTAAGCATTTAGTGTCTGAATCATTGGTTAAGAACTGAAGAAGAGGTTTTTGTCGGGCATCTTACTTACAGCTATATAAGACTCCACATCAGCCAAGTGAATGTTAGGAATCCCTGGGAGAGATTTTTTAGGAGAGTGGTTTTGACTTCTTCAATTAAAGCTGAACTCCGATTACAAAACTACAGAAATAATTAAATAAAAAAATTACAGCCCTACATAATCGCCATACATGTTTTCAATTTTTAGAACAAGCATGGCGATTGTACGGCGTACGAAAACAGAAGCAGGCCATGTCCACACCCAGTGTACACCTTGTCAACCAAACTGTCCACATCTGGCTAGCAATATTGCAACTACCTCCTGACTGATTGAGGGGTTTTCACTATCAGTTTACTGAAAATATTTCTGCTACACAATTATGTCTGATCAGGTACATATTATTTTACTATTATTTGGTCTGTGGGATAACAGATCCGAAAAAAATATGTGTTCCACCAGCAAACTTTGAAGAACCATATTTTAAATACCAAAACAAAAAAGGAAAGCAGTTGGGTTTTTTTAAAGAAAAGTTTATATTCTTATATATGCATAGCCTTTATTAAGAAAAGTTAATATTCTTATTTCATATGCATAGCCTTTATTAACCAGTCTTTGTATTTTGATTGGTCAATGTCTGTTATAATTTTAGCATTGGTAGGCTTTTTCATAATACTTGATTTGTCTACAATCATTGTTCCTCTTGTTTGGGATCCATGTAATTCGATACTGTTGTAGGTTTTCATAAACTTTGTAGGCACAGAGTTATCTATTGCACATGCCATACAGAGCTCATCACATGGTATATACGTCGGCCATTCTTCTTCAGAACATTTCTTTATCATCCGACTTTCTAGTTTCTTCATCAATTGGCAAACGGACGATTTATATGACCTCAATTCATGGTAAATTTCCTAAAATATCAAAGAAAGAAATTGTGACAATTGTTTAAATATATATCGTCTGTGCATCCAGCTTAAGGATTGGGCTGATCGGATTGAGGTCTATGAATCAGACCATTGTCAAAACCTGATTATGTGTATGAATTTCTATGAATCTAGTAGTAGTAGTAGTATTAGCTAGAGGTTAACAACCGCTTCTACCGATATGTGGATCTAAAATGGCAACAGTTAAAAAAATCTAATTAGAACTCTTTGATAGTAACATACATGTATCTGGTCTAATATTTAGCAGCTGTTTAGTAGCTAAATAAAAACATATGAAGAAATAGGATTGTAGATAAAATGAAATGGAGTTTAACGTCCTACTTTTCTGCTCCTAACCTGGGCTAATGAAGACGGGCATACGCCATACAGTGTGCTATGAGGGAAATTTTGCCCGTACAGCGGCACTACGGCCTACTCTTATATCGAATTCCAACTGCCAAGGGATCTTTTACGTGCACGCCAATGTGTACACGGGACCTCGGTTTTTCGTCCCATCCGAACGACTAGACAGCTTTCCTTGTCAGCCCCTCCGTCCTGCATCACTGACAAGGGAGTACCACGCCGGAAAATCTGGATGAACTTTCTCGGCCAATGCAGGGATCGAACACCAGACCTCCAGGCTAGCGAGCTAGCGTCTTACCCACTTAGCTACGTGATCCCCCTTGTAGATAAAACATGTCATATCTGTAAAATAAATTTGTTAAGAATTGAAGTACAAAATCTTTTTGTAAGTAGAGCCATGTTCACTCACATTACTAACATGTATATGTCATAGTGGAAGATCAACTCCCTGATGAAAAAAAATATTTGCTTGAAAAAATCAGGACCACTTATCTGGGGTTGAGATTCCACTATGAAAAGTACACATCCCTAGGCATAAAGTAAAGCAGGCACCTTATGCACAAAAGTTTAAATTTTAAAATGGGTTTTTGTCCCTCGCCTTTCGAAAAAGCAGGGAGCTATAAAATAGGTATGTCCGTCCGTCTGTCTGTTTTTCCGTCTGTCACACTTTTTTGAACACAATAACTTTCCTTCTTATTGAGCTAGAATATTCATACTTGGTGTAGGTGTTTATCAGATCAATACCTTGATTGAGTTCGAAGATGAGCATTTTCTGCTTAAGGTAAGCAGAGATAAGCATTTTCATTGGTTGATGCTTTGGGACACGGTAATTTTAGTTCTAATGAAGTGAGAGTGATGAAACTTGGTGTATAGTTTCATTACATCAATACCTTAACTAAGTTCAATAATGAGGATTTTCTGCTCAGATTAAGTAGTGTGATGATGAGCAATTTGATTGGACGAGACTTTGGAACACCATAACTCTCCTAATTAAGGTAGAATGTTCAAACTTGGCGTAGGCGTTCATTAGGTGAATGCCTTGATGGAGTTGGCAGATGAGCATTTTCTGCCTAGGGTAACCGATTTGATTGGTTGATTGGTTGATGCCTTGGGACACAATAACTTTAGCTCTAATTAAAGATACATTATGGGAGATTTTAATAGAGAGTTGGCCATTCTTGCTATAACAGTTCAAAAATAGATGATGAAAGTAGAATATATTGAAAATTTCAGTCAAATTAATTTATTCTGAACAAAGTTATCACCATTGTAATTTTTGACCAGAAATAGGAGTCACACTCTCTTCACCGTCTCCGAGAATGGGCGATCGTTTGATTGACAGTAACGTTTTCAATTGCTGTGGTACCGTTAGCCTATTCGGTTTGAGATGGGGTTGCAATTCAATTCGTATCACATTTATTTTTACTACAAATTTAAAAATAAGACTTAATATAAAGTTAAGAAGCGAAAGTTTTAAAGGAATGGACCAAATCAATGAGGCATAATTATAGCCGACTTCTTGTTAGCCTGTGTGTACTCTTGTACTGTAACTGGTAGGCCTCCCGAAGCAGACAAATAGGAAACAGTGATCCAATAGGGCTGCAATTCAACTGGGGTGATGTTAGCTACGATGTTTATCAATTTGCATAATTTTTCTGTAAACGCAAGTGACAAAAGAGCGTATAACCACAACTAAACATAATATCAAGGCCGTATATATCGAACTTTCAATCAAATTGACTGACACGCGACCTCGCTCAACTGCGGCCTTGCTTCATACACTCTATCATTTAGCCTCGATCTAAAATTTCCGGGAGTATGACTATGACGTCAACATAACGGTTAATTCATCGCTTACGGCGCCATTTAAAAATTTAATCAATCAATGAAATTCTGTTTAAATCCAAGTCGAATCCAAGCCATCCGTGGGTCTACAGAGTTGATTTTGTGCTTGTTGTGTAAATAAAGATCTAATTTATAATTTCTATGACATCCAACACCTAAATAAAGACATGCAATAATCAGATTTAGCTCTTGCATAATGTATGTTTAAGTAAGAGTGATGAAATTTAGTATATAGTTTCATTACATCAATACTTGACTAAGTTCAATAATTAGCATTTTCTTCTTAGACTAAGTAGCGATAAGTAATTTGATTGGTCAAGACTTTGGAACATAACTCTGCTTTTAATTGAGGTAGAATGTTTAAACTTGATGTAGATGTTCATTAGGTGAATGGCTTGACTGAGTTTAATGATTAACATTTCCCACTAAAGTTAAGCAGAGCTAAGTAATTTTATGGTTGATGCTTTGGGACAAGATAACTATGATTCTAACTGATGGAGAGTGCCGAAACTTAGTGTATAGTTTCACTACCAGGCACTTGAAACCCTTGATTGAGTTTGATCGTGAACATTTGATGCTTAGGCTAAGTAATAAACACCAACACACCAAGTTGAATTCAAGCTCAATCCAAAGTAGAGTTATTGTGTCATAAAATGTGTGATGGACAGACATACAGAAAAATAAACTCATTTTAACTCCCCAAAATGGCCTAAAAGATATGATAAGACAAACTCATTTCAATCTATATGTGCACATTACTTTAATTTCATGGCATTTAATATCAAGTTTTTTACGCAAAGTTTATCAATACTGGTTAAAATCGTAACATTAGGTTTTTCTTTTAGTTTATTTTTCCAATCAACGACCACTTGACCTGTGGTGTATGTCCCTTTAGTTTCTACTACACAATAAACTTCACTTGATTTCAAAATAATCTTTGGATTAATGGCTGCTGCCACTGCTAATTGGTCAGCTAATTCGTAATTTTCAAAATTTTGTTTTTCATAAAAATTCTCTATAGTGTTCTTTTCCAAGTTCTTCAAAAACTTGGCTGTATCAGTATCAAGGTTGAATAGTTCTTTGTGCCATGTCTGAAATACAGATGTTCAAATGCCTTTTTATGATAAATTTAAAATAAGTTTACAAAAGTGTGGTTTCAAAAGAAAAGTATGTTTTCAAAAAAAGTATGTTTTTAAAAAAAAAGTATGGTTTTGAAAAATCCAATAAAGAAGAAAATTTGGAATGGAATTTTATCCAAATCTTACATATCTACTCATGATATCACGTTTAAACTCAACCATAGATTAGTTTTACCATTCCAGCTGAGCATAGCCATAAAATTGATCAAATTTGGTTTTTGTCTTATATAGAAATAAACAAATTTTTAACTGAGGTGTAATGTTCATTTAGTTAGAACAACATATTTTACGAAACGCAGGAAAGGTTTGAAATGGTTAATATTGTGCAAAATACCTGACATTTCATTATTGCCAAATTGATTAAATACACTGTAATTTGGTGGAATGCGTGTACTTTAGATCATAAGGTCTGTCACTGAGTCAAGTGGTGTGGTTTCGATCCCAGACAGTATGTAAGCCATACTGGTGGTGTGTTATATACTTGCAACAATAGTTATATTCAATGCTCTTAATCAGATTCTGCATTTAAATACCAGATGAGGAGTAAAATATTATGTATTTAATTACAAATTTGGAAATCAAAATGACGATTATCAAAGATACCTTTTGCATTCTTGCTTTGTGTATGAATTAACAAAAGATTTGTATCTTACCCATGGAAAGGAGTGTTCTAAACAAAGTTCCCAACAAACTAATGTTATCGGACAGCCTAGATCTGATAATACTATATGTGCAGCTTCAGGATCTGTGTAAAAATTGAACTCTGCACTTGGAGTGATATTTCCTTCACCTGTTAAAACAATAAACCAAGAAATATAAATATCTTCTGAGTTCATATAATAATATATACATGTACCAATGTATATTCTATACAAAGTAGATTTTTTCTATCAGAAGAATGTATTTTATATATGTATATGTACTTTTTTAGTAGTGATGAATCTGCATCAGAAAATCCTTAAATCCAATCTGGATGTGGTTAAATATTGTCTTTAGTCTCCCTTGATTTGAGTGCATAGATTTTCTTTCTTTTTTTTAGAAGTGATGTATCTGCATCAGAAAATCCTTAAATCAAATCGGGATGTGGTTAAATATTGTTTTTAGACTCCCTTGATGTGAGTGCGCAGATTTTCAAATGGAATTTTTAAAAAGAAGTGGAATTAAGAAACGTTACGTTGCTGAGTTTTTCAAAATATTTATAACATGGAGTTTGAGCAATAGACCAAAACAATTTGTATGTGACCAAAGTACATTATACCTACCTTTATAATTACCACCCATTATAAAACATGATTTTAATCTTTCACCAAATGTAGGATCTAATCTAATAGCTAGTGATAAATTTGTTAGAGGACCAAGTGCAACCAGAGTTAATTTCCCTGAAAAAAAAAATATCAAATTAAGCAATACTTCAGTTCAAGAGGCCTCAGACTGCCATTAAATCCAAAGTTCATTATAACGCTATTGTTTTTTCGTCTTTGATTTATGAAATGAAGTGGGGTTTAATGTCCTACAATTTGGCAACATCTGATGTAATGAAAACGTCGCGCAATGTGCTATGAGGGACATTTTGTTAGACAGCAGCTTTTCTGTCTTCTTTTCCTAAAATTTCAAATGCCAAAGGTACTTTTAGGTGCGTGCGATTGTGTAGACAGGACCTAACTTCCTCGTCTTGTATGAACGACTAGATCATGGCTTCCCATTTGATTTAGTTCAAAATAAAGTATTGAATCTAACAATTTATTTCTCTAAAGATTAAGCAGAATTTGAATTTCTCACACATTTTGTTTAATTTTTTGCTTTTTTGTTAAAACAGGTTTATCAACATCAGCCTTTTGTAGGGACATAAACAGTTTAGTTAAAATATTGTAATCCCAAAATACAATACCCCTTCTCCAATATCTGTCCAAAGTTTCGATGCTTATATTAATCATATACAGCTGCTATTCACATTTTTCGGACAATATAAAATTTTAACAGCTTAATCCATACTAAAATGTACTCAAAAAGATTAATTAACAAGGAACAAAGAACGATATCAACAACACAAGATAAACTTGGATTCAGTTGAATTAAAAAACAGATGCATCAAAAGATTCACCCAACACTTATATACAGAAAGTTTACATCTTCTGCAGAGGATCCTGAAAATTTTCAATGCATTATATCTTTGTAAATAATAAACGAAATTGATCCATTTTTAATGTGGTTTAGAGATTTAAATTTGACAATACCATATTGCAGTTTGCAAGTGAATCAAACCCCTCAATAAAGATCAGTGGCTTTATCAAAATTTTGAACCAAACCTGTGAAGTATCTGTTAATAAATATCTATAAAATATATACCTGGATATTGTTTACTAAGATCTATCAAAGCTTGGACACCATGTTTTGATTGGATTAAATTATAATCTGGAGGATCATCATCTGGTACATCGCCAAATCCATCATTACCATGATAATTACAATCATCTGGTTTCTGCCAACCAATTATTGTTCTTTCAGAACCGGTATATACTGGAATCTAATCACAAAATACATGCTATTATTTCAGTAATATCTGGGAGCCCTGGTAGCTCTGTGAGTACGGTACTGCCTTGTCTTACGATTCCAGGAGGTCTCGGGTTCTGCGCTGATGTTGGCCAGGTTTCAACTTGTCAGTAGTGCAGGACAGAGGACCAGCATGGCAAGGAACAGTGTCAAGTCGTTTGAATGGGACAAAACCACGGTCCTATGACCACTTTGACAGCCGAAATTGAAATAAGAGTAAACTGTAGCATCATTGTCCATGCCAAATTCCTTTCATAGCACACTGCATGGCGAATAATCGTTTCCATGAGCCCAGTCGGTGCAGAAAAGTAGGATGTTGATACAAATTTCATATCAGTATAATCTGAATATCATTTGGCATACAGAGACCTTACAAACTCACTCAACCAACACACTGTGGAATAAATATATATACCATGTTGTTTAATGAACTACATATACTACATGCTTATGTAATTCATGTGATATTTATTACCTCTAATTTATTTACTGCTTTCAAAAGTCGGAGAACATTCTTGGACACTTGTTTTGCATTGGTGTTTCCACAAACTGTAGTGATACCAATAACTTCAACATGAGGTGCAGCTAACGCCATTAAAATTGCCTGAGCATCATCTAATCCAGCATCTGTATCTATAACAAATAGTTGTTTCTCCTCTGAAGACATCTTTCTTTCCTTTAAAAATAAATGCAAGCAGAATTAATTACATGATGCTATGTACAGAATAACATCAATATCTATTTCTATGGAATAAAATAAAGTTTGAAAATGTTTATAGAAGGTACCATCCTCCAGGGTTTATGGACCTGTTATTATAAGTCCAACCGATGGCTTGTATGTTCAATCTAGTAGGGGGTGTAAGATTGAACAAACAATAACTGAACAATATATATATATGTGCATATACACTAAGGACCCACAAGCATGGTAATTTAATAAGGAAGAGTATCTAAGAAATAACTTATCAGAGACCTGCTCTTCAGTATGTCCTCTTGCCTGCCTTTGATCAACTACCGCCTTCTTCTCAATATACAATTTTCTGGACTTTTATACCTTTAGCTTTGTTTCTTTAGAATCCTTTTAATACATTAATGGACTAACTGGACAAAAGATAATAATTTATGAAACAATGTCTCTCTAATATAATTACAGAGTTGACTTTGATTAGGCTTCAGGCTAATCTGTAATGGCTAGCACCGCAATTTAACTATGTTCTAATTCTACTTGGTCATATATGGTCACCTTCCCACTAGAGCTGAACTTTTACCCAATGAAATTAATATATTAATTTAACTTCTTTCATTTGATTTGTTACAATATATTTTTATCCCTAATTTTATCTTTAATCTGATTTGTTGAAATGATTGTATGCAAATTAGTTTCTTTAAAAGACCGCTACACAGACAGAAGGACACACACACACACACAGGGAGATCAGATGAGATAGGCTTAAAACATTATGATCTTGTATATAAAGGAATATTGAAACGGATTTCGACTTGGGGCTTTTAATGCACAGTGACCACCTTCTCCAGAATACTTCTCCAGTAATGAGCTATATATACCCCCAATCCTAGCTCGTCTATATGTATGACTATGAAATATTACATGATATGTATCACCTGGGTGTGTATTTAAACTAAGAATTGCCCCGAAACACATTGGTAATACTTGTATGACCCTTGCTATGATATCTACTCATATATAAACATTTCACTCACATTGATGAGAGATAATATTAAATAATTTTATTAAGATCCATTTTATATAGTTGCTCAGGCTAGTAAAAATGGTCATCAGAAATCAAATTAAAGGTGAGCAGCCCGTATTCCATTTTCTTTCAAGGCCAATACTCTTTTCAGTTGAATCTAAATTATGCATCTAACATGTACAATTAATCTTAATTTATCCAATTTATCTATTCTGCTTAATTCTGACATTTTAAAGTCAATCACAGGTTTATGAAATACCTTAATGTGAATTTGTTAACCCTGTGCATGGGTTAGAAATCGGATGGTTTCCCTTTGTTCGATTTTTCACTTTGCAAAATTTGCTCTTAGTCTGATTTTCCATGCGGTTTCTTCATCTAACTTTCGTGTTTCGTTGAATAACCTGTAAAACTTTGTTCTCCAAATATTCATAAGTAGGTGGAGACCTTGTCAGACAATCTTTGGAGTTTTGTTGATATCTTCAACATACAACTTGTAATTTTTTCACGTTTTCAATGTTTTCACTTGATTTTAAATCTATAATCCCTTGGTTGCTGACTTCAATACCTGTACCTGTAATGCCTTTTTTAATATGGCTATTCTCCATTATGTAATGCACCACTGTTACTGTCAGTACTATTGCTGGCATGGCGTTGGTTAATTAATTAATCAGAATTTCGTGACACTGTTTTTCTCTGTTTTTGCTTTTTTCTTTGACTGTTTGTTCATTTCTCTTTTCATTTACTACACTAATATCATAGTCAGGCACTTCATCTGGTTCTATATTGACATCATCATCATCCTGTAGCAGCTTCAACAACATGTTACCAATTTCATTGTTTTCATCAGTATGGCCACTGGTTAAACTTGTTGACGCCTCTAAATCAGTAGGTTTTGTAGTTCTGTTTTCGTCCATGAGCATCTGATCCATCCAATCAGATATTACCAAATATATTTCAACAAAATGGGCCAGTTTTTCTAATTCTTGCATGTTTTTTCTGCATGTCCTTCCCATTTGATCTTGTAGCTGTGGTAACATTCCTGCCCGGGTTACATTCATCGGAACCTTATCAGGTAATGGCGAATCCATGCAGTCACAGTTTCTTCATTTCATGAATATATTCTGCTACTGTTTCTCTGCACTGCTGTTTCCTTTTACATAGTTCTCGTCTATAATCAACAATAACTTCATGACCATATACGTCTTTAAAGGCAGTTTCCAATTCTTTAAAATAATTGAAACCACACTGATGCTGTTTGTCATGAATGAAGAAAAGAATTCAATCTTGCTGTCCTCCGTTACATTTAATATTTCACATGCAAATTCAAACTTCTGTAGCCATTTCGTTGGAAATTGTTTGCCAATGATTTTGGAGTGCCTGTGCCAACTCAGCAACAGTTCGTGGTGGCACGGCTTGAGTTCGAACCCATCGTCCAAGTTCATCCCAAAGATCTGGTTCATTGTCGGGAGACATAGCGGGCCAATCCATAACACGGACATGATGATTGTTCAGAAAGTCTCTTGTCAACCTTGCAGTGTGGGGTCGGGCGTTGTCATGCTGGAAAACCATCTGTCGACGGACGCCATGTTGAGACAGCAATAGAAGCAACACCGGACGAAGGATGGCATCAAATAATGTTGCCTTGGACCACCACCAACTGGGACCTAGTGTAGCGGCCAACCCCGAACAGACCGGATTCGCTCAGGGTCATAACTCCGAAACCGGAAGTGGTAGACTAACGCCACCTGGCCTATGTTACTCCCCGGTCCAAGCTACCCCTATACTCCAAATTTCAGACTCAGGGCAGACCTTGTGTAGCCGCCAACCCTGAACAGACCGTTTTGCTCGGGGGGTCATAACTCCGAATCCGGAAGTGGTAGACTAACGCCACCTGGCCTATGTTACTCCCCGGTCCGAGCTACAAATACCCCAAATTTCAGACTCGGGGCAGACCTAGTGTAGCCGCCAACCCCGAACAGACCGGCTTCGCTCGGGGGTCATAACTTCGAAACCGGAAGTGGTAGACTAACGCCACCTGGCCTATGTTACTCCCCGGTCCGAGCTACCCCTATACCCCAAATTTCAGACTCGGGGCAGACCTAGTGTAGCCGCCAACCCTGAACAGACAGACAGACAGACAAACGACAGTCACAAATATATATATAGATCAGATTAAGCCAATCTTTTCCCCGATAAGATCACAAGCATCAATGATGATTTAAATTGACAAATAATTCTTGTTTTCAATGTCGAAGACCGTGGATGATATTGAATTCGTCATGACACATTAATTACTACTAGCTAATGTCTTGTCATACTTTAAACTTTAATACACTTTTTAGAACGCAGAGGATACAATATGGCCTATATTTAGTTACTATTTAAATAAGGGTTATGTTATGGTAACTTTTCAAGATAATTATGTCGTAATTAGGATATGAGATAATCAGAATCCCTTTTTGGATTATTATTTGACTACGTATTTCATAATAACAAGATAGCCTAATGAGAAAACATTTTTTTCATCTGATTGACCTGAATGGTCTTCTACGTATTTCGTAATTACAGAATGTTGGTTTCCATTTGATTGATACAAGGTATCCGTAGGCATACTTCATAGCAAAATGATTCAACTTGTTACCTACTCACCATAAAACTTACACACAACAAAACCGTTACAACCGAAATGGTCCGGGGTCTACTAAATGGCCTTTCACCCGGGATAGCACGATATACCCAAAACCACCCAAATCTACCCAAATCCACCACTATTTCATTTCATATCACAATAATTTGTATTGATATTTGATAATATACCGTTCTTTATGCCGAATTGTCATTTTTAATTTAAAATCGCAGCTTTTTAGTGTCAAAATACCCCTCAAAATGCGATTTCCAAGCAAGTTTTTTGGAAGTCGTAACCAGTTACCAAGGGACATAGCTCGTGTAATACACAAATCTGCCCAAAACCACCATTATTTCCACATAATATCACATTCATGTATATCGTTTTTAATATACTACCATTCCTATAGCTAAATATGTCATAATTACTTTAAAATCACAGTCTACTTGTGTTAAAATCCAACAATTCATGCATGTTTTGCGGCGTATGGAAGGGACATAACTCGTGTATACCAAAATGGTGGCAGACCACCATTAATTTCCCCATTGACTTCAATGTTAATTCTGGCCTCTTTGCCCACCTCCAACTTTTCCCCAAATTTTCATTGGGCTGAATGCTTTTCACTACAGACAGAGGAACAAATGGTCATGTCTTTGCAATAAAATTTGTATGAGGTTGACCACCAAAATTTTGAGATACACAAACTTGAAGAAGCATACTAAAAACATGTAACTAGTTGCCGTACATATCGCCGTAGCTAACATGATAATCCTCTTATCCTTCCGCCTCAAAAACATGAATATTTACCAAAACCTGGCAGAAAATGTTAATTCAAACCCTCTTCGTCCATTCTAGACCAAAAAATCAACAAAAATGGGCATGCAAAAGGGGAGAAAAGAGAGAGAGAATTGCTATAAATAGACGAACTACATGTACAATTAGTGGGGTACAGAGATGATGAAATTTAATGGTGGTCTGCCTCCTATATGGTTTTATAAGTTCAAATATCATCAAAATTCTTTTCTTTATAGCTTCACATTTTTTTTTTCAACATTATTATAATACAGAATCAAAAAAATATAATTACTGCAGAAATGGTGACACTTTAAAGTTATGTACTGTTTTGTATACCGGATTGCAGCTCAGGTCCATGGGCCTTTTGTTCTAGAATTGAAGATTCTTTCTTAATTTTGTCGAAATGTGAGTTTTGCGAAAATATTTAAAGAGTTTCAAACAAGTCACATCAAAAATATTCAAAATATTGGAATATTTTTCAAAAATTGACTTTCTTTTACCTTTTTCTACAAAATGGTCCATTTTTGACACTTTGGATGCCTCAAAATGCTAATATTTCCCTATTTCTGGGAAAGTCTGAGATGAAAGGCATTTATTTCTAGAAACCTTGGCCGGTATACAGGAAGACAAGCTGCAAATGTGTTGCATTGAAGGTAACTGTAAGGAACTATAGTGAAACATGTAAGCCCACCCCCTAAAAATGTTGGTGTGGTAACAAATCCCACTTGTGTCCACATAAGTAATACTGTTGATGGAATATGGCTAAAAGCAATGTTCTTCTATTCCTGGCTTATATACATACATATAAACACAGTTTGTCATAAGAAGTATGAATTATTTATTAAAATATGGATTGATAAATGTAAAATAAATGCTGTATTTAGGTGACAACCAGCCACTGGGTACCGAGACGATGAAATTTAATGGTGGTCTGCTTCCAAATCTCCTCTTTTTAAAACTCCCAATAATCTCATATCGTTTTTGATTGTTTACCGTTCAATTTCAAAAAGTTTAAAATTTTTGGCTTTTTTTTTTCAAAATCGGTATGTATGCTTTGTCGGTAGTCGTAAGAAAGGAACATAACTCTTGTGTGTACTTACAGTCCCCAGTATACAATTTTAGTCTCCATTTACTTCTATTTATTCAATAAAATACATAAACAGAGATAAGGTAGCATGTTATTTTGGGATCTGACAACAAGTCGGAACTTATATAAATTCATCTTCCGTCTGTAAGGAATTTATTTACAAAAATATTAAAGGCATGAATAATAGGTTTATATTCAGGGCCGGTGGAAACAATTCTTGATTTTTTTAACTCCCTTACCATAAAAACACAGTCGATGGTGGTTTAATTCTGTCTGTAATGCTGAACTTGACAAAAAATGCATAATAATACCAAGGTTGTGGACCGAAAGATCTTGGTTCCTTTCGATATCGGCGTATATATAGGACCGTCACTTCCTGGATTATGGCCCCTGTTTGTACGAATTATCACATTTTAGTTTGTGGACCTTGTAGAAGTAACAGTTTTTATTTGATTGTAAAAGGGTATAGCGCCATCCCTAACCCAAGATCTAGCCCTTACCTTAAGCCTCGGCAACAATCACGTGCCCTAGCCTGATTACTTCTCGTGACCGTGACGAAATCTGTCGGTGGCTTTAATACATGTATTTAAATCTGACCATCCAGTGACCCGAATATTTTATCCAATTTTGATGAAACTTAAAATATATATTTACAATCCAAAGATTGGCGCGTATTGGACCGTAACTTTCTGGATTATTACCCCCTGATTGTACGAATTATCACGTCTTTAGCTTATGGGCCATCTAGAGGTCACAATTTGTATCTTATTTTCAAAAATGTTCAAATATATCACCGTTAAACCATAATTATTCCCTCAAAATCGGACCAAAATTTCACGGCCAAATAGCCACTCCTCTTTACGAAAATAAAAGCATGTATAATACCCAGGTTGTGAACCATCTAGAGGCCACAATACTCGATTTAGATGAAACTTAAAACGAGTATCACTAGTTTTTGGGTGAGTTCAATTTTCGTGCGCATCTACTCCTGCCTTTTACATGAATGAATGAGACATGAGTGTAATGAGACCTACGTTCAGAGCTGAACTCGCTAGCCTGGAGGTCGGTTGTTCGATCCTTGCATTGGCCGAGAAAGTTCATTCAGATTTTCCGGCGTGGTTTCCCCTTTTCATTGATGCAGGATGGAGGGCCTGGCAAGGACGTACAGCTGTCTAGTCGTTTGGATGGGACGAAAAACCGAGGTACCGTGTACAAATTGGCTTGCACGTAAAAGATCCCTTGGCAGTTGGAATTCGATATAAGAGTAGGCCGTAGCGCCGCTGCCTGGGCAAAATTTCCCTCATAGCACACTGTATGGCGTATGCCCGTCTTCATTAGCCCAGGAGCAGAAAAGTAGGACGCTAAACCTCATTTTTATTTCATTTCATTTCCTTGTTTTACGTTATATAATCTTGGAAACGCTCTAACGATATAAGTTATCATCTGGCCTGCCTAATAATACTGTGAATGCTTTTTAAAAGAAAAATGCTGTTATCCATAAGAGAGGATCCGATTGAAAATACATGTAGTGTATATGCGGCGATATGACACACGATATGCCCACTGACTATAAACTGCCACCTGTTACGGCACGTATTTATTAGCCGCGGTGTCGAAGGGTAAGAAGTTAAACCTTATTTCTTTTCATTTCAATTCAATTCACCTGTTTTGGCGGCAATCCTTTATAAAAAACTTTTATTTTACATAGTATGACGGCGAGTTTTATTACAGAAGACATATTCATAATCCACTATTTGTTCTAATTTCTAACTCAGAAAAACAATCAAACTCGCATAACTCAATAATTTCATACTTTATTCTTTTAATATAAATTTTGAATTGATGATTCAGTTATTGGATAGCGAAAATGATCATAGTTTTGCTGAACGCCACTTTGAAAATAATAAAGTTGCATGATGTAAGGCTGACTTAGAATAATAACTCGGACAATGAATTGTGTGTTATTTTTTTTTTATAATGTAGTCCTCGTATTATAATTCATAGTTAGACATGCCTATAGTTTTCGCGTTTGTAGTTTTAAGTTGATTTGAAAAACATAAATATATCTTTTCGGCACTGATGTACAACATAACCACCGTTATTATCGAACCGTTACTCATAATATTTTCTATTTACGACTGTTTAATCATTCATAGGCGAATGTGATAAACACCATTGATAAACCCGCGACGATTGTTTTCTTGGTAACCATGACAACATTCACATAAAGACTTAGTCACTGAACACACATGTAGAATAGCAGGCAACGCCAGCCTTGTCGAGAAATTGGGTTGGGTGTGTTATTTATAGCGTGACATAGTCCGTGATTAAGATATTTCGTTTTGTAACGGTGATTACGCGTGTTTGGACAGGAATTGGCAGTCTCCGACTTACCAGTACATAACCTTGTTCAGTTCGTATGTCATGCGCAGTTCTGTGCATACCTTTAATGTGTTACTAACGGTGTAATGGCGTAGATCGAATCAAGGATATGATTGAACACCGTAGGCCTACGTGAGTGAATTAAAAGAAGCCGAGGGATATACTCTAACATTTCGCTTAATCAGAGTGGATTTTAAGCAGGATAATTTGCCTTAGTTTACAAGAAAATGGAGCCGGTTTATCGATGTTGTGTGTTATTGTTTATATTAGTGACATGTAACGACAGGGTCAATGGTAAGTAATGAAAAAGTATCGCCTTCCATACAATTAAAGGGAACTCTCATGATCGTATATATTATTATGTACGTGTATCAGGGAAGTTTCCTTTTAGGTCGGATAATTTTGTAACAGGCCTATACATATTTCTGGTTAGATTTTAATTGATCAATGGGGTGATTCAAGTGACATGAAATGTGCATGGGTGTTAATTATGCAAGAGCTAGGAACCTTTCCGTTCATATTTTTGATGAGCTAATTTCATATAAGTATGCTAGCTTGAACGATTGTTCAGACAGTAAGTATGCTAGCTTGAACGGATAAGACCTGTTATTATCCTTGTAACCAACATTGGCAACATTAAGAAAACAATTTACAACCAAAAATAAGATAAGAATATTCTTTTTATTTAGTTCTAAATGATTTTTTACATATTAGTCGATTTTGAATTACATGTATATGTTATAAACAAAATAAAAACACTATCTAAACAAACAGAGCAGTATATGCGTGTTAGTTTCACTTGATTTCATTTCCAGATAAGCTTACGTATAAAAAACAATATTATATTGGATACTGAAATTCTTTGAAGACTGCGATATAGATACAAAGATATGCATGTAAACCATGTACACTTTCATACTATAGGCCTACAATTGAAGATTTCTGATCTAATATTGCCATAAATAAACGCCCCTCGATCATAGACTGCTTATCTAAATATGCATTCTACTTTTAATTTTTCTATCGATATAATAATATTTTATAAATAAACGTCTGGTCATAGACTAAATATCGTGTCGAAAATCGTATTTAATATATATCAATAGCCTATATAGTTAACGGTTTATTGTATCTCACGCTAATGTTATTTTGACATATCCCTATAATGTGAGTAATAAAGTATATTATTATATAGCTTATACAATCGTTTGGTCTAAACGTAGTTTAGTAAAAATACATATCGTGTAGATAAGGAGATTATACTCAATCCAATTAATTGATATTCTGTGATTAGCGTGAGTCCAATTAATTAGCTAATTACACGTAAACACAATTAATTTTAAAACATATAGTTAACGGTTTATTGTATCTCACGCTAATGTTATTTTAACATATCCCTATAATGTGAGTAATAAAGTATATTGTTATATAGCTTATACAATCGTTTGGTCTACACGTAGTTTAGTAAAAATACATATCGTGTAGATATGGAGATTATACTCAATCCAATTAATTGATATTCTGTGATTAGCGTGAATCCAATTAATTAGCTAATTACACGTAAACACAATTCATTTTAAAACATTCAAACCTGCGAATTAGATATATTGGTTAAATGGGACTAATCGGCTTAAGAAAAGACACAAATTGAAATAAATAAAAACAGACTTAAAACCTCTTTCATTTTTTTTGTCTTGCAAATTGTGTCCATTTTGGAATAGACTGGCAGATAAGGGACAAGCTTATAGAACATAGTCTTTCTGAGCATTATGGAAAACATGAAAGCCATGTGATTCATCAAATGATTTTAATCTTATATTTTCACAGATGTATCGATGGAAACACAATGCAAGATATTGCGCCCATTCTATTTGAGACTAACAACTAGTAATTTATATTTCTGTGCGAGATGCGAATATTTTATGAATCTTTCTTTGTCTCATTGTCATACAAATCAGACATTTATGTATTTATAATATTAGTAATGTTTTGTTTTTTGTATTTTAGGTCAAATTGCAATACAGAATATACGATTAGCTAATGGTAACGGGAGTTATGGTAGAGTAGAAGTACAGATTGGTGGTGTATACGGTACAGTTTGTGACGATCAATGGGATGATCTCGATGCTTCTGTTGTTTGCCGATCTCTGGGATATCCGTAAGATATTGTTATAATGTTAATAAATTAGGGAGATAGTCTCCGATAAAATTTATACGATGGTTGTCAGTTTTAATTTTGTGGTCTGCACTGGGTAAAGAAATTGCAAAATGAAGTACCCCGCCCCTATAAATTAAATAAATAAAGTGTTTTAATGTTGACTTACATGTAATATAATAAACATAGTGTTTTATGTATTGTTGGCTTACATGTAATAATAATAAACATAGTGTTTTATATATTGTTGGCTAACATGTAATATAATAAACATAGTGTTTCATATATTGTTGGCTAACATGTAATATAAAAAACATAGTGTTTTATATATTTTCGGCTAACGTGTAATATAATAAACATAGTGTTTTATATACTATTCAAAAAAAGTAGGGGATATTTGATTTTGGGGGCATAATACTAAAATATGCAAATGACTACGCAAAAAGTCACTATAGAACCTAACAGAAGAAACATTTCCAGTTACATGTGACGCCCAAACGCACCAATAGCTACCGCATGGAATGCAGGTGATGCTTGGGATCATCATGGGGGTCCAACCCAAGATTTGCACGACTCTGACTTTGAATGTTACAGTCATTGTGGCATTGAATTCCAGGGTGGAAACATCAGTTTAATTGTTTTAGTGACCAGAAAACAAATTTTGATATGCGTCGGCTTACCCAAAATGAAAGGTTACGTGCCCTTGGCATGCTACAGATCGGCACAACACAGGCGGTTGTGGCGCGGACGATGAATGTTTCTCAGTCTGTCATAAGCAGGCTATGGTCCAGATACCGTGATACACAATCTGTACAGGACAGACCACGCTCAGGTCGACCAAGGGCGACAACTCAAGCCCAGGATCGATTTATCCGTACCTTGGCCTTGAGAAATCGTGTCATCACAGCAAATCAGATCAGCGCTCGTCTTCAAACAGACACTGGTGTGAGAGTGAGTGGCCAGACGATTCGGAATCGACTGCATAGGGGTCACCTTCGCGCCCGACGTCCTCGCGTGATCCCTTGTTTGAGAGATCATCACATTCAGGCAAGACGTCGTTGGTGTAGGGATCGTCAACACTGGGATAATCGACGCTGGAGCAATGTGATGTTTTCAGATGAGTCAAGGTTCACTGTTGATTTTTTGGACAGACGTAGGAGGGTGTGGCGTCGTCGAAACGAGCGCTTCCAAGACGTTAACGTCATCAGACATGATCGATTTGGGGGTGGTTCTGTTATGGTGTGGGGAGGCATCACTGTTGCTGGAAGAACGGCTTTACATGTTGTTGCAGGGCGTGTTACAGGCCAGTACTACCGGGACAACATCTTGGCAGTCCATGTTGTGCCGTTCGCACGACGTCATGGCCGCCGTTTCATCTTCCAGGATGACAACGCAAGATGTCACAGGGCCAGGATCGTTACAGGTTACCTCCAACAACAGAACATCACCACATTACCTTGGCCAGCACTGAGTCCCGACCTCTCCCCCATCCAGCATGTCTGGGACATGCTTGGACAGAGGTTACGTCAACGTCAACAACGTCCTGCCAATGTCCAAGAACTTGCTGCTGCGTTGCAACAGGAATGGGACAATCTGGACCAAAATGACCTTAGACGTCTCATTAGGAGTATGCCACGTCGGATCAATGCTTGTTTGGCAAACAGAGGAGGATTTACCCGTTACTGACTTGGTTGTGATGCTGTGGTAACTTTGCTGTTTGACCCCGGGTATCATTTTACCCTTATAATGGTCAGTCTGTGCCTTACTTAGTCTAACGATCATTTGGAATAAATCGATGAATGTGAACTTCATTTCATTTTGTCATTTGTTTCTTCGTCAGTTTCATTAGGTGACTTTAATAACACTTAAAAATCAAATATCCCCTACTTTTTTTGAATAGTATATATTGTTGGCTTACATGTAATATAATAAACATAGTGTTTTATATATTGTTGGCTAACATGTAATATAATAAACATAGTGTTTTAAATATTGTTGGCTAACATGTAATATAATAAACATAGTGTTTTATATATCGTTTTGTAGTAATGTAGTACCGAAGTGCCAACAATAAGATTATTGGAAAATTACGCTGCTGTCTTATTATCATTTCTTTGATTACATTTTCAGCGACGGGGGATCTGGAGTCCAACAAGCACAATTTGGACAAGGTACTGGTACCATCTTTCTGGATGATGTTGCATGTGCAGGAGACGAAGATGGGCTAGCGGACTGTAAAATGAATCCCCAGATTGGGGGACATGCATGTCAACACAGTGAAGATGCGGGCGTTATTTGTAATTCAAATACGGGCGTGTTACCAGCATCTACCACAACTACCAGAAGACCCGTAGGACCACAACCAGATAATTGTAAGTTGTTCGCCAAAATTTAAGTCTTGAGGAATAATATACTGCTTGAACTTGAACTTAAATTTTCATTACCAATGACATTTACTAATTTATTTTTGTCAAACCTTTCAAATTCAAAAACATATGAAATGAAGTGAACTAATGTATAATATTCCACTTTTCTCCACCAACCGGTCTAATGAAGACGGGCATACTCTTATTTCGAATTATAACACTATTGTCATTGGTTTTTGCCAACATGTATACCGGATCTCGATATATGCTCGTATCGTTCGTTGGACCACACTCTGTTCCGTGTAACCATACCCCTCACCCTTACTGCACCACTGACAAATCGGAGAATCACGCTGGCATCGCCCCACCCACCCCGGTTACTGAGCCAGCGCCTTACTCTCCATATAATGACTGTTGTTTGAGCAATCTAAGCACATTGTCGCCCATGAAACAATACAAAAAACTTATATATGTCATGTCAGTTGCTAACATTAAAGGAGTTATATCGCCATTCTTAGGCACCTAGAAATGGACACAAATGGGTCGCAACACATATGAAAAATAATGTAATATGAATGTATATATACTGATTTACATTCAATCGTTTCTGTTTTTACTGTAATTTCTAATCAGTTATGTTCAGCTTAATATGCCATGAGTGCGTATTGAATGGCAGTCTTTAGCGTCTGGCTATTCTAGTCTACTTCGGTAGTCTTCCCTTGTGGGCTGGATATGTTTATCCTCGTTCACGAAGTCACTTATGACAAATGGCGCCCGAAATCATTCTTGCACGCAATTCGTGTGCCAAGTTTAAAGTTTTCATTGTGTTTTTAAATATTGGATTCCAGAAACCTATCTTTTTACAATAAAATAACAAAATACATGTTGATTTGAATTGATTAATAAGTCGTGTTTGCAGTGTCGAATTAAGACTGGATGATACTGCGCTAAAGACTTAGTAATTTAAAAGGGAAATTCTATCTAGGCAAACTTTTGTATTAAAATGGTTGTATTTTGCAGGTGCGTCACAAAATGGTCAAGTACGACTCATAGCACCTAATGGAACTGTTGGTATAGGTCTTGTAGAGATATTTTATAATAATAGTTGGGGCTCTATATGTGATGATCAATGGGATGAACTCGATGCTAGAGTTGTGTGTGCCATGTTGTGTTACGAGTAAGTGTGCGGATTTCATATTTAGGAAAAGGCCATCTTTTTTAATGAATGTAGAGCGATGTAATCCGAGCAATTTCATTAGATAATTCATATAGACATCGACACATATATGACCTTACGAGGTGAGCTGTTAAGGTAATACATATGTCTCGAAATGAAATGTAGAGGTGTTTGACCTTGAACACTGGAAGAAGAATCGATGGACACTTGTGTACGTTGACCTCGATATCGTCCTTAGATAATCGACATTTTAACACTTCTGAGAGAATATTTTCAAAATGTTCTCGACGGCTTTCTACACAGTTCGACGTTGGGACAATGACAATTATTTTCAATAGTTAAATGTCCCATAGTCGTGGACTCAACCATGGCATCGTTTTCTGCCATGATCAACCAACCGGCATTTCATTCTTTGATGCATTGTGTATAATAAACATTTTACTTTGTTACAGCACTACCTTTGCTAGACCAGGTGCCCTGGAGGAGATTCTAAAATATGTTCAACCCCAGTCTGGTATTATTGTCGATAATGTTAACTGTGTTGGAACCGAGTCTCGTGTTCAAGACTGTCCACATAGTCCATGGTATAGCCATAACTGTGGACCCCTAGAATTGGCTAGTGTTACGTGCGTTGACCTCAATTCTAAGGCTCCGGATCGTAAGTTCACAATTTTTTATCTAATTTTTTTTACGCCCACGTCCGCCCGTCGGTCCGTCGTCCACACTTTCTTGTGAACTCTACAGACTACAATTATCATCTGATTGTTTTGAAAGTTATATATTATGTTGTTAACATTACTGAGATGATGAATCCTATTTAATTTGAATACTTTCCGTTCATTTCTCGTGGAGTTATGGTCCTTGTTTCACTTTAAGGCACATTATGAATGCCTTGTTAACATTACTGAGATGACGAATCCTATTTAATTTCAATAATTTCCGTTAATTTCTTCTGGAGTTATGGCCCCTGTTTCACTTTAATGCACCCTGTGAATGCCTTGTTAATGTTACTGAGATGAAAAATCCTATTTAATTTCAATAATTTCCGTTAATTTCTTCTGGAGTTATGGCCCTTGTTCCATCTTATTGCACCTTGTAAATGCAGTAACGACAAACATTATCATCTGATCTGTATCAAATTTACATAAATCCTTTAAATTAGTGAAACTAATAAACCTATTTTCGTTTATTACGTCTTGAGTTATGGCCCTTATTTCACTTTGTCGAATCCTGTAAACGCTGTAACCTAACAAGATATCATCCGATCCGAATTATAATTTATATGCATTTCTTAAATTAGTGAAACGAGGAAGTCTATTGAATTTCAACAATTTCCGTTAATTAGGTCTAGTGTTATGGCCGTAGTTTCACTTTTTCGAACCCCGTGAACTCTCTAACAACAATAGTTATCATTTGATCAGTATGAAATTTATATGCGTTATTTAAATAAGTGAAACGAGTGATCCAATTGAATTTCAGCTGTTTGCATAAATAAAGTCTGGAGTTATGGCACATGTTTGGTATTGTTGAACCTTGTGAACGCTCTAACGACAAAAGCTCTCATCCGATTTGTATGAAATTTATATGCATTATTTAGATTAGTTGAACATTGTGAACATTCGAACGACAAAAGTTAGAAATTTATGTGCATTGTTTGGATTAGTAAAACGAAAAAGGCTTTCGAATTTCAACAAGTTTTGTTTATTACTTCTAGAATTATGGCATTGTTTCTATTTGTATCACCTTTTGAAGGTTCAAAGGACGAAATTTATGATCTGATCTGTTTGACATTGTCTTAAAAATTTCCTTCAATACCTACAAAAAAATTAAATATGCGACAACCATTGTTGACTGCTCAGACTATTTAGCAGACCGTAACTTCATGGATTATGGACCCTGATTGTACGAAAAAAATCACGTTTTTAGCTTGTGAGCACTCTAGAGGACACAATTTTCATCTGATTTTGATGAAACTTGAGATCTTCGTTCCTTTCGATATTCGATATTCGCGCAATCGGATCGTAACTTCCTAAATTATGGCCCCTGATGGTACGAAATATCGCGTTTTTTAGCTTGTGGTCCCTCTAGAGGTTACAATTTGTATCTGATTTTAAAAAAAGGCATTCCAATATATCACCATTACACCATAAGAATGGTTGAGTTCGAATTTCGTGAAAATCGGACTGAAACTACCGGACAAAATGATTTTCATGAAACTTGAAATGTATGTTTATTATCCAATGATCAGGGTTTTTGTCGATATTCGCGCATATCGGATTATAACTTCCTGGATTTTGGCCACTGATTTTACAAAAAAAAATCCCATTATTTTTTTAGTTCGTCCTCTGTCCATCTCTTGCAAAATGTGGGCGTATCTTGCATGATAATCGCTTGTTTCTACTGGATGTTAATCTAATATGTATGCTTCCATTGTTTGCAGCACCCGTACCCACATTACAATGCAAAGAGGGGTATCTAATATCATTATTTAGTAGATCTAGAGATCCAAACCTGGAAGAAAAACATTTATCTGTTACGAATCAAACGACAACTTGTAATCTCATCAAATCAAGGGATGATAATTTTGTTTCTGTCAGAATACCTTTTACTGGTTGTGGTACAATTGTTACGGTAAGCATAGAATTAATTTCCATGGCTGTCCATCTGCTTTGTTATTAAGAATTGTTTTGAAATAATAAATCATGTTGAGTCTTAACAAGAGAACGTGGACTTGGCAGAGTGCAAACAAGTATATCCAAAGTATAATATATTATACACACAAAGCGTGCATCAGAAAGTATGTAACTGCTCACTTTTAGTGGCACCACAATACATATTGATATGATGTGACGAACTAAGTGCCCTCTTGTCGTCTTTTCAAAACTTTCCACTGAAACAAATAATGATCTTTTCTCATTTTTTTTTAGCAAAACGCCACACATTTGATATATTCCAACGTAATAAAATATGACTATACCAATCTTGATGTCAACAAAGTTCGGGTCAACACCTTTCTTGTCTCGGTATTTTGTGAGATGCCAAGGAATGTGGAAGCAGACAGGAACTTGCAACCCCTGACACAGGCAGTGTCAAAGAAAGCAGAGGGTCGTTTCGTCATCAATATGACCTTTTACCAAAATAACAGTTTCACCGATCCCGTTAGCCAGTATCCAGTGCGCATGCCACTTGGTGAATGGTTAAACGTGGCTTTACAGTTAGAATCTATAGATGCTCGTTTAAAGCTTATTGTACCGGACTGCGTAGCTACACCATCAAGCAACCGATCAGACCCCGTTAACTATCCTCTCTTCGAAAATAAGTAAGTAATTCATTAATATTTAGGCTTATTAGTTTTACCTTATTTCTATCTGACACACGTTTGGATGACACAAAATGCCTCTCTTTGAAACACCCTGGGATGATATTAGCTGTGATTTGGATTTTATACATTTAATTTGTAAACTATTTTAATTACCATTGCTTGGTTCACTCTGATAGGGGCAAGTATATAAATCTGCTGCTGAAATGATATGTATGAAATGATATACTATAAGATTTACATAGATCATTATTTACCATAATTTGACTCCATCTCTAGTATTTCCACTCGCAATATGCACATTCTACTAGAGTCACATTACCAGATTATAGGCAAAAAGGCAAATACTGACTATCAGACCATATGAAATAAAAAGAGTTATATTCAAAAACATATAGATCAACAAATGATCCAAACGAACAATTCTTAACAGAGTAGAGGAGGGGGGAGCGAATGGTCAAGTTGCGTGGTTTCGATTCCACGCACAAGCGAATATATGAAATAAAATTGAACTGTATGTTATGTGAATCCCGAAGTGGCCCGGTGTATCTGTCGAGTGGACGTTAAACTCTCTATCTCCACCATCTCTCTCTCTCTCACTCTCTCTTTCTCTCTCTCTCTCGGGAGACACGGTGGTTAAGTGGGTAAGACAAAGTGGTACAGCTGTCTAGTCATTCGGAGGGGACGAAAAGCCGAGGTCCCTTGTACACATTGACGTGCACTTTTTTTTCGATACAAAAGAAGGGCTTAATTTCCCTCATAGCACACTGTCTGGCGTATGCCTGTCTTCATTAGCCCTGCCGATGCAGAACTGTAGACGTTAAACTCCATTTCATTTCATTTCGTAATGTTGCCATTACTGTTTAGTGATCATGCCGCCATCTTGTTTTTGTCTAATTTCTATCCAGAAACATAGATACCTTTTGGTTTAAATATGGAAAATGATTATTGGACATTTGGACCATTGAGACTTTAATGCATTAAATATTTCTTTACAGTTGTCCCAATGAACCGACGCTGGGTTTATTTCCCTTGAGTCAGATTAAATTTGGCTATAGATACCAGCCTTTTATGTTCGTCAACAACCCACTTGTATTTTTACACTGTGGTGCATTCGTCTGTCTTGTGGAGGAGGAGACCGCAGAATGTGACAGAAGTTGTAACACCACCAAGCCTGTTGCTACCGGACGCCGTAAGAGAGACGTGACTGCAACGACTAAAACAAAATATTATATCGACAGTGGTCCAATGATGGTGTACAAACCACCCGGCGTTGCAACTGCTATTGAAAGAATTGATACACCAACTTCATATGGTTAGTAGCAAATCATTAATATACATATCTACTTCTAAGGCCGGGTTTAGTCTTTCGACTTTTTATCAAAAGGTGAGAAATCGGACACAATTTCACGGTTGAAGTTTGTGGAGTATATCTGTGTAGTTACCCAATTGTCGACGACTTGCAAATTTCATCGCTAAGACTATCGACTTTAGGCAGCAAATTGGACAACTTGAAAGTCGTTACAAGTATTTATCGGGTGTCTATTTTCAATAAAAGTATGGCGATTCTCGTATATATGGAAAGTAGAGGCACCCAATATTACCAGACAAATGAGACCTAGGGTGTCACTAAATTTCAGCCAGACGATAACGTCTATCTGCTGGAATGACGTCAAAGGTTTGCACGCGTACATGTAGATTGTCTGACCTTATTTGCACTAGGGAGGGCTTAATGTATATGTTGATAAACATGACCGTGAGCGGATGTGGAAAAAGTGAGAGACTTAAACGTATAACAAATCTTGAGACTACACTACGGAAAAATAAGTGAGCAGGGGATAATCCCAGAATTTACGTATGCTTATAAACTCGTGGTAACTGGACAGCGATTAAAGAAAACGTCGTCTTTTATGTACAATGGAGTCTCCTTCGGCTTGCCACCCTGGCTAGTATCAGCTACCTTAAAATCACGTGACACAAACGTAACTTCTCCAAATAGAATTGTTATAGCTAGGGGTATTTCCTCGCGAATACAATGTTTTGAGAGGGATTTGAATTAAATTTTTGATAGATTGATTAGTTTGAACATGTTTTTAGACCAAATATATCATCAGACCACCCAGTTTATACATGAGAAGGCATCTTAAGAAGAAGACTTTGTCAATGTGTAGGCCCTATTTTAATGTCAGAAATTGACTTTCGGGTCAATATAGGGAAACGTCATCGCTATCTATACTACATCTTCGATAGAAGGCGTGATCTCGCTTTAACTCCGTACATCTTATCAAGCCCACAGGTAATACCCTGCATATTTTGGCACTAATTTCGAGTGTGTACTGACCCAGCTTGAGATCCCATCAGATTCCTCGATCATCGCGAATACCAAGTTTTGCGCTTTCCAACCAAAATGTCTACCCGTGATAATCGGGTTGCAAAGTTCAAGGTTTGTTCACTGTCAAGGTTTCAGTGGGGGTTGCCATGTTTGATTTGAGTGTTTGTGTCACAACCTCTGATTAGACGCAAAGGTAGATGACGTAGCTATAAGTTCGGGAATTGCAAAGCAGTGCAGCAACGTCTAGATGTTGTAAAACTCGCGGCCGTTGCTTCAGGAACATGCCTACATTACAGCCAGTTAATGAATGATGACATTGACGAAATTTGGCAAGTAGGTATGGGGACCTTAAAATTTGGTTTGTCATCTATTTGTTGAGATTTTGTAAAATTCAATAATTTTGTGTGTGAAATGAAAGTCAGGTTTATGATGTTTATTGTATGTTGCAGCTACCACCATAACTGTGCCTTTATCAACCGAAATCCAACAAAAGTTAGCCCAAAGATCTACAACAACCATGAAACCTACCCCACAACCAACAACGTATGGAGCCACCGTCAAAGTAAGGTCTACAGCAGAGAACGGAAAACCAGAAGTAGTTGCTACAACTCACGAAATTAAAGAAACCGAAAAACCTACAGAAAAGATAAGCACAACAACACAAGCCAGTCGACCAGATAGTGTTTCCGAAATGCCAACGACGCCATATTCTAAGATCGAAAACGAGGCCGTTACCGTGAAGCCCACAGAAAAGCTGCTGGAGGGCATATGGATAGAATTCCCTGAACGCCAACCAGCAAGTAAAAGTAATAATCAACAGGAACAATTAACAGCAGGTGTAGACAGAAATATATTAATTGGTGGTGTAAATGGTGCCTCTAGTGTCAATTTTAAAACGTCTTTAGTAACGGTTGTTTTATTTTTGTTTTTTTGTTATCTTTTATGATCTAGCAGCAAAGACTACGTTGTCGAACTTTGTCCGTCCAGCTGTGTGATGTCTGACAAATTATTATCTTTCTGTGCAAAGTGATCTCAATTTCTTTTCTTTAGTAAATTATTTACTGCCTTGTTCCTTTGCAAATTTAATTGTATTCACGCCCAGTGAGAAGACGTAGGTTCATTAAAATAATATATCCCTACTGTTTCAAAGTGCTGCTAAATTATAATCATAATTATTAAAAGCTAAACTCCTTCACAATCTTGAACTAATCACGAAAAGGACTATGGAGATTTGTTCAATAATGAACAATTATAATATTACTATTTTACACGGGGGAAGTTTTTATAATACAATATCATAAATGAATGTTTAATATATATAGCTTTTTATAATTTGATAATTTGAAAAGGTGTTAACTAAAGAGTAGCATCAAATTACCATTGGTAATACCAGTGCTGGGTCATATTGCATTGACAGTTCATGCAGAAACCGAAATGAAATAAAATGAAATGGAGTTTAACGTCCTACTTTTCTACTTCATGCAGAAACGGTTATATGTGTCCTTTAATAATATTTGAAGAAGTAGAATTAGTTATAATGAATTATCTTGCCCATTAGTATCATGCATATTTTTATATAGTTATTTTCATGATATTATAGCTTATATGCGTTTTAATCCTGTACAATTTGTTATGATAAAATTTTCTATTCTAACATCTAGCTAGGTAGATTTTAGATTATATTATTTTATAATATTTGTTATAGTTCAATTTACCATTAAACGTCCGATGTGTTTATAAAACCAGCATAATATATGAAATATGTGTATTTAAAAGTCCCATGCTGACGTTTGGGTGCATTCGTGACTTATGATTGAAATGTGTTTTCTGCCCATTCATATCCCAGACGTCTAAAATATAATAGATGTTTAGTAAACGGGTACGATAGTATCGCCGCCACTTTGGAATTATGACATCATATCGATACGCAATTGTCCAAGGAACAAATGTTTAATGTCGATCGTACTTGAATTGGCAACGCGGAAGAACAAGAAAAGCAACAAGATGCGTAGCAGTTGGACCCAGTACCTGATCTCCCAAAATTAATACCAGATTACGAAATTCAATGGATACACAAAAAATGTTTATCTTGGTAAAGATTTTTAGACTGTATGTTGTCTCATGGGGGATTTTTGTTTCATAAAAGTGTATATATATATATAATATATAGTCATCATAATGTGCCATTGTTAAATTTATGTGATATTTTGAAATATGTCATAATTGACATTCCGTCCTAGACTTGTTTGTAAATAATCATATATTGATATATTAATATGTCATATTCTTTTATAGAATTAAATATTATGTTTTTTTATAAATTGTTTCAGTGATTTTTGTTCCGAACAACAGAATTTAAAGACTACAAAGATATAACTCAAGGTACAATTTTATGGATACACAATTACTGAGATTAATACTAAGTGGAGTTTCGACGAGGATACTCTCGTCTTTATCAAGCAAATGATACAGATGTGAATAGTAGACAAATATATATACAGAATATGCAACAAAAATAAGAACCAAATACAATTAAAACTTAACACCTTAGGTGGTCATTTATAACTAAACCAACACAGCCGAAACTCTTACTGGCTTAAAAGGGGGGGGGGGGTACAAAAATATAGTATATATATTTGTGCCTGCCCTTTGACTGTCTGTATGTTCGGAGTTGGTAGCTACAGTCAGTGGGGCTGCAATTTGGCTGAAATTTTAGATATAAGGGCAGCTTGAGTCATGAAGTGGGATAGGCCCGATGACGTGGCACTACCACTTTCGGTTTCGAAGTTATAAACTTCCGGTTCAGGGCTCTACCCATGCCACGCCAGGCCAACCGCTAGTATATAATAACAAAAAAACCATTGGCTATTATATTTAATTTCATTCACAGATACATCTATATTAATGGCGTCCGTTCACCTAATAAAGCCAGATTAAATGAATATCTAATTTTCATCTACTCTGCTTGTGAGATTACCGAAACTACCGATAGTGACAACACTTGGTCCTATTTAGATTTGTTACCCAAGGCTGAAACAGTCACACGGTCTTTAAGCTGCACAATCCAGTATTCAACGGTATAAAATAAAACATAAAAAAACAAAAGCAAGTGCTTGCAGACCACGTGTGATCTGATACAAATGTTTATTTTGACAAAATCTATGCCCTATATGTTTTTGGGACAATGTCGTCTTACATTTTAAATACATGTAATGTACAATTATATACATTTACTTATACTGGATAATAGTGTTGAACTAAGTCACAAACAGAATCATTATCTCCAAACACAAACTGTAAAATGGAATCCAAAGAATGCTTAAAGGAGCTAAATCGCTAACATTTAGGACCTAGAAATTGACAAAAGTGGGTCGCAACGCATATAATACTGTAATATGAATGTATATAAACTGATTTTCATTCAATCGTTTCCGTTTTTACTCCAATTTCAAATCAGTTATGTTCGGCGAAATAAGCCTGTAGTCTCAATCGAGTGCACATTTCTAGCGTCTAGTTATTCCAGTCTACATACGCCGTTCGATTTGGTGCAATGTGTCTAGCCTCGTCCCAAGAGTCTCTTTTTACAACTGAGGCTGAAGCGCATTATGGTACACGATTCGTGTACCAATGGTAAAATGTTTATTTTGTCTTAAATATTGGATATCAAAAGCCCATCTTATTCCGGTAAGATCACAACATCAATGTTGATTTAATTTGACAAATAAATCGTGTTTTCAATGTTGAAGATTTTGGATGATATTGAGTTAGAGACTTAGCTACTTTAAGTATCAGTAACCACTATAACATTCGAAAAACGCTGCACAGTTTTAAAAATCCTTAACATTTTTATCCGAAATCGCAGGTTTCCAGTAAACTAATAATGTTAAAATTTTGTTTTGCCTTATTCTGTTCTAAATGAGAACCCAAAACATGAATTTCAATTCAAATTTATTTCAATTCAAATAGATTATTTTGTGGATTCATGGTTGTGGTGATGTCGTTCCGTATGCTTCACAAACAACTCCAAACAATGAATTAAGACAACAATCCTTAATGAAAGAAACCAGTTAAAAATGCCATTACCACACAACCAAGAGCAGCATTGATATTCATAAATGTCTGCCATTTTGGATTTTCGTAAAGAAATTGTCTGATTTGTTTCTGTGATATTCCCGGTGTGCCACGATCTGGTTTGTTTTCAGGTAAACCGCATATAAATCTGGCCCAATAATTACAGCCTTTCGTTTCAGTTTCTTCTATAACTACTTCTTCACTAGATTCTAGTTTCATATCTGAAATAATTAAATCGTTTACATGTTGTAACGTCAACAAGATATGTACATTTCGCCTACGTTCAGCGATAACGTGGTCGATATCGTAATCAATAAAGGTTGTACTTTCGATATCCAACATGCAATGAAAATGGCAGCAGGCTAACATTTTGCGTGCATATCAAATGTTCAGGTAGATTGATATGGGGTTTAAAATCCACTCAACACAAACTATGTCATTTCGGGATTAATATTGCGGTACAATTGTATTTCAATAATTCGCTTGCGCGTAGGGGACTTTAGCAGTGGGAGGAGTTCGAATGACCCGGAGAAAACCCATGAGGTTAGGCAGGCAACCTTACCCTAACCTCCCCAAATGTCCAGGCTGAATGAACTAATTTCTAAGACATTCTGATATAAAATACCCTGATTTATTTTATGTGGAAATACTTTTATGGTTTATGTTGTCTAATTTGTTGAATAATGAAAAGATTTGTAGAGGTGACATGCTATTTCCCCGAAAGATTGATGTTTTCATAGATACAAATTTATTCGTATTTTTCCAGCTTAATGTTTTGTATGTTCCACTGTATAGTTTGTTCTGTCCTTGATTTTCCCGCTGTTATTCTGTATTTATTAAAGTTGAATATGTCTTACTCGTGCTCCAGTTGGCAACCCCAGAAGATTACGATTATCATACAGAGGGGAATTAAGAAGAGGAAAAAATGTTTACCAGAATGCCCATTGAATGAGTTAAGATTTTCCTCCTCGAATTTTCTGGTTTCTTCGGACAGTTTATCTATCCTGGTCCAATACGTTACCCCGCGTAACTACAAAGAAACAAAAAAAAAACAGAATTAAACGAGGAGGAGAATAAAATTGTCATTTTATAACTAAAATAAGAATACAATATACCAACTCATTTAAAGATTTCATTGCTTAGTAATGAATGTACCTTTATACCTAAATCATGCAATTTTAGTTGGTAAATATCGTCTGCTTTAAAGTTGTGGTGGTTAAGAATATACTTTTCTTCCGGGGGTTTACTAATTGGTCTTAATATATAACTATTATCTGTTCTTTTGTGTGTTTATTAATTGGACCTAATATATATAACGGATCTGTTCTTCTGTGTGTTTACTAACTGGACTTTATATAAATATATATAACTAATCTGTTCTTCTGTGAGTTTACTAATTGAACTTAATATTTTAACTGATCTGTTCTTCTGTGAGCTTACTAATTGGATTTAACTAACTAATCTGTTGTGGGTTTACTAATTGGAATAAAAATAACTGTTGTGTTCTGCTGTTGTGTTTACTAATGAGGCAGCTACATCTATATGCCGATCCGTTTTTCTGTAGCAGATTAACAAACTTGGCAATCAACAACTAAACACTGACATGCCCCTTCACAATGGATTTACTAAACATTAATATGCTTCTGTTGTTCTGTTATGGTTTTACTAATTGAATATGATGTATAACTAAATATTATTTTATGGTGGGTTCCTAGGTATACTAACTTGTTCTTCTGTAGGAGCTTTACTAATTAAACTAAATATAACTATACTAATACACGTTATAATTAGTATCATTGAACCAAAATATGTATAATGGACATAAAGTAACACTGAAGGACGAGATTCTTCTTCCCCGCATTCTGGTGCTGGATAACTGAAATCTACTGCCATTCGTATCACTCCACAGACATGTCCAACAGCAATTCCCCAAAAAGCACCCTGAAAAATAATTGATGCTAGTATATGGTGCAGCGGTAGTTTAGGCAGCATTTTAAAAATAATGAATGTGTAGATTACCAAACCTTACTGGCCTTTGTACATAAACTTATAACTGACATAAATTTGTCTTCCCGTGCTAGGTTTCTGTCTTGTTGACACGGACTATACATTCACTGAGGGAGGCGGGTAACTATCTAATTCTATATAAAAGACAAGTTATGACAATGAACACATAGGGGATAACGATAGGCCTGTTACGCTCACTAATTTGACAGAGGTTGTCAAATAAATGCATATAATAAATGTAGACGCTTGGTTCCGTCAGAAATTTTACTAAATAGGAATAACTGTTAGTTACCATTTAAAGGAAAAATACCCACGTTTTCATTCATTCTTTTCCAGAACACCGCCATGACAAATAACGATGTAATGGGTGTACCAAGATATCCCTGGACAGCTTGAATATAATTGAAGAGTTGTCCACCTTGTGAAGATTTTACAAGTGGAATCCAAAGGATACTCACACCACATAAGAAGAGGACGAATAATCTGCATTAAAAACAAACAAAAGGTTAGAAGAAGCATTAAATCGGACAAGTATCTGTTTCTAATCTTATTTGAATGATATTAACTACACCAACAGAGATTATCCACGGTACTGGTATACCCTGAGTTTTGCCGCCCGGGACATTTAATGCGCTTACAGACAACGTCCCCACTCCCCGCGAAAAACACTACGCAAACCACATGCAACATACTTAAACTGTTAAAAAAAATCGTGTTTTCGTGAGAAGAAAATAACATTGTGTCCAAGTAGAAAAAACAAAGATACCAACTGACATACCTTCCTACTATAAGTAATTCTCTTTCTTGTGCTACAGGTCGCATCCTCCGCCATAGATCCATGGTGAATAATGTACTGGCGCTATTAAAGATGGACGTCAGAGAACTCATTATAGCTGATAACATGACCGCCATTAATAAACCCCTCAAACCTGAAACACAGTGAACAATACTCGCTAAATCGTCCAGCAATGTTAAGTCTAAAGAGATTGAAAATTTGTTGAACGCGCATTGACTCAGTTATATAATTCAACGACTCTTCCTAGACTACCATTGGCGGCTCTAGGACAATTCACCACTGAGCAATTCGTTACTGGACAATTCGTCCTGAGACAATTCACCCCAGGACTATTCGTATCATAGGACTATTCGTATCATAGGACTATTCGTCTCTCCAGACAATTTGTCCCCTAGGACAATTCATCCCCTAGGACAGTTTGTCCCTGGACAACAATAGTGGTATTTCAATTATCAACAACTGAATTAATCTTTACTTTTTATCCCAAATCTAAGTTTTGGTGCTAGTTTTACATCGTTTTACATTTAGTATTAAATCTAGGCCTTAACTTAATGATTTCTGGAGTTTCTCCGAGCCAATTGATATACATGTAGTAATCAGCTATGAACAGTGACACCTTTTGTGAGTTAGAGAATCCATGTATCCCTTTACTATGGGCATTGTCCATTGTCAATAATGCACTTGACTTATAATCAATATGCATTATTATGTATGATAAAACAATGTAAATTTAGACCAGACATCAGTTAGTTTCAACTTCTTCCCATTTCTTTAGAATTAGTTGTTGATCATAATTAGGGGACGAATAGACCTAGGGGACGAATTGTCCTAGGGGACAAATTATCCATGGACGACCGCGGGGTGACGGAAAAAGACTTGGGATTTATTGGAATTGACGGTACTCACCTACTGGTAGTAACTCTAGTACTAATTTAGGATAAGCTATATTGGAACAACCAACAGCATTTTCACAATATTTCTCACATTCCGCGGGATCTACACAACCAATTGAATCTGAAAAATTAGGTATAAATTGGAGATATGAGAATTGACTACTTAGGTCTGTTGTTCTGGTATGGTAAACAGCACATCACATTCGGGTGCTGGTGTTTCTGAACTGGTTTTTACTGGCACCGTCGGGGTGCTAGAAACGTCACATTCTTGTTCATTTGGTTCGAAATATTCGTGTAACGACCAGAATGACATGTACGGCTGACAAGGAACCTGTATACGTAACAGACATTTGCAGTACAGATAAAGATTCCTGAACTTTGAAGAAACCCACTGTCTGCAAAAACGTATTGTGCTGACCATTATAGTCGAGTGTTAACCGTTGGCACTAGATGGAAAGTGTACCCAGTCTTTCGGATAAAACAAAAAATCCCTCGGTGTAAACATTGCAGTGCATTTCAGAGAACCCATGACATTTGGAATTCAAAAAAGGGGGAGTCCGAAATGACATTATCCCTGCAAATTCCTTTTCTCTAGCATTAAATAAAGCGTATTGTTGGTCTTAAAATGTCTGAATTATTGCGTTGAAGTTTTTAAAATCCCTTATTTTTTTTTTTTTTTTTTTTTTTTGCTTAAAGCAAGAAACCACTGGCATCTTTCGTCTCAGCTTCTTTAAAATCATCTTATTTTTTTTTTTTTTTTAGCTTCATGTACACGAGTCGATATACCAGTTAAGATATGCGTGTACGTTGTCTTATTCAATCTATTCCTCTTCAAAATGATTGAAAATGTAAACTGATCTTTGAAAGTTAATGTAATCGTTTCGTTGTCGTCATCGGCCTTATATAAATCGGTTAATCGGTCATTACAAATGTACTATAGAAATGTAGAACTTTCTATAAAGACGTTTATGGGATCAGACCAGACGATATAATAAGTTGTATCGTGCGGTATTTGATTTACAGTTTATTGGAAGGATATAGTTCCCACCTTCACCTTGCATTTCAAATATTTAGGAAGCTGTGTTCAGTTTTAAGTAGTTTAAGAATCGTAGCCGAGACAGACGTATATTTCAGTATATTGGACTATAGAACATTTTTAATTTTTTCAATAGTTCATTCGTATTTCTGGGCAGGGAATTACATTCACGTGATATTTCTATGTATCCCTCGGGTTCGTGCGCTAGACAGGGGCCCTATGCTATGATGTATGTTGGTGGCAATAATTGAATACTATATAATAATAAATAATAAATATAAGTTTAATTTCATCGACCATTAACATTTGCATTCCTGCGAGTGGCTGTGTGCTGGGGTCCCAGTGCATTGCTTTGTTTGCCCGATGGGGGGAGGGGGCTATAATGGAGTCGAGACCCCCCCCCCCCCCCCAACGGCTAACCATTTTAAGATAACCTTTCTGATGGCGATATCACAACAACTAATTCATCGGAACCGGACTGTTTGTAATTTAAAAGGATAGTAATGAACTGAATGCATATGTCTCTCCAGCTATCGCCTCGTGATCCTTTTGCGTTGAATCGTCACACTGTTCTGTATCTATACATCCAAATAATCTATTCTGATATGTTTAAAATATGTGTGGTCGACCCGACCCGTCTTTGGGTTATTCTGAGACTATCTGATTTTCTATGGTTTACAAGGCAATTTGTGGTAGTCAATTAATTTACCCAAAATACTGAATTTCCCTGCTACAACAATCATTTAAGTACACTGATGACCTCTTTTTAAAACCAATATGACATTCGATGCATATATAAAGTAAATTTAATAAGAGTTATCTAACCTGGATACAATGCTCTACTAATCATACCCGGGAATATCATTAGAAATAATGGTAGAAGTTTCAGATATCCAGCTAATATAGAACCAGCTTTAGCGTGGGTTAGGTTTTTAGCAGCTAGTGTTCTCTGAACGATGACCTTAAATGGATTATAACAATTAAAGTACATATAATTCACGTATATGTAGAAAAGACCCCAATAGTCTGTACAAATAGAAAGGGGTCGAAAAATGACGCCAAGTGTTTGGAAACAAAAATGTACAAAGGATAATAGTCTTTACAACTGCCAGAAGGGGCTTGGACAATGACAAAGTCTTCAGGATCAGTCAATATGCAGTCGGTCCTGAAGTAGACAACATTAAGCAAAGGAAAGCGAGAGAAATCCGATTTGATTCTATAACCTGTTTCGTGTATCACCATCACTAGAAAATCGAATGTGAGCAAGTCGTATAAAATCGAGAGCATTTCGATAAACATATCAATGGCGACATGATGTCGATCATGTAATTATTTTTAGCTCCTTAAAATTAGTACGATATTACTTAACCTCGTGTGCGAAAATAGATCCTAATAGGGTAAGTTTTTTTTCTAAGGTTAACAATATAGACCTTACATGATCAAGAGTTGGGTGGCCGAATGGTTTAACGTGTGCGCGTTAGATCATAAGGTCTGCCATTGATTCAAGTGGCGTGGATTCGGTTCCCTCGTGTACGTGATATAGAGCTACCTGTCCAACCTCGTGGGTTTTCTCTAGGTCCTCCGGTCTACACCCATCACTAAAGACCCCTCTCTCTCTCTCGCCTTACCTGATCACAGCACCAGTACCAAAGGCAGCCCAAACTAGTTTGTATCAGGAGTCCTGGCCATGGATTGTCTGAGTTGATAGGATCACGGAAGATATGAAAAGCGTCTGCTCTAGGTTCCCCACAAGTTGTATTATTTGCGCGAACAGATGGTATAGCTTCCATGTATTTATACTGCAAAGCTTCATAACCCCCAATTTTATCAAAACCTTAAAATAAGCACCCATGAAATATTAAGCAATGTGAATAATAAAACTCTGTATAAGACAGTCGGACCATAAATCTTCATAAAAACAATTATTATATCAGTGTACATTATTTGTTAATTTCTTAGAAAATTGGTAAAATTGGTTGATCAACAACATTATCAGTCGGGTGTGGGGGTAGGGGGCAAATCGGTATTGATGTAGTCAATCTCTTTGATCAAAAATCATATTAGACAGCCATAATAACTCTAAAACTACTTTTGTGAAAATTGTTCAAAAACACAACTCTGTAAAGGGGGTCCAAGTGTGGACATTTATGTTTTGTCTACGACGGGGGCCACGCCTAACTGCACTCAGCTGTATATTCACCTGGACCTTGCACTAGATTGCACAACAAATTATATACAACAAATTATATTGTGACATTTCGTCGTCGGTATAAACTCGTTCTACCATCGCTTTGTTGCAACAGGAACCTCGACGCGTCGCTGAACCAAATTGTTCTCCAGCATTGTTGTGACCATACCCTGTGTTTCTGAACCCACTGAAGTCGGGTTAGACGCTGTCGCGGTATTTCAAAACAGCAGCTCTAACTGCTCGTAATCCGGTTTCACGTGGGCGTTTGCGGACTGTCTAGTCTGAGATCCTACGCCGTCCACGAATTGCTGCTGCAGTAGAGGTCGCTGTTGTGAACCGTTTCCGCAAATTACGTAACCGGATGTGATGATCCAGGGCAGGTGGGGTCACTCTGGTTTGGCCTGAGTTTGGGCGGACACGTGTTGAACTTCGCCGTCGGTACCTATCCCAAAAGCGAGAAATTTCAGAAATTGTACCCTGGGAAACATTCAGCAGCGTGGCTACATCTGGCTGGTATTCACCCGCTTGTAACCGACCGATAGCGTTGTTGCGTCGGTCGTCGTTCAGCTGTGACTTCACTTGACTCGTTGAGTGTTTACAGGTGCAACTGATTTTGAAACTGAGAACCCCGGGATTTTAAAGGCGTTAGTTTTCATTTTCATGCGAAACGCTTGCGAAGTTGTTAAACTCGTGTCTTTGTACAACCAAGCGAAAACAAATTTCGGCAAAAAGTATGACCAGTCAAAATTAATGACCCTACATTTAAACCAATTCTAAATTTCTTTTATCCTTACATAATGACATTAAAAACAAGTAATATTTATGGAAACAACGACCCCGTTTAAATAAAAAAAATGATGAAAAATGGACTATGCGTTTCTGTTTTTGAAGAAAGGGCCTAACATTAACAGTGTCCCGTGTACTTATTGGAGTGCACGTAAAGTAAGCCTTGACAGTTTGCTTTTGATATAAGATTAGGCCGTAGCGCCGTTGGCCAGGTAAAATGTAGAATATTGAACCCCATTTCATTTATAATCCATGGTGTTCAGATGTTTCCCATCACGAGACAACGAGCAGTGTTTTGCCAAGGGCCTGGGTTTGCCGCTGATTACATCTACTTACTTATAGCACATAATATTAAAGCTCCTATCGTCATGACGACAGTTTGAAATGTATCTGTGTAGATGACAGCTGCCAATCCCCCTAAAAAAATCAGAAAACAACCGTCAGGGCATGTAAATTAGTGAGTATTCCTGAAAATCGGAACTGTTTGTCACCAGAGGAAAAAAACATCAGATTTCTCCAGACAGTTGCATCTCGCGCTTGAAGAACATTAAACATATAACTGTTATCTAAGTGGATTTAATAATTTGATGGGAAATGCAATCGGTGTGCCATTTCCATCCTATATTCATAACCGTCTAAACATTTCATAATCGTCCCGTAGTAGATATATAACATACTTACCTAATACTGTATATAAACCAGTAATTAGTAATAAACCAGTAACAGATATATACATATTCCATGCTAGAGCTAGTTTTATAAATAATCCACCAGCATATATACTAACCTGTAGATATAAAATTTTAACAGGTATATTTTATTGGCTTAGCAATGCATCAAAAGACAATTTAAAGCAAATATCCATGCTGACTGTGCAGGTTCAAGTGATCCATATGCAATACTGTCCTAACGTAAGGAAATAATTTCGTTCTCTTTAGAAAGAACTTGTCGATTTTCATATATTTCTCTGTGGGACTGAGATAATGCATATACTGCGTATTTTATGACTCTGAACCATTTCCGGTTCCCACTGTAAAACCAAGGAGAAAAGCAGTATCTACATATACTCACTAATTGTTTCTGTGATGTACGGACAGTTTACAAACTGCATATTTAAGCATAAATATTATTGTTATAGACATTTCCACGTTCAGTTGTGTCCTAACAGTTGGCATAATTACTCTTTTTCCCGGGAATTTACATTTACTGTCAACGCCTCGTCTTAGGTTATCATACATGTACCAAGGAGAACGACAGTATCGACTCTTACTGCGTTTCTCCTTAGTTATACCAGAGCAATTTACATTTACTGCCGAAACCTCGCTCAGGGTTGACATAGGTGTATCAATGAGAATAGCAGTATCTACACTTACTGCGTTTCTCCTTAGTTATACCAGGGCAATTTACATTTACTGCCCAAATCGACACTGTATACCTCTTTACCTAATTTAGATACAGGAATAAAGATATACTGATAAAGCAGATACTGCTGATCACAACGATACCAACGTATTTGGCCAAAATTGTAGGTACTGCCTTCTTCCTTTTTCTTTGCAGAATACATAATGGTTGTGTTTTAAAATGTCGATGCAAGAACTGAACCCTTAGTGGCACCGTACTGAAAAAGCTGTCATTTAGGTCGATTTATATGAACACGATATGATTGATATGAGGGTTTATGTTTTTCGGATTTATTTCTTTTTAAAAAATATATCATACTTGTAAAAATACGAACCGCTAACTTAGTTACTATATAGAGTACTAGAGATAAACAACTTAAATATACTCTAATCCTCTTCCCACCAAATCTCTTCTCCATATATTCTGGCATTGTGTAAACCTGTAAATCATAAACCTCTCTAATTTTTATTTCTGCTCGTTAAATTGTCCTCCGTGTCAACAAAACAGTAATAAGGATTTCTTTATAAATTTGGTTAGAGGTAGGGGAAGATTTGGGATACTTAAAACACGACTTGACGCAGGACTAAAACCATAAACAAGCCTACAGAGGACAGTACAGGAAGTAGACTGTATTTTCAAAATGTTCAGTCTTGGGTAAACGTTTAGGAGATTTCGTTGTAAATATCGATGTTGTCAGTCAATAATGACGATTTGTATGGATCAATGTTAATAGAGAACTATCATAAAACTATTTAGTAGCCACGGTGACTCAGTGTGTAGGGCGCTGAATCACTAACTAGTCTGCCGGGGTTCCATCCCGGTATTGGTCGAGTGTGTGAAATAAATTTATTTAACGTCCGCTTCCACCGAGTTGATATCGCAAACAAGCATTGGCCGAGAGCCAACCGAGCTTATGATGAAGACAGACGGACGCTATCTCGCCTACTCTTCGTTGAATTCCAACTGTCAAGGATTCTTTTAGGTGCATGCCGGCTAGTAGTAGTACATGGTATCTCTTTTATTTTCGTACCATCCAGACGACTAGACATTATTCCTTTCCAGGCCCATGTATTGCACCGCTGACAAGGGAAAACTACACTGGAATATCTCTGGGAACTTGTAGAAAAGCATATGACGTTAAACCTCGTTCATTGTATAATAGTGTGACTTCATGTTGGCACTCAGACCACAGAATAGCTACTATAAACTTACCCCAGCTGATATATAAACAGGTAAAAATATCCATCCTAAACAAATTACTAGTGGCATTGACTGAAATATACAAATCGTACAATCAAAGTTGACCTTGCATTATTAGGTAAATATTATTATGTTCGTCATGTTATGGTAATCATTACACGATAGTGGTGACCAGTAACCAATGTGGAGTTATGTAATCGTGGCAAAAGAGGAGTGGTGAACTCAATAGAGCTTTCATTTTGTGCTATGTTTGGCGTGAAATAACCGAACCACTTGACCATACTTACAATCCATTCATACATGACCATAGCTATACCAGATGCTGCACCAGTACCAGCCAGTCCTACAAAATGTTCACTGCCAATATTACTGGAGAATAGCGATGCTCCAACCTGCAAAATCATATTTGCGTTCTCTTTAATTTGATTTTGGTGTAAATCTTTCTTTATTAAAGATACATTATGGGATATTCGATAACGAGTTGGCAGTTCTCACTATAATAGTTAAAAACTAGATACTGTAATGTAAAGGCAATTTGCTGAAAATTTCATTCAAATTGATCCACTTTGAACCGAGAACTAAGCGTTTGAAATTTCTGCCTAGCCTCTATCATCATTACTAAAGTCAGTACGTTAAACAGCATAGTCTCGATTATACATTTAATCGTTAAATCGTGAAGGAAATTTATGTAGTAAATCGACTCACAATCCACATAAGATCACAGGCCATGGTCTGGATAGGTTAATTAATGTCTAATTAAGAATTTAGATAACATTTCAGACCTAAAGAAAGACATGCAATAGACAGATTTAGTTCTTGCATAATGTATGTTTAAGCCAATGTTGGGATAGTATAAACCAAAGGTTTAAAATAATGCACATAATTATTTTAGACACAAATCATAGATTGTAAAGATACATAGATGTACAATATATCTCTTATCTGAACCACAAATAAACCATATAATACGCAGCAAGTAAATGGATTTATATACATAAGGGTATAAGTAAACATGTAATCAGTGTATTCTAACCAAATACATTATGTATACTTAAATCGAGAGAGTTTAACGCCCAAACTAGGTCATTTCAATAATTCGCTTGTGTGTAGGTTTTTTTAGCAGTGGGAGAAAACCCACGAGGTTGGGCATGCGACCCTACTTCTTGTCACGTACAACCGGTGAATCGAATGACAGACCTTATGATACCGTGCGCACGTACTAACCATTCGGCCACCCAACCCTCCTACTTGCATCGAGATGTGCTTTCTATCGGTAATATAATTTGCATGACTCAATTAAGTAATCATATGATTGGTAATAAAATGTTTGACATGTTTCAAGCGTAATGGCAGCTAGTCGTAACAGACTATATATTTCATCTCCCTCGACTCCAGCATCTTTTAAGTAACAAAAGGCTTCGATTTTCATATTTTATTAAATAATTTATGACAAATAGTAGACATAAAAAACAATAACAATAATATAACAATACTTTAGCATAGCACTTTGGTGTGAGGATATTTGTATTTATTTATGAGATTTCTTGTGACGTTGGAGATTACCAGACTGTGCAAAACCTTTACTACAAATAGTACAGACATAAGGCTTTTCTTTGGTGTGTGTTCTTAGATGCTTAATGTAAGTTGAATTATCCGAGAAGGTTCTTCCACAATATTGGCAGCCATAGGGTCGTTCTCCGGTGTGAATACGGACGTGAGTCTTCAGGGTTGATCGCTGATTGAAACATTTCCCACAATATTCACATTCGTGTTGTCGACTATTGGGTAGTTTGACTGGCTTATGTTTTGGTTTTGGTGTAGGTACTGTAAATTCTGTTGCTTTCGGTGTTGTGGTGACTGTCGATTCAGTACTTGTTTGAGATATTGGTTCCGTACCATAAAATGTGGAGTATTGTGTGTTAGATGGAATGTAATCTATTTGGGGCGCTACCATATCAAAACCTAATACACTTTCAAAGAAGTCGTATGTCTTCACTTCGCATTTCTGCTCGGGTAAACTGAGGATGCTGGCGATATCGTAAGCTCTCGGTTCTTTCTGGGTGTCATTAGTATCATCCATGTGTCCGTTGTCGGTTTCTTCTTCCATCATACCTCGAGCAAGGGAAGCAGTGAAAATAGATGTTGGAGGCATCAGCTCTTCCGGATAGGTGAAGCAGGGGTCGGTGGCCTTGTAGTAGGCACATGATGGTGTTAATGGAGAACAGGGTGGTAGGCTCTGGTTACGGGTTGCTGATGGGCTGGTAGACATTGATCTTGTCACGTTGTTGGTGTGCCAGTAGTTATGACTTGGCTCGGGGTAGAAGTTGGTCTGTGGATCAAAGTTGAAGTATGCTACAGTAGGCATAGTAGATGGCGTGGGGACATAAAAACCTTCTTCACCTACTCGGTGATTCATCTTGGCCAAAATATTAACAACCTCTTGACTAGCCGGGGACCTGAAACGATAGAAAGGTAAATTAAACATATGGACATTCTATCTTTTGATCTGTACAATCATGGGTATCTCACTCGAAATATATTTTCTAGATTGTCATTCTTAATAATATGAAAATTGTTAAATAATATGAAAACATAACTTTGTACTTACGTTTCAGAGAGTGCCACAGTTCTATTATATGGTTGATATCTGTTATTGGATAAAACTATCTTGGCAGGACATCTATGTTTGTATTTATTGGTCTCCATCGGGTGACTTGAGGATCCTGAAATAATAGTAAACCATACTTAAAAAATAATATAAATAATGTATAATACACTAAGCATAAACCTTCAGGTACATCAGGCAAGATAATTTGTCCAAAATAAGGCAACAATATTTAATGCTGTATGAGGACTCGGCAATTAACTTGGATCTACAGGTATTTAGTAACCGGTGCCCTTAAGATTCTGATAAACAATATTACTTACCAATGGTCGATGTTTTAGTTTCCATCTTGACAGGGTTGACTTAATTTGGATAATCTTAGTAGTTGTAGTTGGCAGGAATAGAGAGTGAATCTCGAATGAGGTTAATATGTCAATTTCGAAATATTTATACCCGCTAAATTCTGATTACAATAATCATGATTAAAAATCAATCGTGTAAATAATTAACAAATCATTATATTATTGGTTCATCAGTGTAACAGATATCAACGACCACTGATTGGCTGACAGGTAGCTTGGAATTATGATTACTAAGGGACATGTTGAGTAAATTCTGACTGATTGTTAATTGATTTGTGATTACTAATATTTTTTTATTGTAGTTTTAACAATAACGGTCATGGCTTGTTAGACAACTTTTGTTTTCATCATGGCTTTGTAATTGTTAATTTCTTGCATATAACTTTCCTTTTGAATTTTTTAGTATTCAAATTAAATGACTTAAGAAGTTTATGTCGATTCTTTGTTCAATTTGAAATGCCAATGCTGCATTAATATTCAAGTTTCTTTAATAATTATCATTTTTTTTTAACATTGATGGAATTTATTAGTATTCAAATTAATTTACGTAAGAAGTTTATGTCGGTTCTTTGTTAACTTTGAAATGCCAATGCTGCATTAATATTCAAGTTTCTTTAATAATTATCATTTTTTTTTAACATTGATGGAATTTATTAGTATTCAAATTAATTTACGTAAGAAGTTTATGTCGGTTCTTTGTTAACTTTGAAATGCCAATGCTGCATTAATATTCAAGTTTCTTTATTAAATATCTTTTTTTTAACATTGATGGAATTTATTAGTATTCAAATTAATTTACGTAAGAAGTTTATGTCGGTTCTTTGTTAACTTTGAAATGCCAATGCTGCATTAATATTCAAGTTTCTTTATTAAATATCTTTTTTTTAACATTGATGGAATTTATTAGTATTCAAATTAAATTACGTAAGAAGTTTATGTCGGTTCTTTGTTAACTTTGAAATGCCAATGCTGCATTAATATTCAAGTTTCTTTATTAAATATCATTTTTTTTATTTTTAACATTGACATTTAACTGGTTGGAAATGTTAGCTTTTAGGGGAGGAAATAGTTTTTAATGATTAAGTTGTCTTGTTGCTCAGTCTGTGTATTGAACAAGGTCCGCGGCAGGCGGGGACGCGATGTTTCTACTTTTCATTCGAAGCTAACTTCCCGGGTTGGTTTTTTTTCATCGATGCAAAGATGTAATTATTTCCGTTGATTGTATTCCTTATCCAGACAAATTCTAAATCGCGTAATCATCGAGAATTCTTGAATAAAACAAATTCTTTAAACATAACCAAATATCTTTTTAAAATTATTTCCGATAAATATTATTAATCTATATTATAAAGAAGTTTAAGGACCTTTAATATGGATATATAATATCATAGTTTCAGGAACTGTGTGGCAACAATGATTATGAATATTTTATATTATATCCATGATGATAATTATTCAAATAAATCGCAACATGAATGAAATGTAGAAACTTCATTGGGCATTCAGCTTTGTATAGTTATTCAACTGATTTAAATTTCTTTATTGTTTGATTGGTGGTCACGTCTGATTTGAAATTGATAACTTGAGTGAAAAGTCACAACTTGTTAATTGATTTGTGATTACTAATCAGACGTTGAAACCATTAAACAGATGATGTTAGTTTATTGTTTATATAAAATGATTCCATTATTAGTTTTAACAAAGGAATTTTGAATTGTTTGACATGTGATTTTAGTTTGTTTTTGTGTTTCACTGAAAAGAAATCTTTGAACGTGTCTTCATTACAATAATACTTAAATTGTTTATACAAAAGAAATCTTTGAACGTGTCTTCATTACAATAATACTTAAATTGTTTATACAAAAGAAATCTTTGAACATGTCTTCATTATTATTTTAGTAATGATATTGACATACTGAATAATTAGTGAACTGCCTCTCATTTGGTTTCATATTAATAGTAAACTAATTTTTTTTTTTTTTATAAAAAGCCAAAAATAAAATACTATTGTATTGTAAGTTATTTTTTTATTCACATTAATTTTAAGACACTTTAAATAGTACTTATAGCAATAATTGATTAAATAAAACAATGTCATTGACTTGATTCAATTTTATTACATCAGGCAGTACTCTATTAGTTTTGTTGTACTAAGTCAAAATTCAATTTTCAATGAACGTACTTGCACAGAAACATTTCCTATACCACAATTGTTAAAAATTTATAAAGCTTATAAAACGTTTAAAAACAATCAAACTACGTACCGGGAACCATTTCATGTCTCTACCAGCAAGAAAATAACTTTTAACACTTCCACGATTTGGTCTACATAGTGACTGGAATAAAAAATAGTAACCTGCATACATATTATTTTGTATTAAAAATAAACAACTAGAATCTTTTTACAAACACGTTCATAAAAATAATTTAAACAATATTTATTTCCTTCACTTACATATTGAATTCTGTTCCCAATGCTGTATTATCACATTCGTTTTTTCATTAAGTCCATTCAGTGCAATAATATATCTATTCATTCAGTGTTTTAATCTGTCTATTCATTCAGAGCAATAATTTATCTGTTCATCCTGTCTTAACCTTTCTATCCATTCCGTGCTTTAATCTATTTATTAACCGAATGCAATAATCTATCTATTCATTCACCGAATGCAATAATCTATCTATTCATTCACCCAATGCAACAATTTATCTATTCATTCACCCAATGCAATAACCTATCTATCCATTCACCCAATGCAATAATCTATCTATTCATTCACCCAATGCAATAATCTATCTATTCATTCACCCAATGCAATAACCTATCCATTCTCATTTACCCAATGCAATAACCTATCCATTCTCATTCACCCAATGCAATAACCTATCCATTCATTCAATGCTTTAATCTACATGTATCTATTCATTCCGTGCAATATATGTCTATTCAATCAGTTTAGTTGTTAAATCTATCTATCTATTCAGTACAATAATATATCTATTCAGTACAATAATATATCTATTCGTCCAGTGCGATAATCTATCTATTCATTCAGTTGTTTAATCTATCTATTCATCCAGTGCAATAATCTATCTATTTGTCCATTGCAATTATCTATATAATTATCTACATGTATCCATCCATCCAGTGCAATAATCTATCTAATTATTCAGTTCAATAGTCTATGTATTCATTCAGTGCGTTAATTTATTTATTCATTCAGTGCAACAATCAATCCATTCAGTGCAATAATCTGTCCATTCATTTAGTGCAATAATCTGTCTATTCATTTAGTGCAATAACCTATCTATTCATTCGGTGCTTTAATTTATTTATTTATTCACCCAATGCAATAATCTATTTATATTCGCCCAGGGTATTGGGTTTTTTTTATTTTTTAGGGAAATGAAACGAAATGTGGTTTTATAGCACGTCAGCTCCAACCGGGGTTTATTGCGTGAAACATACGATGACGTATACGAGACATATTAAATAATATCACATTAATATATTAATATAGATCAATAAAAAAATGTATCACAGTCGATATAATTAAAATTAAATAACAAAATTTAATGTACATTAATAAATCATGAAAAACGAAAAAATATACAAATTAAAATTTTCCATAAAGATTTGTCTCTTTTAAAAAATTTACCGTTTTACAATATAGCTCCAGATGAGCAAATAATATCTTTGAGGTGCTTGCACTCAATCAAAATGTGTTTAACTGTCAAAGGAACATGACAGTGTTCACATTCTGGCTGAGGCTCTCGCTTCAAGATGAAAATGTGTGTTAAAAAAGAATGACCTATGCGAGAGCGACACAAAACAACTCCATTCCTCCTGTTAGTTCGATAGGAGCTTGGCCAATCTCCTTAGAAAGGCTTAATGTGATGAAGTTTGTTTGTGACTGCAATTTTAAGAAAATTTGATACCAAATTATTTCTTGATATAGTATTTCATAGTTTGCCGTCTCTATGCTGGGGTTTGGCACTCGGGATATACTATAGAGGCACCATTTAAAATTAGCTTTTAAAAATATTTATTTCTCGCACCCGTAGGAAGAGAGGGGGGGGGGGCTCACGGGACCATACTCAGCGACCGGAGCCAAAGTCCGTCCCTGGGGTTTTATACTGGGGTTCAGTCTGGCTATCCATTTGTTCAGTGTATTCATTTGATCAGTTAGTATACTCATTTGTTCAGTTAGTATACTCATTTGTTCAGTTAGTATACTCATTTATACTCATTTGTTCAGTTATTATACTCATTTGTTTAGTTAGTATACTCATTTGTTCATTGAACATACTCATTTGTTCAGTCAGCATACTCATTTGTTCATTGAACATACTCATTTGTTCAGTTAATATATTAATTTCTTCGGATAATATATTCATTTGTTCAGTCAGTATACTCAGTATACTCATTTGTTCAACATACGCATTAATTCAGCTCAATTAAGTTGCTGTGTATTTCATACAACCCACCATTCACAAAGTACAATCAACCATTATATTCACCCAGTGCCACTAATTAATTATTTGGTACAATTAATTATTCATTAATTAAATTTGATTATTCATTCAGTGCTGTAATCCACTATACACTCACTACACAAATTCATTATACATCCAGTACAGTGATCCATTATTCGCCAAATACATTAATTCACCAGTCAATTAAATGTTTTCATCGTGTTCATACATGCATTTCATCATTCCAACTGACTAATAATTTATCTAGCATAGTTATTTGTGTATTTGAATATTTTTAATGTAGAAAGAGTTTTTCAAACACACTTTTGAATCAAGTTAATCTGATACATAGCAAATGTTTATCTCCCTGCCAAATCTTGACATGAGAATAAATATAAACAAAAGCAAACATTTAGAGCTAACAGGGTCAGCGAGTTTATGGTCCGCTTCCACCTAGGGTGATATCGTAGAAAAGGTCAGTTAAAATAAATCTTGTTATTTTGAAGAAAGCAAAATTATTATCCAGAATTGTACCCTATTTTACAGTACATCAGAGATTTTTCTCTGCTAAAAAAAGGTTTTTTTTATCACAAAGGGGTAACAACTCGTTTTGTGCAAATGATGAATTTTGAAAAAGTACATCTTGAAAAAAGAGAATGCGCATCATAAATGTATGAGCAGCGTGGAACTGAGATACTAATTTGACAGCACAGATATTGGGTATGTCATGCGAATGGGGTGGGGGAGGGGGTTACCCCTATAGGCGATAGTGTCCCTTTAATTGCATTTTTTTTAAAAAAGTATGTTGACTTAAGTCTTACGGGAAAAGAAACATTCTTAAATATGTGGAGGACTATAATCTTCAACATTGATTAGTAGTTTTCTCTACGGAAAAACGTAATACGAAACTTTGGCTATATAAGTCGTAGAGAGATAACCAGGAGAATGATACAGTATAAAATAAGTGTGACAGCGACAGAATCCATGGGGAATTACTTGAAACTCCCTTAACCTTCAGTTGTTCCGGAAAATCTGACAAACAAGGACATTAATTCTGGACCATCTGTTAAAAAACCTGCCAGAACAGTCTAGTTAAAATAATACTATAATTTCTTTTTCGTGTTTATCTCTTTTATATACTCATCAAAAAAAGTAGGGGATATTGAAATGCAAATGCATATGCAGGTTGTGATATGATAAATAGTCATGGACACTTGACATGCTTTGAGAGTATGTTCACAGATGAAGAAAACTTATCGCCCCAACAGAACCACTGAGCTGCACTTGCGACACGCAATAACACCATACACGTTTGAGGGGTTCATTCTCAAATTTGACACATCAAGGAAGGGTTGATGGAAACTGTCGCGTGCTGGTTAATCCTATCCATGTTTGCTTTCCTATCGGTTCTTGCATAAGATTTACTGTTTAGCGTATCTTTGCTTTAGTGTGTTACGTTTAATTTGCAATGAGACATCATCAACATGATGAACGTCCACGTGCTATTGGCATGCTTCAAATGGGTTCTACACAGCGAGCAGTAGCCAATATGCTTGATGTGTCACAGTCTTTGACCAGCAGACTGTGGAACCGGTACCAACAAACACACAATGTTGATGATAGACCTCGTTCAGGTCGTCCTAGAGCCACTACACAAGCCCAGGGTCGATACATTCGTACACAGGTCCTGCGAAATCGAGGACAAACGGCCAATCAGCTTTCTGTAAACTTGTACAAAGTTACAGGAATTCGAGTTACACCCCAAACGGTTAGAAATCGTCTACATGCAGCCCATTTGCATACGCGACGACCGCGTGTTGTGCCTCCATTAACTCGCAAGCACATGGCAAACAGGCGTCAATGGTGTAGGCAGCGTAAAAATTGGGGTAATCGTCATGTTCTCAGATGAGTCCAGATTTTCTCTGGATTTCACCGATAGGCGTGCTCGCGTTTGGAGGCGTGTAAATGAGCGTCATGCTAACGTCAGACAACATGACAGATTCGGGCGTGGGTCTGTTATTGTGCGGCGAGGAATCACCATGACTGACAGAACAGACTTGCATATTGTTCAAGGAAGGTTCACTGGTGCGAACTACCGTGACCACATCCTGGCACCGATAGTTCTGCCCTTTGCTCAACGTGCAGGTCGACGTTTCATCTTTCACGAAGATAATGCCCGTGCCCACCGCGCTCGTGTCGTGAATGATTACCTCCAGCGTCACCATATTTTCCATATGCCTCAACCAGCCATGAGTCCTGACATTTCCCCTATAGAGCATGTTTGGGACATGATCGGGAGACGCGTTCCTCGACGTCAACGTCAACCCACAACACCGCAAGAATTGGCCGTGGCACTGCAAGAGGAGTGAGTCAGATTGCCCCAAATCGTGATTGGACGCTTGATTAGCAGCATGCCATGACGAACTGCTGAATTCTGAGGATTGGTGGAGCAATTACTCATTATTAAGACAAAAATCAAAAACGTCCATTTTCACTTTTGACGTGTATCTCTTTGCGAGTGAAATGGGGCCGTCAGGTAAGCCGCCCACATGAACTGTTTATGTTCATGTGTGGGCAATTGGCCTGTTATTAACATACACTGGTTACCTGTAATAAAAACAGCAGTGCATTTCCGCAGTTTTGTATTGTTTCTGAATATCCCCTACTTTTTTTTTTTGAAGAGTATATTTAGACTTTATGTAAACTGTAATAACATATTTAAGTAATTTTATGATCGCAACTGACCAAAGTGGATGAGGCCAGTTAAAGTCAAAGTGGCCAAAGTCAGATATTATAGAAAACAGATAACCGGTAAAGCGGTAGTCAGATCTTATGTAGATCTAAAATTTAATTATTAGTTTTTCATCAAAATGTCACCATAAAGAGTCAGACACTACGAACTAAGATCTAGTTTACACCTCGCTCATCAATAAACTAACTGCTATGTGTGTTTGTTACTACAGTTTAGAGAAATAAAAATTACTTACCCATAAACCCACTGCCAGAACCAAAACAAAATATATGGCAACAACTGTGATGTCAGCCCAATGGTCTAATCCTGGCGTGTCCATCTTGATTCAAGGCTCTGATACTGATGAATACACTTTAATCAAACTGAACACCAAAATAAATTCCAGAAATTCACTCACAGCTTAAAACTAAATTGTTCCATTAAAGAAAAAAGGAAATTTAAAAACAGGATTATCTAGTGTAAGAGGATTATGTTAGAACAGTAATGTGAAGTTCGCTATTTATCGTCACCCTGATAAGCAGATGTCTTCGTGTTCTAGAAATAGTAGGTCTGTGACACTGATTTATATCATTTTAACCGACGACCGATGGTAGTCTAGGAAGAAAGATAGCAAAAAGTTTGTAAAGTATTATCACTCGCACTATTCACCTAGAAAATAAATGATTGATTTTGATTTATTCCACATTAAGACTACCTTAATGACCCATTTTAACAAATCTGTGGTAAACGCAATGAAAACGATCAAAGATCCTTAATTCGCATATCTGAGTGATGGCTGGGCACATTTATCTCAATTTTCTATTATGTCTGATTTGCACATGTCCCATGTAGTTTCACAGAGGTCATGGTCTAATCAGGCCAACTCGAAACCAAATGTCTCTTTTAAACTGTATTTCTACTTTCATATACATGCATAAAACATTTGTATATATATTTATACATGCCCTTGGACGTTAGAATTTCATTAATTTTGAACCTTATTTAAGTCATATTTTAGAAATGTCTTCTTAACCAAACATTTCAGACAAGAGAATGTGAATGGCTATTTTATATTCATTTAAATTACTTAAACCATATACAAATATCACGCAACTCGCTAATACGTTAAATATACCAATATGTTCAATATTCAGGTTTATTTTGTAAAAATATTAACCCAAGACTAACTTTTATAACAGTCTTGGTGACTAAGTTGTTTGCTGTAATAATTCTTGGGCAAAGAAGAACCTTTGAGTGTCCAATTGGACTTCCGGTACACACGTTGACTTGTAAACAATGATATTTTGCACCGACTTTCTTTAAATTCTTTGGAAACCACTAAAAGAAATTGCACAAGTCATTGTAGATTTGTCTTAAATTTCGAATACAATTTGCACGTACGATACAACACTATAGTCAAATTGAAACTTATTTGCAAATACCTATAGAGCCCCAAATCCTGTTTAATAGCAAGGCTATCAGTTTTTAACCGATTCTTTTTCAAATTTGGTGTGAAGGATTGGGGGCATCTCTTCGCGACCCTAGATTCTGATGACAACTTCCCTTTGCTGTATACCTTGTTAGCGCTATAGAGGCTATGGAGGCTATAATAAGCATTGGGGTAAAGAGAGGACGAAATCTATCGTTCTGCAGCCTTCTGTGAAAATGTTATGGCATGACTAATTTTTAAAGCTTCCCGTAACACAGTTAAATTATGAATCTGGAAATTAGTCCTTGAAAACTACTAAAATAAATTGCATGAAATGTACGATTTTAAATGGCTAATGGGACGAAATTTAATTAGCTATATCCATCAATGGATAGTCTTTATGGCTGACGTAAGCATCAATATGTCAATGACAGTAACATAATCTCTAAACAATTAAGTTATATATATGTAAGTTGCCATTACGTAAGGGATGTGGCCCAGAATAAAAACCAACCCTCGTTATTTGTCACCAAAGATTTGCTATAAAATCGTTAATATTAGACTATTTCTGTCTGAAGCAAATTTTCTCGACATTAGTTTGATAATTGAATCTATTAGTGATGGACTGGAATAGCTTTGAAAATGACCCAGTTGTTTTAAAGGAAGACCAAAGACATATATAAAACAAAAGGTTTTATAATTACATGCTGATTCATTATATGTGAGTGTACCTTAATATTTTCTAGTTATACATTGCATGGAATTTCCCACTTGAATATCCTTGGTTCGAATCGCGAGGTGGGATAACAAGAATTATTGTGAGTTTCGCTCCTTGTTCCATTTTTAAGCGCCAGAGCATGTCTTTTCTCCCCTGACTGTTCGAAGGTTACACTACGCGTATTCACTCTTTTCTTGAGTCGGTTCTTTTATTATTAGTTTTTCATTTTGACTGAAATCTATGACAATACAGGCCCGGGAGCCATTCACTTTATCTGATGTGCGTTTGTTGTTTGTGATGTCTGTATATTGTACCCTGTCCGTGGGTTTGTCTTGAGTAATTGTTTGTGTGTGGTGCGCCCCCCCCCCCCTGCACTTACTAATATTTCATAAACATGCTAGAATATAAAAAAAACTTACCTGTTCAAGCTTCCCTTCCTGTTTGTGTAGATGATCCGAATATAACTCAATGATATTTTTAAAAAATAACAACTATTTAGCATGGTGTCCTAATTTCTTTAGGCATATAAACGATTGACAAACTACCCTACACACACGTTATAATTTACTATAGCAATTCGACCCTAGCACCCTATCTTAAACACTTAAAAGACATTGAAATAATGATAATAATACGTGTGAACAATGATAAAGACACGGGACTTATCTAAGATTGCTTCGTGTCTTATCAGTTCGTATTAACACCCTTGATGTATCCATTTACAAGATGGTGCTTTTATTTACATAGTTGACATTGTCAATATTATGGCGGTGGCGTGCCGGCGGAAGGGCATGGGGTGTGTGTGGTTGGGCACCGGCATCCATTTCAGGGACGGTAGAGGGGATCATCCGATCGAAGAGGGAAATTTAAAATTGTCTGGTAGGAGATCTTATTTATGGAAACCAAACCGCCAAACTAAATTATTGTGGCTTATTTATACCTAATTTGAATACAAAGTTTACATCATTTGTTTTCCATAATAATTTACACCGCCCACTTTTCTCATATTTCTCAGTCCTATACTTGAATCTTGGGTGCATAAAACTAAGTAGTAGTCACCAAGCCTCTGCACTCCCCTGATATAGAGATTTAACTAGGCCAAAATGCCACCACCGCTTGCTCATGGAAATAAATTAATAAATATGCTGAAATATTGATATCGCAAAGCATATGGTTTATAATTTAAGCAATATGAATAAAAAATCTAAATAATGGCGTCTACTCGACACTACACTAGGCGGGACTAAAATATAGTGTATACCTTTGAATTGATTCAATCTTTCGCTTGTGGGCAGAAGTCTGTAGAGGTGGGAGGAACCGGGGAGTACTAAGATATGGAGCTCTACAGTACACCACAATGATCAATATCATGTCTTGCATATTATCCCATATACCATATCAACAAACTTTATGTCATTTGTTGCTGACTGAATGTATGCTGAGAAAGGTATCCCTAAATTAAGATGTTTAATCCGATTCATTAGAAAATTAAAAGGTCTGACTGTCTCTCTTCCAATTATTTCCGGTGTAGGAGGGGTGGGGGGGGGGGGTACTAGATGTGCGGGTTCTCAACAGAAGGACCCGGAGGTATGCCGAGTAATGTTTTTCAAAACAGTTGTTGGTGTAAATTAATAATAGCAAAAATACACTTTTACTTGATGTAAAGTACATGTAGAAGAAAATCGGTGACTTTTCTGAATGTTGGTACCTAGGGGCGTGGGTAGGATTAGAATCTGTCAGTCCACTTTTTTTTTTGGAAAAAATGGTGAATTAAAAAACTATAAGCCACATGACCGGGTCTTCGCGCTGTGGGGCCCGACTCTTCCCCGTTCCACTTGAGGCTCCCATTGTCGTCAGTGTTTCCGGGTCCCCTTCCATTTGAATCTAATTCAATATGATTTGGGTATTGAAAAACAATAAACGAATAGTTTATGTGATGAAAACATTTTCATTTTGATATTTTGGCGTCTAATGGTCACGGCATTTGTTTTTCCATTTGATTGCTTGCTTAAAATATCCTTTCCAAAATCGTGCACATATTCTGATTATCGTTATGATCAGTAAACCATGCATTTGGTATGTTTCTGTGTTTTAACAAAGTGACCCCCAGTTACCCCAGATACACGCTAAAATGACGCTATAGAGACATGTATCTTTCAAAAATTTTCGAGCTCAGACTGAGACCCCCCCCCCCCCCACACACTCCCCTCGCACGATCCACCCGAGTTTTGTCGCGGGCCCTGACTCTTGTATTTATAATGACAGGCAGGTAGTTAGGAACATTTTACAAAAATGTGAAAGCATAGTTTTATTTTAGAATGTATACATCGTATATAAAGTATAAATATAAAACAGTACATTGTAAATTAAATCTATACAAATAAAATGTGTATGTTATCCCATCACGCTTCGTCGCCACAATCCACCTCCACATAATATCAAATTAACCAGCATGGCCCTGTGAATGTTTTAGGCGAATTGGACCTGGGCTACGGGCGAATAACGATTCGTCGCCGAGCTCCATCCCCAGTGGTATCAAACTGACCAGCATAACTCCGTGAATGTTTTAGGCTACCAAATTTGGGCCCTGGGCGAATCTGGACTCCGGGTGAATTCCAACTTACTAAAAACCAGGCATGTGAACTCTCCAGAGATTCAATTCAGAGATTCAATTGTTCGTGCTTAATCAAAACCAATACATGTAATTGGCTGATTTATATACTACATGATGACCGCCAAAGTTCTAATTCCCCTGTAATGGATCTGACAACATAACTAGCCCTATATAATTGAGTGTTGGATCTCTAGAAATAATCTGACGACTTGTTACTCTGGTGTATATCTCATCACCAACATCTAACTCAAATACACCAGAGATATAACTTGAGTGGAAATCAATGTTACTTCTACGTTGTGTTGATATCTGTGTCAAGGTGTGGACACTTTGTAATAATTTCTCCTCCCCATCATTAGGTAGATTATCATTATACCTGTCTACAATATGACTGATGATTTTTAATCCATCAGGCCAGTTAACATCTTCAATCAGTTTAAAATAAATCTGACTGTAGACCAAATAGATACCTTTAGTTTGAACAATTAGACGATCGTGATGTAATTTAACACCTGATAATAAAGATAATGATCTGGTAGGTAATAAATTGTGGACAGGTGGAAGGTTTTCAACATCTAAAAAAAAACAAAAACAAAGACATCACGAATTGTGGTTGTATACGTATATATTACTATGGGGTTATCGATTTAAGAACACGCTGTCCTGTTTAGTTTACTAGGGCTTTGGGGTACATAGGTGCCATAATTGCTATATAAAGATAGATCATTGTAATTCCTTAAGACAACTGACTTCGTGCATATGGGAGGTCCGTCTGTATTGCAAATAAGATTATCGGATCATCAGGTGATCCGGGGTGATCTGGAAATAAACTGGTTCAGTGACGTATTTAATGTCTGGTGATCGAAATTTGACCATAATCTTTGGTACCCATCATTAGTCACGAAATAATCCGTCCTCTCCCAACTAATTTTTAGAAAAATAGGCACGCGGTTTCCATATTTGTGTTTGAATCTAGGGTAAAAGCCTTTGCTGATGATCAATAAGTAAATAGTACCTCGTTGGTTCCCGTAGATCACTCTATTAATTGAATAGGGTGTCCCACCAACAAGATGGTGTTTCAGCAGCAAAGGACAATTTAACTGTAAAGTCAATTATAGTAAGGTAGAACTTGTCAAGGAAAGAGATGCTATTTCACCAAATGAGAAGATTTTCAGGAGAGAGAATGGATTGTTCTCAAAAGACAGAAGATGCCCAGTGGGGAGAGGAGAGGTGACATTGTTTATTATCGGTTGGATGATATCAAGCAGAAACGCAGACATTAAGGATCGGGGAATGTGGTTGTGACCAAGCCAACGAAGACTGTTGCATGGACACATTAGAGAATTTCCCATTAAAAGGCAGGTGGCGTAGTCCACAAGTTGAAACAAATAACCTGGTTAACAACACAGTAGAATGTCCAAATTTTAGACTGTGCTTTTCAACTTACCGTTTTTCCTTGTGTTGTTTTGATGATCAGAGAGATCTGCACCAATTAACATGTGAGCTGCTACTGGTGCCTTGTGTAACAGACTAAATGTCACGTCTTCTGTTTCTTTGTTAGGACTGCCTAAAAAATTGTTAATTGCACACATTATAGTTCGAACGTCGTGTACACGTTTCTATTTCTCAGACAGTGATGTTAAGTGAAAAGTTTAAGATGAACATAATGAACTTACTTGCTAGTAATCTGTTCAGTTGCAATTTGGCTTGAATCTGAAAAAAAAACCAACGTTACAAACATTCGAAATTTGCACTGTTTAAAATTGATTTTCCATCCTGAGAAATTCTACAAATATCCATTATAAAGCAACATCGAAAATCCAGATTTGTAATCCGTAAAATTCCAGCGAACATTTTATTTTTGAAAAATCTCAAAAACTTACATTTATAAAGTTGGATAAAAAAAAATGATACTGTGATTTGTAGATTTATAGACCATAGTTGAACCCCATTTTTAAAAAGGCGATGTAGTTTAAAACTGTTACGGGAGGGAGATAACTCGTCCAATAGTTACACCACCACTGGTAATTCCCTTCCTATTAACTGTATGGCATATATCGGCATAACATCTTATTGAACATACCGGTGTGTTTGTTTTTTATAACCCCAAAGATCCCAACATGTCACAATTATTTGATAAAAATCTTGACGGCGGTTGGCCGTCTCTATTTATTCTAACGAGGTCCAAGAAATATATATAGACCGTGACGTCATTGGGAATTTCCCCGATTACAAGCCTTTTTAATTCCCTCACGATAGTTCCGCCCACAATCATGATATTCACTCAAACCTGTTATTTTCTTCAATTCATGACCAATTAACACGCACACAGCCGACACAGGGGAGCGAGTTAATTATTTAAATAGACGAATTCCAGCAGGAGATAATTACAGCAGTAGACGACGTATATTTCCGCACACGTGTATATTGAAGAAAATGAAATGGGGTTTGTTTAACGTACTACTGTTCGGAAGCGACTTGGGTAATGAAGACGGGCATACGCCATACAGTGTGCTATGAGGGGAATATTTCCTTGGCAGTACGTCCTACTCTTATTTCAAATTCCCACGTGTACACGGAATCATGGTTTTTCGTTCCATCCGAACAGTCCTCTGTCCTGCACTACTGAAAAGGGGAAACTACGTCTGAAAATCTCGAGGAAATTTCTCGACCAGCCCCGGGAGAGAACCCTAGACATCTATGCTTTTGAGCCAGCGTCTTACTGGTTGGGCTACCGCAACTCCTTAAAGAAAATCATATAGCAGCGTATGTCTAACACTTATAATATTTGTTATTTTGCCTGGAATGGGGTAAATAAATATTCTACCTACCATTTTCATCAATAACGTATATTGTTCGGATGTTTTAGCACAGCATTTTAACTTGTTCTCTTCTCTTCTAATTTCTACATTATCTTTCTCTATTTGGTTAACAAAACTTAATTCTGAACACTCCATACAGAACTTTGGTAAATCTTGTCTCACATCATCCACTCTAACCACAGTTTTATAAAGAATCATGACACAGATTCCTATGCCAATTAATATCAACAGGAAAACTATAACACAAAAACCTGTTCGATGTTGATGAGGCTTGGCGTGTCCAGTATCTCTTGTTATAAAGGCTTCAGTAGACGTTGTGTCAATATATTTCATTCCATTAAACCTTGGTACACCCATCGTTTAAACAAACTATTACCTCTTCAAAGTCTTCTGGTAGAAATATGTACAACAACTGTTAAACACAATGTGAATGAATAATAAATGAGTTTTCTCAGAAATGAAGATTACTCATGATTCGCCGGCGGAATACGAAAGAGAAACTACTGTTTCTCCCAAAATGGAAATGGGAACTGAAATGTTCTGTTAATCTCGGAGAACGGTAGATTGGTAGTGACGAGGAATTGACTCAAAAGTCAGTGCTATGTTTTTGGTGCTCATTATTAAATACTGTTTTATTAATCAGCCGAAAGTGATTTTATTTTATGAGAAAACCGCGCTCAATGTCTTTACATTTTTAACACTCGGTCCACCGAAGGAATCCGAATGCATGAGCCGCTGATATCCCAAATAAAGTAAATGGAATGGGGATTAACGCCCTACTGTTCTGATCCGAACTGGGCTAATGAAGACCGCATACGTCATACAACGTCTGTGACGGAAATTTTGCCCGGACAGCGGCACTACGGCCTACTCTTATATCGAATTCCAACTTCAAGGGATCTTTTACGTGCACGCCAATGTGTACACGGGACCCCGGTTTTTCGTCCCATCCGAAAGACTAAACAGCTGTCCTTGTCCGCCCCCCCCCCGCCTTGTATCGCTGACAAGGGAGATAAACTTGCTCGGCCAATGCAGGGATCGAACACCCGACCTACAGGCTAGCGAGCCAGCGTCTTACCCATAGCCACCGTTTCCCATTCCCCCTCCCCCAAATAAAGTAGAGAGGGTTTACTAATATTAAAAATCGATTATCACTTACTCAGTTAATGTACTTTTCTTTCTGCTTTATCTTTTAAATTGTAGATTCTTCACCACTCTAGTATTCAATATACTAAACTGTCCTATCGTGTTCTTCGGCTATTTTGTTATCGTTGCACAACTTATATAACATATTATGTACCCTTTTAATATATTTCATGTCTATTGTGTCACTGGGAATTACCTATAATTTTATTCGTAATTTTAATATATCTATTGCCTTAGAGGTTGTCAAATAACTGCTATACAATCATATATAGGAATCATTCTAGCACTTACAAAATAGATTCACATAAAAATTGGAAATAGTTTCTACTCGCCGACGGTATAGCCTATTTATTTTGGAATTTGTATCATTTCTTGGATTTAAACAGAAAATGATCTATTTGCCAACTGACACAAGTAAATTATAGGATTTGGGGTTATTATTATGTGTATCGATGCCATCACGTATTTTAAGGCTTTATTTTAGCATATCCAAGAGTAATATGACTAAAATAATGCAATATCGCTTTAATGTGAATTCACGTCTCTTTGACCGCCTCCAACTTGTTCCCAAATTTTCGTGTGGAACATGTGGCAACCTCTTGTTGAAAAGCAGTTATGTGGTTAACCATGGAGCAGGTTCAAAATCTGATCTAAAGCAAAAGTAAAAGTAGAAAAGCAAAAGTAAAAGTAGAAAAGCAAAAGTAAAAGTAGAAAAACCCTTCTCATAAAAAGTAGCATGGATATTGGATATTATCGCAGGCTGTTGTCGAATATAACTTCGTGTTATCATAACCTTAACGCCGTAGTCTCTCTCTGCAAGACACAAAAAAACATCAATATGTTAGCACTGTGGTAGGTCTCATCACACCCTTCTCTTCCTATTGACATGCCATTTGTCGGCATGTAACATCTTTATTTAATCTTTATAACGTCAAAGAGCAAAACATATGTTACAGTTATCGAATAAAGCCTTGATGACAGTTCAATATCTCCATTTATTTCTATACGAGCTCAAAGAAACATCCAGGCCGTGACCTCATTTTCAGTGGGGATTTCCCGATCACGTTTGTTAACCACATGATCGTTCCACCTGAAAATCTCGAATATTAACTAAAGCCTGGCAAAATATGAACATATGAACAATTTTCTTAAATTCTAGATCAAAAGCATAATCAATATTGACTTGCCAAAGGTAAGTAAAGGGGAGAAGAGATAATTGCTATAAATAGACGATCTATGTGTACGTTCAAACAAATACTGGGAAAACATTACTAGCACACGACGTAATAACATTTCGTCAACTACTGAAATACATGCATATTGTTAGAATAAATAAAAATAAGTGTAACCCGGTTAGCTTTATTCTTCTGACAAAGGCACAATATTATTATAATAGCTATTTTAGGCAGCTGAGTTATCATTTACGTGGAAATCTGTACAAAAAATAGTATACAGCTTACTGTGTTTCTTTTTTTAACCACGTAATATTTATAAATAGAAATCTATATCAAACTTCGCCGATTTTTAGGGGGATTTTTTTCTTTTCTTCTGTTATTTATTTTTTCTATATGATTCCTGAATTATACAGGTTCTTTACTAACTTGACCTTTCGCGAACACAAAATTCGCTACTTTTCCTATTAACTTTCAGACGCACATGCTTCATAGATATACACTGTATATTGTTTTAAGTCAAACAGCCGGTTTAGACTTGACTCACAGGTCAGTCGGTAGTGATTTATTTGTATGCTATTGAGACATGAGGGATTACTGACAATCGGAGTTGCGGGACCCCATTATAGGGCCAATCACTGCAGTCAACTCAAGTCGACCTGACTATGTATTTTGTGCTGATGTTTTAGCATTTTAACTTGTCCTCTTCTCTAATAATATTAACATTGTCTTGCTCTATCTAGTTAATAAAACTTAACTCTAGACTGCAGGACACACAATACAGAACTTGGATAAATCTTGTCTATTATCACCCTCTCTAACAACAGTTTTATAAAATACATAATCCATAATCCAAGAAGTTGCAGTCCGCTAAGCGCGAATATCGACAATATCCAATATCTTTCTGATGTAAATCCATATTTCTAGTTTCGCCAAAATCGGATAAAAATTGTGAACCGTAGAGCGTGGACGATGTGGACGAGCGGTCAGGGGCGAGTACAATATACACGTACATCCACATGAAAATGTGGGAGTATAAAAACTGCTTGATTTTGATGGCCGTGGTTAGTCATGTCTTTCTTTTTATGAAGGCTTCGGTAGACGTTGAGTTAACATTTTTCACTAAACCTTGATGCAGCCCGCCCTCGGGGCATCATAGGAAGGGAGCGCTACAAAATTTTTTCCAGTGCCATTAATCTGCAGTTGAGCGAACCTACCAAGGATTTTTTTTAGCAATAAATCTTTCAAAAAAGATGTTTTAATTTAGGCATACATGTAAATTTTGTTTCATTTCAAAATAAAAGTTTATGTTATGGTTCAATATCGTTTCATTTTCAAATTACATTTCCATGGGGAAACCATATTTGTTTTGGTGTTTAGAGTATCTAAATTTCTTAATAATCCTGGTTTTAATTTTGAAAGTCTTCTTGTAGAAATCGGTGTAGCCTTGAACATATGTTTTATGGGGAATTATAAAGTGCGGCAGTGAGTCAGTGATGAATAAGCTTTACCAGGAAAAACCTATTATTCAGTAAATGATTGAAAGATATTTATACCCCGGAACCACCTACTTGCTCTCAAAATAAATTATTGCTTGAACGTGTAATGAATTCAATTCAGTTGTCGGTTTATTGATTTACGTGATTTAAGTGTTTTATCAAGTCTGTCATTTTGAAAAGCCCCATAGAAAACCTCTCAACGATTTAATTTCCATTCCGCGGGTAACTAGTCTGTTTACTACTTTTAGTTTCGTCTTAGACCTACATGTTGGACGACCGTCGTCTCGACAATATACTGGAACATGCTGCAGACTGCATTTATCATTTGATCTTTTTGAAATGTACATATTATATTGTGTCCATTAGTGAGATGCAGAAGCCCATTGAAGACATGCTTTCAAGATACTTTCACACGAAAGTATTTTTCAGGTAGTTGTTAGAATACATTAGTTGTGGTATATTATGGAAAGAAGAGACACTCAATCTAACAAGAAAAATATTGGATTTCATTGAGGATATTAAACGCCCAACGATTAAACTGCAGGAAAAGAAGTTGGCACAGGATAATAGGGATTTGAACAAACTTTTGATAAATTAGTTTGAATATGTTTTAGTCCAAATATATGATTAAATCACACCGTTTGTATGCTGGAAGGCATCTTTAAATACCCAATCTCATATCTCAGACCCGTAAATGCAGTTTCCTGGTACATGTAACTATAAATAATGTTTATCTGTCACACTTTGAAAGCTTGGTAATAAGTGATAGGAAATATTTATTTCTATTTTTATCTCGTTTTCGTCATTTTAGACACGAAAGCAAACCGTTATTAGTCTATTATTACGTGTTGTTCTTTCCTGGGAATAGAAACAAAACAGTCCACTAGAGGGGGCGAGAGAGAGAGAGAGAGAGACCCAAACACGTGCGCACACACGCAACTTAGGCCATTTCGGGACTTACCAATGGTCGGATTTTATTTCAATAATTCGCTTGTGCGCATGGATCTTTAACAATTGGAGGAACCAAGAGACCCTATTCCTTTTCACGTACAGCCCGAGAAACGAAAACACACCACTCGACTAATGGACAGACCGTATGATCTAAAGTGCACGCGCAAGATTATGTCTCACACTGTAGCATAGTGTCAATAGCCGATTTAGTGTGGGGTCGCTGGATAGTCTTGAATAGTTGATACCGTAGTGTCATACAACATGTTTGACAGCAGAAAGCAAAAAACATTCAACTGTTACTCAGCTTTAACTCGGGTCATTTCCTAATGCCTCTGTAGCTTACTTAAATATCATATTAATTAATTGGTCTATTTCTCACAATCTATTTATCAGACAAACTGATATGCTTCCAATATTGCCTTACTTTTACAAGGAAAAAACTCAAAATAATTTAGTTTGTCAATATGCTTCTTTATAATATTTTGCTTGATTATCAATCTATATAATTTTTTACCAGCTATGTTGAGTGTAATGTCGAAGACCTTTAAGCAAAAAATCCAGTTAAGAACACCATCACCAGAAGACCAATGACTGCATTGATATTCATAAATGTCTTCCATTTTGGTTTTTCATAAAGAAATTGTCTAATTTGTTTTCGGGATATATGCGGTGTGACATTTTCTTGTTGCTTTTTAGGTATACCGCATATAAATCTGACCCAATATTTACAATCCTTGGTTTCGTCGTCCTCTACAATAATATCTTCGCTAGATTTCAGTTTCATATCTGAAAAAGTTTAATATTACTCGTATATTTCGCATATTTTCTGCGATCGGCTAGCCGATCGTAAATGGCAATCAAACTGTAAAGTTTATCAAACAAAAAGAAATGAAATGAAATGGGTTTTTAGCGTCCTATTTTTCTGCACCGACTAGGCTAATGAAGACGGGCATACACCATGCAATGTGATATGAGGGAAATTTTTACGTGCAAGCCAACGTATGCACGGGACCTCGGTTTTTGTGTCATACGACCGACTAGACAGCTGTCCCTGTCAGGCCCTCAGTCATGCACCACTGGCCAGGGGGAACCACGCCGGAAAATTCAGAGACTTTTTGTTGGCCAACTCGGCGGCTAACCCGAAACCTCCAGACTAGCAAGCCAGTGTCTTATTCACTGAGTCATTATTTGTTCGTCAACACGGTGGCTAATCCGAGACTTCCAGACTAGCGAGTCCGCGTCTTACTCCCGAGCCATTGCGGCTTCCTCCCACAAAAAGCCAAGTTGGTGTAGTAGTAGGTGACAAGGTATGGTGTTTTCTAAAAAAAAACGTAGCAGATAAAGTAGTTTATCCAAAAATTGATTAAACATACATTATGCAAGAGCTAAATCTGCCTATTGCACGTCTTTCTGCAGGCCTGAAATGTTTTCTAAATTATTAATTAGACATTAATTAACTGATCCAGGCCATAATCAAGTCTCGATGGCATCGGATTCAACCATATTTTGATTTAATCTAAAAATGGAGGAGCTCGAACAACCAGTACGGTGGTTGCAATTATTGCACACGTCTTGTCAAACCTTCAAAGGCTAATATCTTCGCTCGCAATAGAGTAATTTGACCGAAATTTTCGAATTATTCATTTTACATTATCTATTTTAGAACTATTATTATTTTATTATAGCATGAATGACTACTTCTTTATCTAAATCTTACATAATGTATATTTAAACATACATTATGCAAGAGCTATATCTGCCTATTGCAGATCTTTCTTTAGGCCTGAAAGTTTAATGTTATATAAACTATTAATTAGACATTTATTAACATGAGAAGACCTTAATCAATCCTCGACGCCATCTTATGAGTCCGATTTTCACTGGATTTGAAACCGATCTGCTGCTCAACGCTCATTGATTAAATGCAAAAGTGGATAATCGAGACTATGTTTTTATCGTATCGACTTTAGTAATGATGGTCGGGGCTAGGCCTAAAATTCATTCGTCAATATCTCGGTTCAGAGTGGGGCAATTTGACTGAAATTTTCAGTATATTCCCTTTACATTATCTAGTTTTAACTATTATAGTGAGAACTGACGACTCTTTCTCCAATCTTCCATAACGCATCTTTAATGATTTTCATATGTCGCCACTTACTACGCCATAACAATCGCGGAGCGGGAGTATGATTTCTTGAATTAAATCGGTAAAATATGTCGACAGTTAAAAATGATTTATATGTGACTGGGTTGGCGCTCTTTATCGACAGTAACGCGTGTAATGTAGATATCGCTAGCCTGGACCCCATTTCATCGTAATACAGATAAACTTTACCAGAATCCTCATCCAGGGGACTGTTGGGATTTTCCTCCACGTGATTTGGGGAATTATCTTCGAGCTTATCTATCCTTGTCCAGTATGTTACACCACGTAACTAAAACAAACAAAATATAAAACTTCATACATTGACAATGGACAGGTACAGTGATATGAATTAAATCGAGCGTGAAAAACATGCAAGAGAATATGCTGAAAATTTCTGTCAAATTCAGACCTCAAAAGTGCACGCGTTAGACCCCCCCCCCTCCAACAAACTACTACTTCTGGTCAATTCCTTACTAATTATACCAAATTCCAGTAATCTAACCTGTTCTTCTGTAGGCGCTTTACTGATGAAATTAAATATAACTATACTTGTACACGTTATACTAACCGGGTCTTTTGTAGGAGCTTTACTAATATTAAAAACTAAATATACTAACCTGGTCTTTTGTGGGAGCTTTACTAATTAAACTAAATATAACTATACTCATACACGTTATAATTAGACTCATTGCACAATAATATGTATAATGGACATAAAGTAAGACTGAAGGACGAGATTCTTCTTCTCCACATTCTGGTGCTGGATAACTGAAATCTACTGCCATTCGTATCACTCCACAGACATGCCCAACAGCAATTCCCCAAAAAGCGCCCTGAAAAAATAATAGTTTACTAACACCATGCTTAAATAACACTCATCTTTTTATAATTTATTTACATGGAATTTCTTCTCATAACATTCTAAAATTTTAATGTTAGTCAAGTTGATAAAATGAAAGACAATCGGGGGTTTTCTAACTGCTAGTTAACTTTTTGGCAGGTAAATACTCACATTTTCATTCATTCTTTTCCAGAACACCGCCATAACAAATAACGATGTAATAGGCGTACCAAGATATCCCTGAACAGCGTTGATATAATTAAAGAGTTGTCCCCCCTGTGAAGATTTAACAAGTGGAATCCACACAATACTCACGCCACATAAGACAAGGACGCAAAATCTACAAATAAAAATGTACGGAAGCTTATATTAGAATAATGACTTTATCATAACTACCTCTGGGTTGTCATAACCTACTAATTTATAAAAAAAAATACGGGTGTATTTCTACAGAGCTACAAGATGAGAATCGATCTAAATGTAAAACGGACACATTTCTTTGGCGGCGAAAATGCCGTGGGTCCGATCTTCTACGATATACATGTAGTTGCTTTCTAGATTTACTGTTATACCTTCCTACTATAAGTAATTCTCTTTCTTGTGCTACAGGTCGCATCCTCCGCCATAGATCCATGGTGAATAATGTACTGGCGCTATTAAAGATGGACGTCAGAGAACTCATTATAGCTGATAACATGACCGCCATTAATAAACCCCTTAAACCTGAAACAGTTAGTACAGTTAGTCTTGTATTCGTCACGAATGACATTGGAAATCTTCGTATATGTCAATGCTAAAGGAGAAGATAGAAATTTAGTGACGAGATAAACACAACCAAATACCACATATGAAAATTGTTCTAAAAGAAAAATCTCCAGAACTTCCTCTGGATTAGCAAATTAGTAAACGCAATCTGGGCACAAACAAGGGCGATAATAGGAGAATTACACTTACCTACTGGTAGTAATTCAAGTACTAATTTCGGATAGGCTATATTGGAACAACCAACAGCATTTTCACAAAATTTCTCACATTCCGCCGGATCTACACAAGCAATAAAATCTGAAAAATAAGTTTAAAGGAGCTAAATCGCTAATATTTGGGGCCTAGTAATTGACACGCTTTATAATAATGTAATATGGATGTATATAAACTGATTTACATTCAATCGTTTCTGTTTTACTGTAATTGCTAATCATTTATGTTCGGCGAAATACGCCAGAAGTCTCAATCGAATGGCAATCTCTAACATCTGGTTGTTCCAGTCTAGTATTTATTGCACATGCTCTCTAGATAGGAATATGACGTCACCGTTTGACATAACTTGTGGAATATATCTAGCCTCGTTCTTCGAGTCCCCTATTACAAATGGCACTGAAACGCATTATGATACACGATTCGTGTACCAATAGTAAAAATGTTTATTTTGTCTTAAATATTGGATATCAGAAGCCCATCTTTTCCCGGTAAGATCACAACATCAGTGTTGATTTAAATTGACAAATATTTCATATTTTCAATGTCTGAGAATTTGGATGAAATTGAGTTAGAGACTTAGCTACTTTAAGATTAGAGATATGTATTTTTCGGTGAGGGAACACCCAAAAAGGACGATGGTTTTGTTTCCCAGATGAATCCATCACGCAAGGGTCCCTGTGTGTTTGAACCTTTATTTCAATGTCAGTTTTCGAGTCGATGTTATAGTTGGGTTGAAATAATAATTGAGAGTAAGCACCAGAGGACACCGGCGAGTTGAGACAGTCGATATATATATATCATATTTAAAAGTTTCTAAATTCAACTCTCAGGATTATATACACCAAGAAATACCAAGATTTGGATGTTAGAATCTATATTTTAATAACATTTGAAATTTGCCAAGATCTTTCAGACTTAGGCGTCTTCGGGGCTATGTGTACAAAAGACAATAACGTCGCTTAGTTACATAATAGCCCGACGTCAATAAGAGGTCATCATAGAAAATTTCTATGGAGGTCATAACCAAAGCCCTGTAGGCCTATAGGGAAAGTTACGACAACTCATTTACAGGCGCCATTTTGGGTCCCAACTATGACGCCATAAAAACTATGACGTCATGGCGTCATGTAGGTTTACTTAACAAATCGTTTTATTTTTTTCTTGGTATAACGTTTTACGGGCTACAATTTATACTAAACAAATTGCAAAAGAAATCAATGCGGTTTGGTTCAATGATAATATGTCAGACAAAATCATACTCAAAATCGACCAAGGCAAAATGACATGATTAACATAATTCAATTTGGCGTTCTTCGGGAATTATCGAGAGCGCTATATCGTAATCAGTGTCTTTCAGTGGTGGTAGGATAAATAATTTATTTTTAAATTCCTCAAACACAGAGTGGTTATGCAAGCGAAGTGTGTCGAAAAATCGAATTTGACAAAACATCAATTTAAAAATGTATTTTTCATTTGATGGCGGGCATTTCTTTCAAAGTAACTGCCAAATTAAAAAAAAAAAGAAAATAAAACCCCATTAATTTGGTAATAAAAGGGCAGCGATAATCTCAAAAATTTAATTTCGAGAATTCTTGATGGTAGAAATTCAAAATGGTGGAATTTTCATTAATCGTCATTTCTTTCCGTTGGGTATGACTTGTAATATGTGGTATATTAATCACGAAATGACATAGTTGCTCTTAAATGAATATATTGTTAACGCGCTTTAAACATCTAGATGCAAAAGACAAGGTGTAAAAACTTGATGTTATAAAACACATTATTTATTCAGCTCGACGCAAGATTTGAAATGAATAGATGCGGTTCGTTTAACTTGAATGTAGATATATCATGCATATATAGTACCTTTCGGTTGAATCATATCATAGGAATATCTTATTTGATAGTTTTACGTATTTGTCGACATTAAGGTGTACATGTTCTATAGTTCCATTTAGCCTATACATTTTCTTGTTTCACTTGACTAAACAAAACACTGATAAATGTTGAGATGTGTGGAACATGCTCGAGGCGATTTGTAACAGGCACGATATACTCTTTAAAAAAAAGGTAGGGGATATTAAAATGCAAATACCTATGCAGGTTGTAATATGTGTAGTCATGGACACTAGACATGCTTTGAGAGTATGTTCACATATGAAGAACTTATCGCCCCAACAGATCCACTGAGCGGCACATGCGACACGCAATAGCACCATACACGAGGGTTCATTGTCAAATTTGACACTTCAAGGAAGGGTTGATGAAAACTGCCGCGTGCTGGTGTATCTATCCATGTTTGCTTTCCTATCGGTTCTTGCATAATAGCGTATCTTTGCTTTAGTGTGTTACGTTTAATTTGATCGGGAGATGTGTTCGTCGAAGTCAACGGACAACACTGCAAGAATTAGCCGTCGCACTGCAAGAGGAGTGGGTCAGATTGCCCCAAATCGTGACTGGACAGTTCATTAAGAGCATGCCACGACGAATTGCTGAATGCCTGAGGATTGGTGAAGCAATTACTCATTTTTAAGACAAAAATCAAAAACGTTCATTTTCACTTTTGACGGTGTATCTATTTGCGAGTGTAAAGGGACCGTCAGATAAGCCGCCTATATGAAATGTTTATATTCATGTGTAGGGCATTGGCCTTTTATTAACATACACTGGTTACCTCTAATAAAAACAGCAGTGCATTTCCGCAGTTTTGTATTGTTTCTGAATATCTCCTATGATTATTTCACTGGGTATGGGACGCAAATACCCAAAGGTGTCGGACAAACTCTAAAGCAACTGCGTCTCCTTCACTGGGCACCTTCAATGTATGTCTACCCGTGGAATAACATGTACATTATTTGTATCTGTTAAATTTGTGAGGTTTATATATTAGATTGATATTATTATTTATTCATGGGCGCAGGGGCGGATTGGGGCCGGGAACCGGCTCGGGCTCCCGTGTCGGAGCGGCCCCTTTTACTGACCGCGAAGCCCGGATGGGGGGCCCGGGGGCTCTCCCCCATTAAATTATGAAAAATGAACCCCAAATATGCGATTTGGTGGCATATCTAATTATAATCTCTGTCAAATAATATATCTCATCAATCGATTAATTTAGGCCAAAACCCCGACCTGCAAGTAATTTACAACCATCAACCTGTGAAATTATCATATCGTCATATTAATTAACGTATTATCATTGTATCGTCAAGACCAGCAACATCAAATTCTGCTGAGGCCTTAAAATTGATTATTTTTTTTTAGTTACGAACCATCGGCAGACGTTTCTGGCGACAGCGTCGGGTGAATCCCATGAAATTTTCGGATGAAATTCGGAATCCCCATCGCAGGATTCCGAATTCCGGCCAACACCCAGCCCAGAAAGTCTATTATACCAGCCCATTCCAGACCCTAGTGATGGCGTGGCGACAGCGTCGGGTGAATCCGATGAAATTTTCGGATGAAATTCGGAATCCCCATCGCAGGATTCCGAATTCCGGCCAACACCCAGACCAGAAAGTCTATTATACCAGCCCATTCCAGACCCCAGTGATGGCGTGGCGGCCCGTTAAAGTCACCGGCCACATACAACATGATCATCATCGCTCCATATAATGTTCAGCAGAAAAGGTTTTTTAAGACGAATTGGACAAAACTTATTTTTTTCATTTTTTGTTCGACCGGCCCTTCGACCGATCGCCCGATGGCCTAATCCGCCCCAAACAAATTGCAAAAGACACCAGGAAGTTTCGTAGAGCGATATCTCGTTTCACATGTCACTGATGAAACATATGCCCGAAACACATGTTACGCTAGACACCTTTTATTTAAAGGAGCTAAATCGCTAATATTTGGGACTTACAAATTGACTCAAATGGGTCGGAAATAATGTAATATGAATGTAAATAAACCGATTCGGTATTTCGCCGAACATAACTGCTTTGAAATTAGAATACAAACGGAAACGATTGAACGTAAATCAATTTATATACATTCATATTACATTATTATATGCTTTGCGACACATTTATGTCAATTTCTAGGTCCCAAATATTAGCGATTTAGCTCCTTTAAATTACACTGATTTTAAGCTACACTGATTTTAAATGTTTTATCTATTCAATTTAAAGAAATTTCTATTTTCGAAAAATTGATGAAACAATTAATGATTGATGACCCAATCCGGAATGGCTCCAGACCAAAAAATAATGGAATTTCAGGCATTTATTTTGCCGGCTAGAAGGCTAAAAGGTTTTATCTTCCAAATTACTATATAATTTAAATTTTTAATTTTTCACTTTACCCGTCTGCACAAAAAATCTGATTTTTAAAAGCGTATGCAAGTTAAATATGCAAGTAATTTACAACCATCAACCTGTGAAATTATCATATCGTCATATTAATTAACGTATTATCATTGTATCGTCAAGACCAGCAACATCAAATTCTGCTGAGGCCTTAAAATTGATTATTTTTTTTTAGTTACGAACCATCGGCAGACGTTTCTGGCGACAGCGTCGGGTGAATCCCATGAAATTTTCGGATGAAATTCGGAATCCCCATCGCAGGATTCCGAATTCCGGCCAACACCCAGCCCAGAAAGTCTATTATACCAGCCCATTCCAGACCCTAGTGATGGCGTGGCGACAGCGTCGGGTGAATCCGATGAAATTTTCGGATGAAATTCGGAATCCCCATCGCAGGATTCCGAATTCCGGCCAACACCCAGACCAGAAAGTCTATTATACCAGCCCATTCCAGACCCCAGTGATGGCGTGGCGGCCCGTTAAAGTCACCGGCCACATACAACATGATCATCATCGCTCCATATAATGTTCAGCAGAAAAGGTTTTTTAAGACGAATTGGACAAAACTTATTTTTTTCATTTTTTGTTCGACCGGCCCTTCGACCGATCGCCCGATGGCCTAATCCGCCCCAAACAAATTGCAAAAGACACCAGGAAGTTTCGTAGAGCGATATCTCGTTTCACATGTCACTGATGAAACATATGCCCGAAACACATGTTACGCTAGACACCTTTTATTTAAAGGAGCTAAATCGCTAATATTTGGGACTTACAAATTGACTCAAATGGGTCGGAAATAATGTAATATGAATGTAAATAAACCGATTCGGTATTTCGCCGAACATAACTGCTTTGAAATTAGAATACAAACGGAAACGATTGAACG